CAAAGTGTAAATACATTACACACAAGTTTTTTAAATGTATGTTTTTATTTTATTTTGCATTGTCCGAATAAAGACTCATTCTCATTATTTTAATGTACCGTAGTTTCTGGACTAAAAACTATTTTTTCAGAAATGTGCGGGTGCGCCTTATATACAGGTGTGCCTGATAGTCCAGAAAGTACTATATATTTGTTTGTACTTGTGTGTATATAAAGTATGTACACACAAGTCGTTGCCGACGCAGGAGAATCCAAGGACAGTGGTGATGATCCGGGACTTTATCAACATTCATGGACATTAGTCTCTGCCCCGTATGGACCAATGGCTCTATGTGTTTTTTATCATTGCATTTCCTGTGTTTAATATGAGCCCCTCCCACCACCAACCATTCACACACACACCAGACTCATTCTAATGTGGGTGAAGTGTCTTGCCTAAGGACACAACCACACTTTGGCACTTTACAGCCGCAGCCGCCCCACTGTGGCACCGGCTGTTCCCAGAGGTCTCCCTTCACAGTACTAGCCCGGCCCTGCCCTGCTTAGATATAGAGGTCTGACGGGATATGGCTTTCACCTGCAGGTGTGGCCACAAATTGTTCATGTTTGCTTAAAAGTTCAAAAAGTTTTGTATTTAGGAAACTCTAAAAACCTCAGAATCTGGATATGTATTTATGTTTTGCAGCACAAGTTTGTAGATTTGTTCCCAAACTTTATAATTAAAGGAGCAGTATGTGGCCAAAAGTGGTACTGCAGCCTCTCCCACTCTCCCTGACTCAGGTTGCCAGATATGCAGACGAATCCAGCTGGGACCATAACAGCTGAATAGACAAGAGTTTTGTCAACAACAAATCTATAACCAACACCTTTTTCACAAAGATACAAATCCTGGTTTTATTCCTTGTTTTGTCGTTAATGATTTGAGAATCATAACGAGACCTTTTTTAGTTCTGCGTCACATGGTACTTTACCAGTGAGATTAGCTCCACGCTGTGAGTTCTGGCGCCCGGATCACAGACTTTCTGATTGGTGAAACGGTGGAGGGCGGGACATTGAAATGAAAACAATAACAAGATTTAGAGACTGGAAAAGTAATTTAGAAATTCAAATCTCTCTGAACTACTGTTATCAGTTAAAGAAGTATTGGAAAAGACCATGGTTTATTAATATGACAGATTATGGCCCTTTAATTATGACAGATTATGGCCCTTTAATGATGACAGATTATGGCCCTTTAATGATGACAGATTAGGTCCCTTCAATGATGACAGATTAGAGCCCTTTAATGATGACAGATTAGGGCCCTTTAATGATGACAGATTAGGGCCCTTTAATGATGACAGATTAGGGCCCTTTAATGATGGCAGATTAGGGCCCTTTAATGATTACAGATTAGGGCCCTTTAATGATGACTTGACATGAAAATCTGACATATTGCTACTTTAAATAAATAGGCGGAATCAAGTTGTTTGACCCCATTCCAGACACAGTAAAAGTGAAGTACAGACTGTGCTAAAGGCTGGACATGTTTCCGTCGCTCTCGGAGATTCCTGCTTCTTCAGTGAAACGTGACAATGACCGCTCTGTCTCGTCCTCGCCGTGTCCCGGAGACGTCGCCAAATGTCGCCACGTCCTCTTTCACAGCTGCCCCCTGCTCTGAGCTGCTCCTGCTGAGGCTTTCTCCCATACGCAATAATAAAACAGCCGTGCTCGAAAGTTCCCACATCCAGCCGGAGATGTCATGGTTCGCTCATATTTTGATTTGAGAAGTGTCTCTGGTTCATGGTTTTACACTGGTCCAGACCAGAGCAGAGAGGATTCATGGTTTTACACTGGTCCAGACCAGAGCAGAGAGGATTCATGGTTTTACACTGGTCCAGACCAGAGCAGAGAGGATTCATGGTCCGAACCAAGCGTATCAGGCGAAAATCCACCGGAGGAATGCTATGTTTTTGAAAAATTATAACAAAGCATTTAGCATTTACCAAGCGGCTATTTAATTCTATACTTTTGCTGCTACTGGACTCCGGAATCTCTTCTACAGGGATCAATAACGTATCTATCTACAGTATATATCTTTCTATCTAAAACCAAACATGTCTTAGCTTTAGACAGTTGTGTGAAGTCAAATATTGTCAAATAAACATGTTTTCTAAATTCTTGGGCCGATGGAGGTCTCACAAATGTGCAGCTCGTTGGAGAAACTGGAGGCTTTTTACCAAAACGACTGGACAGCGGAGGACAAAGAACCACAAAAGACTGTCACTGATGTTCAAGGTTTAGTTTTGAATTCACTGAAACAGCAGCAAGTCCGGACTCGCTCTGAGGCAGTTGTTGTTTTGTGTTTTACAGTTGTTATTTTTCTTGCTTTGTTCTCTCTGTAACTGTTACTGCAGCACAGCGTTCATGGTTTTACACTGAACCGAGCAGATCACACGGAAACCCACTGGAGGAATGGCAACTGTTTTGGAAAAATGCAAACAAAGCATTCAGAATTTCACTCTGAACCAGGGCAGAGAAAATGGTCCGAACCAAACAGACTCTGCTTCACCACCTGCTGCTGCTGCTGCTGCTGTTGCTGCTGCTACTGCTGCTGTTGCTGCTGCTGCTGCTGCTGCTGTTGTAACTTTTTGTTGTTGCTGGAGTGATGTGTTTCTGCTTCTGCTATAGACACATTAATTTCTCCTACAGGGATCAATAAAGTGTCTTTCCATATGAACAGGAAACACACACGACTGAGAGCTTTTCTATTCTACAGTTTATATTGTCCATATTTCGATAATTGAAAACATGTTATTATTTTTTTCACATTACCTCAATGCCTCAACTCAGGGGTGTCCAAAATGTTTAGTAGGAGGACCATTTTAGTTCACTAAATTTGTCCAGGGGCAGACACCATTCTACAACTGCTTTTCAGGCTTTGGGATTTTAAATTGGGTATTATATATTCATCAACACCACATGGTAATAAAGTAAAAAGAATGGCTGATTCCAAAGGTTCAGAGCTTTACAACGAGGTGCAGCATGACTATATTGGTGGAGCTGAAGTTGGCTGGATGACTCTGTGAAAGTGCCTCAATGGATATTTTGTATTGAAATGCAGAGGACCAGATGAAATGAAACAGTGGGCCGCATTTGGCTCGAGGGCCTTGGTTTGGACATGCCTGAGCATTCATATTGTGGAATCTGCATATTCTCTGTATCACTGCTAAAACATTGTTATCTGAAGCACTGTACATATTTGTTTCGCCCACATTGTTACTACAGTTTCTTAAGCATGAGTCATTATTATCTAAAAAGTGATGACGACTTTGTTCTTATACACATTTTTACAAATCATATAAAAAGCTCTGTCTCCTTTTGTTCGACATGTCACTGCCAATATCATTCATAATCTCTGGAAAATGGCTAAAGAAAGGTCTGTCTGGGTGTGTAAACTTTCAGGCACCACTCTACACCGTAGATCTAATGAGCTGGAGCAGGACGAGAGTGGGATTGATTTTGGCGTTTGCAGAAACAGAACAGGATGTTTACTCTGACACTTAACATTTACTCTTGAACAGGTTTGGAATGGGACAGGGTTTTTCTTTTAATGAGTCGGGAAAGAGTAAGAACTGTCCCATGTCCGTCTCTACACTGAAGACATTATGACAAAAATCTAGCCATTCAGTATTTACCTTTAGGTTCAGCAATGGTTCTGTTCTGGTTCTTTCGTTTTTGTCTCGTCTGCTTGCTTCTCTAGTCTGCAGTGGTGCATAAGCAGTAGTAATCGCTTAAGTGGTTGCCAGATGAGAAGATAAAAAGGAGCTGGAAGTGCTACAGCTGCTGAGTCACACAAACAAGGGTCTGTGAGTTTGCTTAAAGGAATTAGTAAATGCAAACTGACATAACTGTAGTGATAGAAGAGAGTCCCCCCAGCGCCTACACCACCTCTGCTGCTGAGACCTAAAGCGCTGTGGTATTTTACTACTACTAATAGACAGTTTATATGTGTATTATTTTGTATGGTAGGGTGTGTTTCTGCTGCTGGATTCCTGAGTTTCTCCTACAGGGATCAATAAAGTATCTATCTATCTATCTTGTGCTCAACTTACCAGACAAACACTTCTCTATAAGCTTAAAATGTTCGGATTTTCGACTTCCGGGTGGATCATCAAGACTATTGGTCCTCCCCATTGTTAATCATTCTGGTGAAACGTGCTCGTCAAATAAGACCAGAGTTTTGTTCAATAAATGGAGAGAGTGGTTTTTTCCTAAAATTTGGGAATATCCTCCAATAAACCTTTAACATTCACATAATCATGCAAAACACAGGAGAGGAAATGAATTGTCCATGTTATTCTTAATGTCATGTCTTGCCAAAAATTGCAACTGACAGCACAGATCAATGTCAATGATCAATATCCCTAATCTTAATTAAGTAATATTTGTTTTGGATCCTGATTGACAGCTTGCAGACAGTGGTACAGTCTTGGATTAACCCTAGAGTAGAATATAACACCAATTGTGGTCCTCATCAGCTGTTCTTTTGTTGTGCACACCCATCCGGCTCAGACACCGGTCGGCGGACTGGAGACTGGCTATGGAGGGATGCTTCTCTAACCCACCGATCTGCCCTTACCCTGCTCCAGGTCCTGCTGGTCGTACCACGGCTCCTCTTCCTCGGTCACGAACTCCTCCATGCTCCCGGATCCGAGCATAGGGCCAGCTCGTCTGAACGCACAGAGACAAGCGCGGCCGTGGGTGCACAACAGCTCCAGGATGAAGTCCGCTCCGACGGCCCCAGCGCAGGAAGGAAGCGTCACGGGGGGGCGAGGCGAGCGGCACTGGAGGAGGGTGTGGGGCCCGGGGCTTGGGGCTCGGTGCTTCGGTGCTGTCTGCTCAATGTCCGGTCGCTGTCTCCATCACCCGCTGAGCAGTGGAAGTGCCTGTGGCTCGGGAGGCTCTGGATGGACGTGGCAGATGTTGTAATACCGCTGCTCTCCGGTAGAGGGCCTCTCTGTCTAAGAGCAGGATGGTGTTTTGGCGTCGCCGTGTGGACACTGATGGAAGTGGCAGCTACTCCTTCCTGGTCTTTTCATAATAGCTATCCAAGTCCAAGCATTAGTCCCCTGTTTACACCTATAGCTGCATACATATAGAATAGAAAAATATTAATTCAAAATAATTCACATGTTAAAATAATCCTGGAATATTTATCCAAACTCCACGGAGAGCGATACAGGAGGAGTGGGAGTGAGTGACCAAGCGAGGACCATATTTGATTGTGAATGTGATCAAAATAAACGAGTAATAATATCTAGCAGTTGGGTTTGGAAGATTCCATTATGTTGCTCTAGTTGTTATCCTCTGCATAAAACCTTGGGCACTTGTGTTCGTTTACATATGGTTTACTTTGTACAGCTTGATTCTTATATTGCAAAATTTCTGAAAGGCATTTTGTGGAAACGGTTTTCTTTTCTTATTTAGCCAAGTTGTTAGTGTCGTTAGTGTTGTATAAAATGGTGGTAAAGAAACCGTTCTGAACATCACATGGTTGTAAGAAGATTTTTAATTTCGTTTTGTATTGTTCATAAGGTGATGAATGATTGAATCTCCTGCAGGAAAAACAGAGAGTAAAGTGAGTGTAAAGTAATATTGATTTGACTTTTTTGTTTAGACATAAAACCCACCAATGTCTCTGTTGAGAAAACAAAGATACCCTTTCTGTGGAAAAGTAAACACAGGGTAAAATCCGAGGCACTCTGATGAATAAAAAGTCCTTTAATGAGGGAAAGGGACCAACGCGTTTCGGCGGCGCAGGGCCTTCTTCAGGGCAGTGTTAAAAGAAAAACAGTTTGACGGGTGTTTAAATAGACACATGACGTCCCCTGGAACATCACGTGACATGACAAAAAGACATCCACTTTTCACCAAAATAACTTTTTGAATGGAGAGACAATATGACGTAAAAAACACCACAGTATATGTTATCAAGACATAGATTGTCATGAGGTGAGATGATGGAGGACTCAAAATGCAAGAATGCCAAAATAATGGTTTAATGAAATAAAGTCCAAAGTGAAAATAAAACTCAAACATCCAAAGGGAACAGGATCACATAACCAAGAACAGGACGGAACAGGTGTTGACAAGACAATGGACCAGGGGCAGACCATCAAGACAGGGGAAAACAGGACATCAAAGTCAAACTAAAACCAAACCACATGTCAAAATAACACCAAAATACATAATAACAAAATCCACACCGTGACATAGATACCATTAAAACACATACATCAGAGAACACATTACACAGGAGGGGCCCCTCAGTAAACACCTTGATTTTACTTACGTCTTTAACATTTGGACCCTGTAGCACTCACTCCTCCTGTTTTTGAAATGTCTCTGTTGACTTTGTAGCAGCAGCTCCTCCCCCAGAGCCTCAAGGACCCTCTGCTCTTCAGGCTTCTCCCCAGACTCCTGGCTCCTGGCTCCGGGCTCCTCCTGCAGCCACCATTCCTCATTCTACTGCATCACACTCTGTAGCTCCGGGATATAGCTTTGTTTGCTCCACTTTTTCCTGACGTAGAGACGCCACCTCTTGCATCTCTTGCTTCTTTCGACTCTTCTGTACAACAACTGTCTCTGTCCAGCCAAAAGTTGGTTCTAATGTCTCTTTTCCAACTTAAAAGAAAATCAGACTGTGTCCCGTCCGAACTAAACCATCATAATTATATTTGTGTAAAAGCAGAGATCATTCTGTGTTAAAATGCCGCTGTCTTTGTGTTGGCTGTTGTCTGGAAAAGCATTAGAATTACACAGAAACACAATAACTACAGCCTCTGCTCTTCAGGTTCATTAAAATAATAAGATGTTAAAATGGAGTCAGGAGTATTTACAGATGTGTATATTGTACTTTAGCAGCGGAGAATATGAGCAGAATGTGTCTATTTTGAGACATTTAGACATATTCAGTGAACAATTTTCCCACAGCTGAGAAGAAATATACAATTTTCCAAGGACAGTGTATTGTTACTTTGTAGAACGGGGACAAAAGTTCAGCCAAAAATATTGAATTGTGGGAAAGCTACCCACCTTTGGCAGTGAATAAAAGATACTGAAGACATTTTGGGAAGAGGACACGCCCCTGTATCGGAGGAAGACTACTTGGTTGAACTCAGTATTATCCCCATGGCAACTAACTTCATTTGTGAGCTACTATAAAGCACTACCCTTTGATTTCTCTCTTTCTGGTTTATTGTTCAGTTCTTCCAACAGCGAACTTGGATGAGAGGAAACTGAACTGGAAAGAACTTGTTTTACTCAACATCTTACAAAAAACTTTACATAATCTTCTTCCTGAAAAAAAACCCACATCTCTGAGCAGCAGTTTGTTGTTGAGTCTGAATAATTCTTTTGTTGTGATGACAAGAAAGAAGCATTTCCCGTTTAAAGTTGGTCCAGTACAGGCAAATTAATCATGGATTGAGCAACAGTGAGATAATATGCTTTTAGATTCCTTAGAATTGAAAAAAACCTTGGTTTTGTTTGTGGCTTGATGTATTGAAACCCACATTTGCAGCTACAGATGTACAGGGTATAGTTTTGTGTTTTCATTGTTTTGGAAAAGCATAGGAGTACTGTGACCAACCCGAACCATGTGCACACTGATAGCAAAGGAATGTGTACTAGAAAATGGTGAAGTATCGCATTACCACAAACTGGACTGACAAAAATGTTCAAATCCCAGATACTATAAGCCACCCTTTACATTATAATTATCTCTCTACTTTAAGATTGACAACCAATGAATCAATGAATCATCATCATCATTACTATGTCATATAAAGCCTGTCTAATGCAGATCTGTTGCAAAAGTATGTGTTTTTGAGAAGCATTTGTCAGCAGATGGATGGATACCCAGACACCCCCTGTCCCAGGCTCTTGTTGGATCTGTCTCCATGGTAACAGAGGACACAAAAAGCAGAGAGGGGCCCGGGACAGCTGGCCTTTAGCAACAGCAAGGAGGGGAAATAACACAAGTGAGGGAGTGTAGGGCTGGACCGGGGGGGGGATTGAGAGATGAGGGGGTAGAGTGCAAATGGAGAAGTAGGAGGAGGTACTCACAACACACACTGAAGTATTTTGGAGTCCGCAGATCTGCCGTCAGAGTCGAGTCGCCCCCAAACTTCAAGCTTTGAGCCTGCAAAAGTAGATTAACAAACAGTTTTTTGCAGGATTGTGCACCGGTTTGAGGCTGATGTGAAACAGAAGTGGGGAAGGTGGCGTCTTGGCAAAGAGAAGGAGTGTGGAGAACATCAGTTTGGAGTAAGCTATCCAAAGAGTGCTCGCAGAGGTATGAAGCAATCTCACTACTTGTTTTTTATATTGTAATGAAAGGAAGAATATGACGTTCAAATGCACTTAGTTATAGAGGATTATTATAAATACAAGTCTGTTATTCTGAGTAACTAGAGTTGTGAAAATTCCTGAGAAAGTTTATCATTGTTTTAATTTAAACATGTTCATACTGTGATGCCACCCATCCTCAGACAACTAATCAGTCATCTGTAGATCAGAATATTTTCTGTTTCCATGTTATCTCGTTAAAATATTATTACCAAATGATTTAAATTAAATATTTGAATCATTGTAGTATTGTTTATTTATTTCATGAAAACTAATCGATACTAGTTATAGAAATGAATGAATTGTCACGGTTACCTAGCAACCAGACGGCAGGTTGAGCAGGTCAGGTAAAAGCTAATGCTAAATCATACACGTATAATGTATGCCATTTGTTAAACTTTCTTGTTATTTTTTTAATCTTAACGACTTTTTGTTTTTGTTTGGTTCCTTCTTGGTTCCAACAGTCTTTAGTTGAAAACTTCAACTTAAACTTGGTTTATTGTAACTCACGAAAGTTAGCAATTAGCATTAGCATTAGCGCTAGCTTACCTACGTTAGCTGCTGAGCTATAATCACCAGTGAAACCTGCATTACTGACGTCTACACAAGTAAGATTTGTTTACCACTTGATTGAAAGACAGAAGTTAAAAGATTAAGTTACCACACTGGCTGTAGGCTTCTGTAATCAGTTTTACAGAAATAAATAGATAATTACTAATGAACCTGTGTCACTTTCTAAACATGTGAACACCCTGGATCTATTATAATAACACTATCCAACAGCTGAGCCAATGTAGACATGGGTTATACCATAGACTGTATATGTTTTACCCTCGATTATTAATGTATTTATATAATATAGTTCTTTATAAAATATACAATTGTGTTTTTGTTGTGTTGGAGTCTGTTTATAAAAACATTAATATTAACTAATACAGGCAACTAATATTCGTCATTGTTGGGAAAAAGGAATGTCTTTTATTGATTTTTTTAAAGATAAAACTCATAAGTAAAAGGTATTTCAGAATTATAACATTATTTTACTAACTCAACAACACGATGTTTACAGAAAAGGAGTTGGTCCAATGTTTATCAATGTTGTTTTTATAAATATCATTAACAAACAAAGAGTTATATACATTATTTAGCTTTCCTTTAGTCAGTCCTATCAGACTGGACACCACCAACACGGCTGCAAAAATAACTCTGGGATATATTTAAACTGAAGCGCCTGGGCAGGGCCTTTACTGCGAGGCCACAAGCAAAGAAAATTGTAGGGAGTTAAGGCGAACATGTGATTATATATAATGGACATCAACTACTGTAAACTCCAGCAGAGCATAGTGTAGTTTGAAGAGTTCAGATGGAACAGAAAAATCATGGACAATCTTTCACCATCACAATTATCAAACACAAGAAATGCAATGATAAAAAGTATAGAGAGCCATTGGTCCTTAGGAGGCAGAGGCCAATATCCATAAAAGTTGATAAAGTCTAATGTCAACATTTTGTCTTGTAAGTGAAACTCTTAGTGCAACATGAATCAGAATCATTTTTATTGCCACGTAAGTAACAAAGTTACCACTTGGACATTGTTTTGGCAGAGAGTTTGCCACTTCGCCATTTGCGGCGCTGTGTGCAGCAAGAAACAGCAGAGAGCAATAACACACAGTTTCACAGACAATTGGATAGACACATTGTGCTTTATATAAACCACCGATTTTTTTCTCGGGATGAGCACCTCCGACTGCCGGCCCAATGTGGCTGTCAGAGGGGGGCGGGGTCAGGGAGGGGGTGAATGAACACTGGTTAGACTCAGGGGTTCCAGGGTGAATTTGAAGAATAGATTTGAAATTACAAGTGAGAATGGATTCACTGTATAAAAACAATAAAGCCACTGATTTCCTCGTCTGACTTTGTTTTGCAGAGCTCAAAGTTTGTCTTAGTCCAGAATGGACCATCAGCAGGAGACGCTCGATATCATACATGGAATATGGGAGAAACTGAATGCGCTGCCTGAGGCCGAGGCGCTGGAGATCGGGGCTTTTGTGGTGCTTCTGCTGTTTGTGTGTGAGTGTTTAGTGTAATGACAGATTCAGATTAAATTAACTGTTTCCAACTGTGTCAATAAACTGCTGTTGTTTCGTGTGTTCAGTTGTTTTCATCTTCCTGGTGGCGATGTCCTGCACCACCTGCTGTTCCTCAAAGACAACGAGGAAATCCACCAAAGTCGAGCCGGCCTGACACAGTGCTGATCCAGTCTCTGTTTTATTCTACTCGAGCTCAGAGTGGTCTGTAATAAAGGCGTAGGAGAGACTCTGAGAGCCGTCGAAGGGCGACAGTGCTGTTGATTCTGTACTGAGCCATAACAGCGGCTTCTGCAGTATTTGACCCTTTGACAAACGGCCAGTGTGGGATCCCATCAGTTAGAAAGGCCCTTGTGTCTAATGTACCATACATTCCATCTTCTTACACTACAACCGTTTTTATGTGTTTTAATACTGTGTCTTTTGCTTATTTATCTGAGAGCAACAACCTCCCATTGTTTTGTTGGAACAGAAGAAACGGTTTAAAAAAGCTCCAAAGATGTATGTATATGAAGGATCATCATCTTGTTGTATACAATGATTCATATTTTCTGTAGCAGAAAACATCACATACCTTTACAACATGTGTCTGTTGAAATGAATTTGGTAATAAAATGTATAGAAATCAAATGTAATTATTAGGATAATGTGTTTCATCATCTCTGCAAAGCAAACTAAAGGGTTATTGGATTCCTACGTTCCCTCCCACGTGTTGTTCGAGTAAACATTAACCAGGAACTGTTGCTCACTTTTGACTCAACCAGACCAGCCCAGACTGTGGTCCGTTTGGAGCTGATCAGAAGGAAACATATGAACCTGCGGAGCCTCTGCTTCTGAGAGGACCATAGACTATCATTACTCTGTTGTATGCTGCAGGTTTGACTTTGGTGACCATAGTCCTGACAATTGTCCAGACCATAGTCCTGACCATAGTCCTGACAATAGTCCAGACCATAGTACAGACCATAGACCTGACCACAGTCCAGACTATAGTCCTGACCATAGTCCTGACCACAGTCCTGAGCCACCACTGTAGCTACACTCTGGAGCCGTGAGCAGATCATTAACAGGATATGGCCGTAGACAGGTGAGTGTTCAAATAGTTTCAACACTAGCTCTCATCATTGGGTTTCAGACTTTGCAAAGAACTATAGTGATACTTATTGTAGAATATAATATCTGTTTTAATGCAATCTGCTAGTTACTTTGTTAGAAAACCACTGGAGTGTACATGGATCTATTGTAGTGAAGGTATTGTTTCTTAATAATGTTGAAAATGATCTGTTTGCAAACTGCAGTGCAACAGAGATACAGTCACACAAGGCTGTCCAAAGATTGTTTTTAGATTTTAAATTGTTTGAATTCTGAGACTAATGTTGACCCAATTCACAAGAAAACATGAGGGACACTTTTGGCTCCTGAGGCATATTTACTTTACAAACACTACGCAACACAAAAGCAAAATGTTTCCTGTTTCATCTGCTTCAAAATAAGAACGTCCTCTTAATAACAAAAAAAGGAAAGGAAATGGTTCACAGGTGATTTCTTAGTTAAAAAATCTTTAGGAATCATACGACACATCAGGAAATCAAGGGTATTATTACTCAAAACGATACAGTCTATGCTCAAAACCTGCTTTTTTTCATTCGAGTTCTACAGTTAATATTGTCTGAGATTGTTTTTTGCACTAAAGTTCATATCCTGCAGTGTTGTCGTTTTTCTGATCACAATAATGTTTAAGTTTACAGAGACAGTTCTGCTCATCTCAGTCCAATCATGTGACAAAAACGACTAAAAGCAGTGTGTGAAGAAACCAATCTCAATGTTACACTTGACAGAAAGAGGAGGATTTGACTGTAATGTGTAGATAAAGGGAGAGCTGGACAAACAAACTTGAATTTGATCCTGTTTAACATTTTTGCTCTGAAAACTAACATTTGATTTCTCTCACTAAATTTCAGACAATGATCCGTCAGGGTACTTTTTGTCAATGCAATGATAAATGAAGTCGATAAATATTCACTGCATTCATTTTGGGAGCGACACAAATTTGCAGTGGAAATTTGACGTAGAAAAAAAAAATGCATACAAAAAACAAACCCCTGCAACCTTAAGATGTGTCCCCAATGCCCCTGTGCTTATTGGGATAGAAATGTGTAGATTAAAAATGATCAAATGTTCAAAAAAATCCCCTCTGAATCTAGCCTGGCCTTATCCATCCGTACACTCCACTCAATCATCATTTCCTGCATGTAACGTCTGGGTCTGGTCCCAGGGTTAGCGATTACAATCGGTTGAATTTCGACCGACCAATCAGCGAGCGCGGAAGGCAGGTGTTGTAGTTAGTTGTGGGTGACGTCAAGAGTTTGCGTCGAACGGGAAGGTTGTAGTTTGGCAATGGCAAAAAATGCGATAGTAAAGTAATCCGGTCTGGCTCTATCAAGAAATTGAAGCCGGAGCAAGAGGAATGTTTTGCAAATGTAATCGCTAGAAACAATTGTGGCGCTACTCCCCACGGGCTCCGTCAGCGGCAAAGGAGATGGCTAAAGCTAGGCTAAATGCTAACGACACTCGGGCGCACTACATACGTCACAGTAAACTCAGATCCAATCGTTTCAACCTGCAAAAGGAGTTAACCTCTCCCACCTGTTAACGGAGTCAATGGAGCACCTCCAGACCTTAGTATGATATGTATTTTGTACTATGGTGTGGTACGACCAGGCTACTCTGAATCCGACCTTTGAGAAAGTTGCAGGTTCTATGACAGCTGGGGTTGAACTGTTTTTGTTAACATTTGGGGTCTAAAGGAAACATGTTCTGGGTTGCCCTGGGCTATTGTCGCCATGGAGACCATAAGTGACCCACTGCAGCCTCCTCTGGTCCTCAGTATGTGCACAAATGTGTGGAGTTATAATAATTGTAGTAATATTAATTTAAATTCTGATGGAACAGAGTCTCTTCCACACTCTGCCTCCTTAGCCCCACACTCTGGATGACTTCACTCCCTCCTCTTTCTCTTTCAGCTTCTTGGAGTCTGTGAAACCTCCGGAGTCAGCAGAAGACTTGGTGGACTGGTTCCTGTTCCGTGTCCAGCGTGAGCCGTGGGCACTAGGTGGCGCTGTGGTGGTCGCTGTCTTCATCTTAGGGACCATCTGTCTGATGGTGTTTGCCCTGGTGTACGGATGCTGCTGTAACACATCAGAGATGACCCCTACCAGGAAGAAAATACAGAACCAGATCATATAGACATGACCTACATAAATGTGGGACAGCGGACTGGTTACACTGTTTTCCTGCTGCTTCTCTGTAAATATTGCAAAGTTTGTTTTGTGTGACATTAGCTTCCTCTGGGTCTATTTACACTTCATTAGGATTTATGTGTACAATGAACACAGACCAATCAAGTTATTCATATTATTTATTTATAATGAATGTCTGAACATTTGAAGTGGACAGAGAAGGTTTTCTTATTGACAATAAAGTTTCAGCTTTTTGAAATGTGAATGGTGGTGATATATGAAACTTGTACAGTTTCACAGACAGAGCTCATCTATTTGCATAACTTTATAGCTGAATATTTATGAAGAGTTAAATGGTGTTTGAGCAGTGGCATTTTTTCCTCATTTTGCACACATAAGCAGTTGTTGAACCAATGTGGAAGATTGTATTTGCTGCAAAATAGATTTTGTTTCTAATATTTCTGAAATCTTGCACAAAAGTCTGTTTTGGCTTCATGACCAGCTGTTCTGGGCTGCACCCATTTCACCTTGTTGCCGTAGCGATGGCAGAAACAACCCATATTGTGTTTAAAGGTAATTGACCAAATTGTCAAAATCAACAGCTCTTTTTGTTCAGAAAAAAAAATCCAAACCTGGGTTAAATAAACAAAATAATCATTCCACAAATAATTTAATAACCAAAGAAGTTGTGTCCCCTGACCAGCTATCATGATTCATTTGGCCCCATGACCAAAAAGACATAGACACTGTGTTACTGGATGAGAGGAGATAGAGCAAAACTTTTCCCATGAGCACTTCCCTGTTGGGCTTCATTGAGCTAGCAGGATAGCTCTGTCCCATTGTGCTGCCCAGTAGGTGGCATCAGAGGCACAGGAGTGAGTTTCTTGAAGAAGGACACAGTGACATTTAATGTTTTTACAATACAAAAAAATACCGTTCCTCTTTACATTGTCTTTTAGACCCGTTGTATTAAGTGAAACTAAATTACAATCAGCTGGATAACCTCGCAGCAATATAAACAAAAGCAAAAGTAAGCGTGCTTGGCTGATGCGGGGCCACAGCGCTTCCCTGTCCTTCTTTGTGAGATCCTCCATGAAGCGAATGCGTTTTTTGCCGTTATTATAGATCCATGGTTTTTGCACACTGCAGAATCTTTGGTCATCTTCCAGAAAGCATCTCTGTGGTGTCGCCTTGTGAGTTGATTAATGATGTATCTCACCCTGCTGTCTGTCTTCGGCCCATTTCGGTGCACTGTATCCACAATATGCTCCATGTCTTGTGCCCACTGAGGGGAGATTTGTTTGAGGAGAGTAATGACCTCGGCCCTGGTGTCTTCATTCATAGTCTCTCTCATGCTTTTAATCCGGAGATTTCATCATGTTTTATAGCGGTCATGTTCTCTGCATTTCTCTTGCAGGTCAACATTTCCGGCACGCATACGCCCTAACTCTTCTGGCCATATAGCTATCTATCCACGATAATAGTTAGCATATTAATGGCATTATTCGACCCATCTCCTTCAGTCGTTTTTGGTTGTTTGCTCCTTTCGAGGGAGTGGCAGGAGCGAGTCAGGAGAATCCAAACCTCTTTTTTCACCACGTTTTTTCATCCGTTTCTGATTCTGCGACAGATAATCATGGCCGCTTTGCTCCAGAAAAACAGTGGTTTTATTCATTTGTTTTGACATCTTTCTTGCGCTATGTTGACATACACTAATGAATATCCAGGTTCAGTTCAAAAAAAAATGTGGGAGTTCACCGGAGCCCACGTGTGAACCGCTCACGTCGCCATTTTGCCGCAACTCAGCTTTGGCGTTCTTTTTATCGGTATGGTCCTTTGCAACAGGTGTACGCTGTGGACAGGAACGAGTCTTTGTCCTTCCCGTTTCTCTGTAAATCCGCGTCCAATGCCCAGGGTCTCCTACGGTGGTCGGCCTGAAAACGCGGCATGTCCAGTTTTGAATGTAGCTGCAGCGGGTGAGGATCTGTAGCTGGTTTTCAATGGGTTGAAGATGACAAAGGGTGGGGCTGATGCCTCTTGTTGCCCGAATTCACACCTTGGAGGATTATGAAGGTGCATATGTGGCAAATAAATAAAAAGAAAGAAAAACCAGCCACGCCAGGGCAGAGTGCCTAAAATAAAATAAAAAGCGCTCTAAGGCGCACAAGTTCGTAATCATAATTGAGAGGCATAGACAGACATAGGTTACTTTGATTTGTTATGTTTAGTTCGTTAAGTTTCACATTTCCTGTCGATGGACTCAGGAGCACAGGTGAACACATAACACAGAACATGGAGAAACAAGAGACAGCGGGAGAAACAGCGGTGGGCCGCGGTGTGGCCAGTCCTCAACCTATGGATTACAGTAGAGTTAGCGTGACAACCACAATGGTGTAGCGTGTAGCTAAAACCTACTTTTATACAGCCAACGCTGCGCACGCACTCTTGACGAGTGGCGGTTTACAGGCCCAGACCCACAGCCAACTACGACGCACTCGGACCCCGGCAACGAGGGCGGCCAGACGCCGAAGCGACAACACAGCATAGCCATATACAAAAGCAGGACCTGCGGGGCACAATGCCACACCGCAGCACTACAGCAACAATTAAAATTAGTGGCTGAAATGTACAAATATTAGACTCACCACTAAAACTCTACCTGGAGCAGGAGAAGGGCTGGCGCGACGACACACACAGGAGACGGAAGTGCAGAGGTAAACAAAAGACGTAAATCTAGGCTACTTATACTGGTCGTAGGCGCCCTCTACTGGACAGAAATATGGTGGCCAAGTCCGGCTTGCCACACATACAGTTTTTTTTCCTATAATTGAAAGTCACCTACAAGAAAGAGAGATCAGAATTATTAACAAGTAGTGTCAGAGGGGGTCATGTGACCTGCTCAAGATGGCGGCGTAAACTACCTTGAAAAATCACTAAAAATAACATTTCTGAATGGAAAGAAGACTATGCCCATACCCGACCGCCTAAAAGAGAAAAACGCCAAGCGCAAAAAACACTACGTAGCGCAAAATCCAACCTACAAACCGAACACGTGTAAGTTATTAGAGTACAATTAAATCCATGTAATTTGTGGACACAGCGCCATCTTCTGGCGGTCGCCAGACCTGCACCCTTAGTTCGCGCGGAAAGTCCAGAGTTCTTTCACTGGAGAACTCGAGACGAGGTAACATGTCCGTGAATTTGTGTGGACAGAATTATTAGTTTACTCATGTGTAGCCATTGAAATGCTAAGCTAGTGATTAATTGTTTTGTAGTATTTAGCTGGTGTATATTTCGCCATGTTCTAGAAAAGTTTTTCTGTAAGATGATTTATTTAACCGTGTTTTTCTACCGGAGAACCTAGCTTAGTGTGTGGCTAACCGATGTCCCTTTGCAGAACGAGACAGCACAGAGCACATGAGTCCACTCCCAGTTACTCACAGTGTTTAATGTTATCTGTGCAGGTATATCATGTTTAAGGTGTTTTTCTGTACATTTATGTTTATTACTGTTTGTTGTATGTGCGTTGCACCATTTAGATAAAGTAGCGTTGTGACTCATACATGATTAGTAGCTAGAAAAAGGTGTGTTCATTTAAATCCACTATACGATATAGTGGACCAACAATAAGCTTTGTGACATGGCAGCAATACAGAGAAGCATGACGAACATAACGCAACTTTGGCAGAAGTTATGGAAAGGTGTGTATGTGCGCAGGTTTGTCCAATCACAGCAGACATTACATGTAACAAATATACTTGAGACCCTATCCAAGTAGTAAAGTGTTGTTTGTATTAGCTTTGTCCAGCAGGGGTCAGTCATGTCATTATGTGTTCATATCATCTAACAGGTGTGCTCATTAACTGACTAACTTTAAAACTGGGTTCTGTGATTGCTTGTGAATGTTTTTAGTGCAGTGTATTTGTGTGCCAGTGATTTAGCAGGTGGGAATAATAATAACAGCATTAACTGGGCAGCATTGTGTGCTGTTAGCTCCATTACAATCACCTCTATACTCACTCTGGAGGTATAATAGGGTTTCTATGAATTTTCCACTAAAAATACTTTTCGCATGAGTGATACGCTGAATTGAGAAATGTAATAGAATATGTTATAACTAACATTAAATGCAGGTAGAATTTTGTATTCTGTAACTATATTATCAAATTATTCTCCCAAACCTGGAGACAACATCAGAGACCATGGAGAAATAGTCTCTCTGCTTTGGAACAAAGCAGGCCATGTGGCTAAGGCTAAGCATTAGAGCTGAGAAAAGAAAACTGAGCAAAGGAAGCTAGCCTTTCACTAAAATTAATGTGTTCATTTAAAGTAAAGTTTTTTCTTTGTTGTATTGTTGTATTGTCTGAAAATTAATAAAAAAAAATATGTTTACCACAGGGTAAACATTTTTAATGTACATAAACAGTACAGAGAAATGGTTTCTGAGAAATGGACATTGGAAATTTCTTTTGGTTAATAATGTGTTTGCAATTGGAGCAAATGTTTGTGAAATCTGTAACATTGTAAAGTGTGATGAGGGTTTGTTTGTAATGTACAGAGAATATTCCCAAAAATCATCACTTTTTACATATCCTTTTGAATCAGACTTTTTGCAGATATTTGAAGTATCTGAACTATCGCAATTGGTAAAGTGTGCACGAGTAGAAGAGCTCACCCATAAAGTCGTTCTTTTGCCCTACAAGGATCATTGTGTGGCTTTCCCCTTGAGCCCTACAATGTAAACATAACGTCTGGTGGGGCCGGGGTGGGCTCATGGGGCGAGATGTTTTTATGTTGATATTGTCTTTGTATTATCGGAATCCATAATAACTTCAAATCAGATGCTTTTTACCCCTCGAAATTGGAAAGTGAAAACAGAGATTGGCTCTTTGGTTGATAGTTGCTAGATTCAAGATCATGGAACCTGTTGTAAGCGGCTGTGTTTGATTTGGGGGACTGGGGAAACTACCTCACTACTTACTCTAAAAAATCCAAAGTTGTAAATAGGGTGGGAACCTAAGGGTACCTCACGATACGATACAAAGCTCACAATAACAATATTATCACGATAACAATATTATCACGATACTTGGCAAATCAATAATCGAATCGCGGGAGAAAGTATCGCGTTATATTGTCACACCCCTAGTTGTAAATGGTGTGAGTAAATAAATAATTAGTAATTGTGTATATAGATAGACATGTAATTGTTATGTTTTCTTTTTCAGTTTATGTATCATCTAATTGAATTTGTCGAGAACAAGCTTCTCTCTGTTGCCCCATCGATGTGGATTAAAGATGGGATGTGCTTTTGGCCACCTTTCCAAAACGATGCTCGCATCGATAGGGCGTGCAGAAAAAAGGAGCTTCCAGGAGACGACTGGCTCAAGTTTGATATCCGCATCCTGGAAACATGTGGTAAGCTTCACACAGCGTGTGTGTTTCCGTCTGTCTGTTAAGCAGCTATTGAGTTAACCCAAAAGTTATGGAAGGTTTTGGACAAAATCTTGCAATGGTCTGATATTGCCAATTTTATATGTTCTTCTGCTTTTTGGTGTTTTTGTTACTGTGTTTACATGATGTGATCAGAAAAAAATATTGTTTTGCAGACCAGTACCTTAAAGTCAGGCAAGCTTTGCAGAGGGCACTGACCTGCTCCACATCTGACCTTCAGTCAGACGAGGAGCCTTCTGGACCAAGTAAGCGGAAGCGTAAAGCAATGTAAGTAAACTATGATTTTTATACAATAATCTCTGCCAAAAAATTTCCCCACTGTGGGACAAGTAAAGCAGCTCTTAATCTTGATTGTTTTACTGGTAACTGGTAAAACACTAATGTTGTTAAATGTATCCTCAGTCACCATTTTGGAGACAGTGGCTCAGAGAGCGCTGAGCCAGAGCCAACAAAAGAGAGAAGAAAAGCTCCATTTATTCCACCACGACCAACAACACAAACACCAATGGCCAAAGAACACACTCCTACTTCCCCTTTGAATTTGACCATTTTAAAAGGTGGTGTAAATATTAAACAAAAAAATTGATACAGTTAAATTGTAATATTTGTGTCTTGATTTAATTAATCTGGTCTTGTTTTTCAGCTACACAGATCCAAATACTGGGCCTTCTCGAAACGATAAAGCTCCAGCAAGAGTAGTACTGGGACAACGTGTCGACGTCATCGATGAAAAATACACCGACGTATAATATGCGCGCCGGTGCGTCACACTCAAAACAATGATGGCGGCGAGCGGGAGCAATGCAAGTGGCGTGTTAGAGAAGTGCAAGCCGGTGTTCTGTCGAGATAATCTGCTTCAGCTGTTAATGATGTAATGCAAACCAGCGCATGCGCGTCTCACGGCAGCCAAAGCAATCCAAGATGGCGGACATGTACAGTACCGTGCGAAAGTATTCGCAAGAACCTTTCAACATTTCGCCACATTTCAGGCTTCAAACATAAAGATATAAAATGTTAATTTTATATCTTTATGTTATGTTTAACCAGCGCTACGTGAGACACACAGCGCTGGTTTGCATTACATCATTAACAGCTGAGCCAGATCATCTTGACGGTCGGACCAACTCGACAGAACACCGGCACGCGCTTGTTCATCCAAAGTTTGGGAATTCTTCGGTTTGAAAGGAAACAACTCAGTGGTTTGTCATTTGTGCAAAATGGAGATGGCTTTCCACTCCAGCAGCACTACGGCAATGCACCGGCATTTGAAGAGACGCCACCCGGGAGCAACAGATGACAGAGCACCGTAAGTTTTATTTCAACTCCCCACTTTACAACATATTATAGCCTACTCCGACATCGAGAGCACCTAATGTTACCTAATGTTTTAGCCTAGTCCACAGTCTATGTTTTCTGTGTTATTAATTTGTGTATTCACGGTGTTAAATGCCACGTTTAAGCAACTTCAGTCAACAAACGGTTGTAACGTTATGTCTTGATTGTCGTTGATGGGTCAGTATTAAGCAGTTAAATGCCAGGACTATTACGGTTTTAAACTTAATATTATCGCCCGTAATAGTCCCCACATGTGACTGTATTCACTGTCATGCTCACCGTTTATGGACATTTTTCAACATGTGTTCTATATTCTTAATGTGTTTAAACTAGGGCTGTCAAAATTATTGCGTTAACTCACGTTAATTACATTTTTTATTAACGCGTTATTATTTTTTTGACGCATTAACGCATGTCCGAATGACCCGCCCATTTATCCATAAGAATATCACTCAGAATGCTGCGTGTGAGATGGCCTCCTCCGTGGCCGCTCTGGTTGTTGTTAGCGGCTGTGAGTGAGTGCAAGCTTTGCACGGGCTGCAAGCATGGATCTAGCTATTATAATAACAGCAGCAAGCGATTGCTCCGTTCACATACTCAGCGCTCTGCGCACTGTATTTTCCCTGGTTCTTGTCTGTCAGGCGCGCTCTGCGTACTGTATTTTCCCTGGTTCTTGACTGTCAGGCGTGAGTGTTGCTCGTGTGTGTCTTTGGGAACTAATTATTTTAAAATAGTCTCTTTCAATTGCAAGTTTTGTAATCTGTTTGTTTGATCAATGGATAAAAATAAATGCAATTTAATTAAATGGCACCTTGGCCTGTCTTATACCTGTTTGCCTGCAGGACAGTTCCCTAAACTAACATATCATACTAAAATAGGGTGGGGTTGTTGCAACAATTAATCTACTTAGAAGTTATCCTAAATTAAATCGGTACTCAGACAAACGAAAAAGTAACGCAATAGTTACTTTTACTGCTAACTAGTTACTTTTATAGTGGAGTAACTCAGTAAGTCAATTACTTTTTGGAAGAAGTAACTATAACTAATTACTTTTTCAAAGTAACTTACCCAACACTGGTAATTATATTTGATAATCTCATTTAACTTCAATTGGAGTGGATTTGAAATAGAATGTTAAACATGCGATTAATCGTGAGTTAACTCACCATTACTATGCAATTAATCAACTAAAAAAATGTAATCGTTTGACAGCCCTAGTTTAAACTGTTGATTCTCTGATCTGTGTTGGTGATTTCAATGGTTTTGTTGATTTCAATGGTTTTGTTAAGTCTCTGAGATGATGCTGTTGTGATTTAAGGAATTACAAGAATAAAATTGTATTGTATTGCGCAAGTGACGTTTATATTACACACATTAGATTTGGTTTGTCTACTTGTTGATATTTAATCGATGGGCATAGCCTGTAGGCTGAGGTGGATACATAATAAAATTGTATAATGTATTTATTTGTTTGTGTATTATTATATTTATTTTAATGTGTATGTGTGTGTGTGCTTTATGTTTTCAGGGATAAGAAGAATAGTGTGGAAAATTACTTTCGCAAGAAAAATACACCCCCAGGAGGCTGCCATACTCACTGAGAGCGTCGTATCGATGATTGTTAAAGACATGAGGCTGATTGCTGTGGTTGAGGGCGAGGGATTCAAAGAAATGCTGACCATCTTTGAATCAGGAAACTTCAGTGGAGAAACTTGAAATCAAACTTAAAATGTCCATATCCAAAATCTCCTTCAGCACTGATGCCTGGACACGTCTGGTCACAGAAGCCCACTTGGGGGTAACTTGTCATTTTATTGATGACAGTTGGAATCTTGTCTCATTCAATTTGACAACACTGCCTGTTGAAGAACGCCACACAGCGGAAAACATTGCCTCTAGGCTAAAGACTGTGGCAGAAGATTTCGTCTGAGAATGTTCTTGCTGTTGTCTATGACAATGCACGTAACATTGTGGCAGCGCTCAGAATTTTGATTTGGGGTCGTATCCCATCGGTGTGCTGGCCATACACTACAACTGGTTGTCAACCATGCAATGGACAACCCTGTGATTAGCAAGGCACTCTCAGCCACACGCTGCCTTGTAAAACACATCAAGAAAAGTGAGCCGACTACCACTAAGCTGAAGCTAAACCAAAGACAGATGGGCACAGTTGAACAAGAAAATGATACAGGATGTAGCTGTTCGTTGGAATAGCACATACTGTATGATTGAACGTCTTTTAGAGCAGCGATGGCCAGTGGTTGCAACGCCATCAGATCCAGAAGTCACACAGCGCGGATAGCACTATTTTGATCTGAAAAGCAATCAATGGATTCTTCTGGAGGAATTGTGCTCAAGCCCTATGAGCAAGCCACAGTTTTCCTTAGTGGTCAATCTTATGTCACCCCCCGCTGAAGGGTCTCCTGAAATCCACCTGAAACAAATCATTTGCTTCTGCTGCCATGATCTTTTTCCAGACCAAAGCAGAAGAGGAAGTGATATCAAGGTGGCAGGGGGACGTGTTTGTATTTCAAGAGAATGGAACAAATGTGTCTCTCGCTGCTGCTCTTGATCCCCGTTTTCAGAAATTGAAGTTCCTTTCAGCAGATGATGCACTCAAACTACAAGTACAAATCCAGACTGATGCTCTTGAAATCCAAAGGAAGCAGAGATTGTTATAGCCCGCTGTGGGCCAGGAAGCCTCAGCAAGTTCCCCACCAAAGGAGAGGGGCTCTTTGTTGGACACTTTGTTGGGCACCGATTCTGAGGGGGAAGATGGCAATGAAGAAAACATGGACCAGGAGAATGGTGATGGGTCGGGGACAGTGAGACCGTCAGGAAAGAGGTGCTTATGTATTTTGGGGAAAACACTACAATCTTTGCAACCTCAACTCTGCTCCAGGCGGGGAGTGTTGTCCTCAGTCTTCTCTAAATGAAGGCTGAAAGTTTATGTGTCATGCTTTCATATTGTTGGTGATGATTTTGTGTCATTCCTAGTATAATGAAGGACCTGAGTGGAATTGTGACAGCCACGTGGTTTTACCAGAGCCTCTGATTTGTTCTGATAGTCATGAGAAAAGTGCAGTTTATTTTCATCAAAGTTCCACACAACCACAACTGGCTCAACAGTCCTGGACCTGAGACCGGACCTTACGCTTTAACAGTGAGTTTAACAGTGAGTGTGAAATAAAAGCAGGTGGGAGTAGATGGTGTGGAACTGCACCGTGCGCAGTTCGTGCTGCTGCTGTTGTCTGTGTTGAACTCATATTGACACGGAATTAGGAAATAAAAGAGACAGAAGTTATCTGTAACACACAATGTTGTGGGGCCGGTGTGATCTGAGGGAGCTCTTCATAATGACACAAAAATGCAGTCTTCACATTTTGCCAAGGGCTTTTAAAAATTATTTTAACAAAAAACGTTCCGGGCTGTAGCCCTTGAATAACTTAAACAACATGAACAACTGTTTTACCAAATGATTTCGAACGCAGTGTAACTTTCTCTGTCACACTCTTCAAACTCTTTTAGCACATTTCTTGTGCATAGCAGAAATTCTATTTTTAACGTAGAATTTTATTCCTGACCATGTCCGATCTTTAAGTGGCTCAGTTGAAGCTTCCAGGCATGCAGTGCAGGGCGACTTCCCAGGAACTTTCCCATTTTGTATGAAACTCATCGGGGTCTTTTCCACTGCCGTTTCCTCCTCTTCAGACCATGGCTTTCGTATGTTTTCTATAGATACACAGGTTGTTTCATTGGCCAGAACAAGCTAAAGAGGGTTCACTCAGGATTATAAAGCCTTTACAGTCATGTTTAAAATTATAGAGGTTTTATCTGGTAAAGTAAAACATTTTTGACCAAAGCACCTACTGCAGTGTTATCTACATGTATGAGGCATAATCTACATGCATGTAGATCATGCCTCATGCATGTAGATGAGGCATATTACATGCATGAGGCAAATCATAACAAAAAAGTAAATTTGAAAGAAGTCTACACTTAAAATCTAAACTTACCTGGACTGAATCTGGACTGGACCGAATCTGCTCAATTTCAGACAGTCCAGGGGCTAAATCTGTATGAGTCGCAGTTTGTTTTCTTGAAGTAAAAGCTGCCAGTGGCATCTTTGACACCTCACCTTCTCTACTTTGATTAAAAATTAGACCTCACAAAGTGTCAAAACTGCTAGTTTTGACCAGTTTTTCTTGTTCGAATTATCTTTTAGCTTCTGCAGGTGTTCATCATGATGTGCATCAATGTGCGCATGCATAGCTCTAACCTCTGTGAATGGGAGGAGCTGAGGCTTATTCCACTTTGCCTCTCGTAAGGCACAATTGAAGACGCAGACATCCCACTTCTTCTCATAAAGCATACGACTTCGCTGGAGCTTTTTTTATAAAATGTTCATTCACAGTAGTTTCCATTTTTGCATCACATTTGATTCAAGTATATCAGCGATCTTCCTAAGACTGACCAAGTTTTAAAGCCAATGATGGGGTCCGGTACAGGTTTGTTTCTTCATTGAAGCCACGTTCCTGACGGCTTCAATTACATTGTTAAAGTTTGAGGGCACAAAAAAGTCTTCTATTTTTACCAGTTTTCCTGCTTTTCGTGAATTTTAGATTAATCTACCTACTTCTCGCATTTTCTGCCTGATATACTCATGCTTAGTTTTCTCATGACCATGCTTTAAATATAAAGCATGGCAAGATGGCGCCTCGTACGGTCGACATGGCTCTTTGCTGCTCTCTTTTTCTTTTGTTTTTACTTTTTAACTGTGCATCTGGCTGTTCCTACACCCGTGAGGAACTTATGAACATCCGACCCACCGTTCCCATGGACCTATTGCCTGTTTTCTTGGCATCTGCGGCTGATTTAGTTCATGTTCTAGCCAAAAAAGTGTGGGCCCGTAAAAGGGGAAAGCGAGGAGGCCTGCTCGTGCGTCTTAGGAGGAGAGGAGCGCGCACGGCTCTCCCCGGCATTTTTCTCTCCAACGTACGCTCACTGGGCAATAAGATGGACGAACTCAGCCTGCTCATGAGAAGAAACAAGGACTTCGCCACATCCTGTGTCCTCTGCTTCACTGAGACCTGGCTAAATGAGCGGATCCCGGACTGCGCTCTGGAGCTGCAGGGCTTTGGGCTGTTTCGCGCGGATCGCCATTGTGCGCTCTCAGGGAAGAGCAGAGGCGGTGGGCTGTGTTTCTACGTCAATACAAACTGGTGTAACGATGTGACAGTGATCTCCAAGCACTGCTCTCCTGCTCTGGAATATCTTTTCATTCATTGTAAACCATATTACTCCCCGCGGGAAATTGTTTCATTCATTCTTGCCTCTGTTTACATACCGCCATGCGCGGACGCGCGCGAGGCTCAGCGCGCACTCGCAGAGCAAGTACTGTGTATGGAACGCTTATACCCGGACTCTCTGATTATTATCCTGGGGGATTTTAATAAGGGAAACTTGAGCCAGGAATTACCCAAATACAGACAGTTTATCAAATGCCCGACCAGAGAGGAGAACACTCTGGATCACTGTTACACCACCGTGCGCGGAGCTTTTCGCGCTGTTCCCAAGCCAGCCCTCGGCTTCTCAGATCACTCCATGATACATCTGGTTCCTGCTTACAGACAGAGACTAAAGCTCTCGAAACATGCAGTGAGGAGCTCCAAAGTGTGGTCTGATGAAGCTGTGGAAGAGCTGCGCGCATGCATGGAATCTACAGACTGGGACCTTTTCAGAGCTGCCACAGACAGCTTGGATGAATATACGGACACTGTGACGTCATACATCCACTTCTGTGAGGATAGCATCATTCCAACAAGGACCAGGGTCATCTATAACAACGACAAACCCTGGTTCACTGCTAAACTCCGGCAGCTCAGGAAAGCAAAGGAGTCTGCTTTCAGGGAGGGGGACCGCAGCGGCTACAAAGCAGCTAAATATCAGTTCAGGAAAGAACTGAAAGCAGCCAAGTCCCGGCACAGAGAACGACTACAGGAGCAGTTTGGTAACAACGATACTGCTTCTGTCTGGAGGGGCCTACGGGAGATCACCAACTACAAACCCAAAGCCCCCCCCTGTGCTGATGACCACAAGCTAGTGACGATCTGAACTTATTTTTCAGTCGCTTTGATGCTGCCCCTGACACCTCTCCCTCCCCCACCCCCCACTACTCTAACGACCCACCCATCAGCCCTGCCCCCAGCCTAACAATAGCCCCTAAAGAGATTAAACAACTCTTCCTGAGGCTGCACCCCCGCAAAGCTCCTGGCCCGGACCACGTGTCTCCGGCCACTCTGAGACACTGCGCCAGTGAGCTTACTCCTGTGTTCACGGACATTTTCAACTCCTCTCTGCAGTCCTGCCATGTCCCGGCCTGCTTCAAATCCTCCATCATTGTCCCCGTCCCGAAGAAGCCCAGGATCACAGGACTCAATGACTACAGACCTGTAGCACTTACGTCTGTCGTCATGAAGTCATTTGAACGCCTGGTTCTCTCCCATCTCAAGTCCCTCACCTCCCCCCTCCTGGACCCCCTGCAGTTCGCCTACAGAGCCAACAGATCTGTAGACGACGCCATTAACCTGGCCCTCCACCACATCCTACAGCACCTGGACTCCCCGGGGACCTACGCCCAGGGTCCTGTTCGTGGACTTCAGCTCTGCCTTCAACACAATCCTGCCATCCCTGCTCCAGGACAAGCTCTCCCAGCTCAACGTGCCAGATTCCACCTGCAGGTGGATCACTGACTTCCTGACGGACAGGAAGCAGCGAGTGCGTCTGGGGAAGAATGTCTCGGACTCTCGGATTATAAATACAGGAGCCCCACAGGGCTGTGTTCTTTCTCCCCTGCTCTTCTCCCTGTACACCAACCACTGCACCTCCAGCCACGACTCCGTGAAGCTGATCAAGTTCGCGGACGACACCACCCTCATTGGACTCATCTCCAACAACGATGAGTCCGCCTACAGGAGGGAGGTGGACCGGCTGGTGTCCTGGTGCAGTGGTAACAACCTGGAGCTGAACGCCCAGAAGACAGTGGAGATGATTGTGGACTTCAGGAAGAGCACTGTCCCCCCGCCCCCACCCTCCGTGATGGACTCCCCCATCACCTCTGTGGAGTCCTTCCGTTTCCTGGGCACCACCATCACCCAGGACCTCAAGTGGGAGCCGACCATCAGCTCCCTCATCAAGAAGGCCCAGCAGAGGATGTACTTCCTGCGGCAGCTCAGGAAAGCCAAGCTGCCTGCACAGATGTTGGTGCAGTTCTACACGGCCATCATCGAGTCCATCCTCACCTCCTCCATCACCGTGTGGTTCGCTGGAGCCACAGTCAGGGACAAACAGAGACTACAGCGCATTGTGCGCTCTGCAGAGGAAGTGATCGGCCGCAGCCTTCCATCGCTGCAGGACCTGTACGTCGCCCGAGCTCGAGGCCGGGCTGGTCGTATCACAGCCGACCCCTCTCACCCTGCACATGGACTATTCCAACCACTCCCCTCAGGCAGGAGGCTGCGGTCCATCAGGACTAGAACCTCCCGCCACAAGAACAGTTTCTTCCCCTCTGCTGTTGGACTCTTGAACACTTCTTAACCTGTCCCCCCGCCCTTTATAAAGTCACTTTACTGCCCATCATACGTCACTTTACTTCACTGTACTGCTGTCACCTTACATTGTGTGCACCATGTGCACTTGTATATTGTAAATAGTAACTGTAACTCTATTTTAAATTTAAATTTAATCTTTAGAAGTGTTTTTTATTCTTATTTTTATTATCTCTTTTTGACTGTTGCACTGAGCCAAAGCAATTTCCAAGTCTGTGACCTCCCGTTACTTACGTTGGCAATAAAAATGATTCTGATTCTGATTCTGATTCTGACTCTGATTCTGATAAATGCTCACCGAGTCTCATAATGCTTTTTTCATGTTTTATTATTCTTGTGACCTCATCTTGGTGCAATTCACAAGAGTCCAAACTTTGCTGCTAACACAGGCTGTGCAAAAGCACATAGTGACTTGACCCGACTTCTACCTGGCTTTGTTTCTGCAGGTTTTTGTGACAGCCTGCAGCGGGTCATATGCCTCCATAATGCCTTGCGTTTCAACAGTTTATACACAGTTTATACAATGTAAATATTCGTTTGCTTTCACAGGAGCAGCTGTCTGTTTACTTGGTAGGAGAGTTTCACTGCCAGATTTCATGACCTAAAAATTGTGAGCTCTGTCTCCATTGTTTCTGATGAGGTCCAACTGAAGTTTTTGCTCTTTGGATTTTACTGGTAAAGACAATGCTTTTGCTGCATCACTTTCATTTGGGTGTTTTCGTTGCAAATGCCTTGACATTTTGTGGCAGCTTGTTGAACAGTACAGGCAGAAATGTCTGCTATACATTCTTGCTCCATTTTCTTTTTGAAGCTCCATTATTGCTATCTTTTCTTATGGTTCATCAATTTCTGAGTCTTGAGGAGGAGTATTGGGGAATTATCTTTTTTTTTATTATTTTTTAGTTGGAATATTTTTTTGGATTGCTGGTGACCTCCGGTGAAATGTCCAGGGGGCGATGTCGAGTCCGGTCGCACTAGACCCCCATATGTCAACATTTGTACATATCTTCTGGAATCTGCCCACGGACTCGTTGGACAAACACCAGGACTCGCAGGAGCTCACCACCCTGATTGAGCAGGAGGTGTCCGCGATGGTGAACCGTGTCCTTTCTGAGGAGCAAGAGAAGGGCCCTGTGATGGTGGACTCCCTCATCAGCAGCGTGAGTTTGGCTCGCAGCATGATCGAGAAGGGAAACTCCTGCCTCAAGAGGTGCCTTCATTCCTTGTTCTGCTCCTGCGGCCTCAGATTCGCCAAAAATAATTTCCGAAGCATGCAGATATATCTGGAGGCAGAACTTCTGGTTGAAGAGATAGAGCCAGAGACGAAGAGTTTGTCGAGCTCTGGGAGTAACCCAGACCTGGAAAGAACTCGGGGTTATGCTTTGAGGACTCCAGAGGTTCGTTTTGAGCAGTTTCAACCTGAAATAGAGGAGTTGTTTCGAAAGTTAGATCTGTCAACAAGTCCTGACCATAGACTGTATATATTAATGGACAGAGTCACGCCTATCTCCGCTGTTCTAACTAATGGGCCAAAAAATGTGCTCTACTGGAGCAATCCAAAATGGCCACGAGTGGTCCCGCCCACAAGAAAATTGTGAAAAAAACGCATCTGCGCATGCGTCAGCCGGCGCAGCTCCATTCATTTGAACGAGAGACTTAAAAAATTCACAGCAAGTAAACTAGAGTGGACCAAAAAAATCCACCCCCCTCAGCATTGACACACATGTGGAACGGAGCTTTGGGCCAAGAGCCAACTTTTGGTCCATCTTTTAAAGACGTTTTTGAGAGGTCTGCCAATGCTATATGTTAGCATTGGCTAATTCTACTTCTGGGTCCACCCCCATCGGCCCGGGGTGGTATTGCAAGCATGTCAGCGCACGTCATTTTGGCAACTTTTGAGCTGGGACCCTCCCCCACTGGTCCTGACGCAGAAACAAGTCAAGAGAGACTGGCCCATTCCTTGGATAGTGAGCAAACCACTATCTTTGTTCAGAAACTGACAGACACAATGTACTGTCACTTTCAGATCCTAAACAGATTTTTTCTTGCTGCGTCACCAAACGCGGAGATAATCAGTGAGTTCCAGAACCAAGACCCCGAGCAGTCATACACACGGAAAACAAGGGTAAGATGTAAGCCCAGGCACCATGACCTGCAGCGGACATACACCACGGTGCAGAACGAGGTATCAAATTACCTTCGAAGCCTCCAGGATTACATAGCGCAAGACCCATTGGAAAACTTCTACCGCCAGGATCTGTTTGAGTTGTGCATGGAGAAGCCGCCTCTGTCGCCCAACTCCCAGCAGGCCCCGACGTATAATGTGTCCATTCCTTCTCAAGGGTTTGTCCCCGTCCAGGTGGACTTTCAACAACTATCAGGGCACTCCTTCAACAGCCAGAAACACGACCTGTTCGAGAGGTATATTTAATAACAAAGATGGAGCTGGAGCCTCTTGCATGTTGTGGTGGACACACACATTATGACCTCACTCCTAAAAGTTATTTATTGTTAAGGATGATGTCTGTAAGAAGCACACTGAAAAAGAAGTGCTGAAAAATAAGTCAAAACTGTCTCAGATTTGGCAAAATGTGTCTTAATTTGAGCACATTCTTAAAACTAGATTTGCCTATGGGACAAAGCAAGTAGATCAAAATGATGATGAATGCTTGAAACAATGGTTTGGGTCATGATTTAAAGGACGAGATTGTGGCTACAAGCCCAGTCACACAGGAGGAGCTCGCAGTAGAGCCGCTGCTTTGGCACATTGTTTGCCAATAAAAGGAATGGAGCAGTCAAAATCAAAACTCAAAATATGTCAATCTGAAACGAAACACAACCATGTTTAATCATGCATTATCTTGTGTTCTAAAAGAATAGACATTCAGCAGAGAAAATACATAAAAAATGCTGTCAGTTTGATAAAAGTGTATTTATTTATCTATTATTTGGCTGGTATTCTGCAGATCTTCTGTTGAGTCTGAGACTGAGGCTGCTCCAGGCTTGAACTAATACACAGGAGCAGTGCAGTAAAAAGATCAACACAACTGCATAAGGAGCGCGGAAGTGATGTGTATGTATTGTGTTAATTAGATAGCTATAAAGTGATCTGGCCTTAGGACAACGACCCGATTGTGTATCTGCCATGATTGTGTGTCCGTGTTCTGTTCTTTCGTTGTCTTGTTATGTTCTGATTGTTCTCTTGATGTGACACGAATGCTTATCACATGTGTGACGTAAACGTTGACTATAAAAACCATATCCTAAATATGTTCTGTCTGAAAAACCACTGAAAAAACTGACCAAACTGAATAAACAACCACGCCATGATGCACAGGATCCTGTTTGGTCTGAGTGATTTTCGACAGTATATGTATATGTACATGTAGATGTATTATACTGAGACTAGAGAGGTCTGAGTCTGCCTGTAGACTGAGACTACAGAGGTCTTAGTGTGTATGTACTAACCCTAACCCTACTGAGACAAGAGAAGTCTGCATGTATACTGAGACAAGAGAAGTCTGCATGTATACTGAGACAAGAGAAGTCTGCATGTATACTGAGACAAGAGAGGTCTGCATGTATACTGAGACAAGAGAGGTCTGCATGTATACTGAGACAAGAGAGGTCTGCATGTATACTGAGACAAGAGAGGTCTGCATGTATACTGAGACAAGAGAGGTCTGCATGTATACTGAGACAAGAGAGGTCTGCATGTATACTGACACACGAGTGGTCTGTATGTATACTGAGACAAGAGAGGTCTGTATGTATACTGAGACGAGCGGTCTGCATGTATACTGAGACAAGAGAGGTCTGCATGTATACTGAGACAAGAGAGGTCTGCATGTATACTGAGACAAGAGAAGTCTGCATGTATACTGAGACAAGAGAGGTCTGCATGTATACTGAGACAAGAGAAGTCTGCATGTATACTGAGACAAGAGAGGTCTGCATGTATACTGAGACACGAGAGGTCTGCATGTATACTGAGACAAGAGAGGTCTGCATGTATACTGAGACAAGAGAGGTCTGTATGTATAATGAGACTAGAGAGGTCTGCATGTATACTGAGACTAGAGAGGTCTGCATGTATACTGAGACTAGAGAGGTCTGCATGTATACTGAGACTAGAGAGGTCTGCATGTATACTAAGACAAGAGAAGTCTGCATGTATACTGAGACTAGAGAAGTCTGCATGTATACTGAGACAAGAGAGGTCTGCATGTATACTGAGACAAGAGAGGTCTGCATGTATACTGAGACAAGAGAGGTCTGCATGTATACTGAGACTAGAGAGGTCTGCATGTATACTGAGACTAGAGGTCTGCATGTATACTGAGACAAGAGAGGTCTGCATGTATACTGCGACAAGAGAGGTCTGCATGTATACTGAGACAAGAGAGGTCTGTATGTATACTGAGACAAGAGAGGTCTGCATGTATACTGAGACAAGAGAGGTCTGCATGTATACTGAGACTAGAGAGGTCTGCATGTATACTGAGACAAGAGAGGTCTGCATGTATACTGAGACAAGAGAGGTCTGCATGTATACTGAGACAAGAGAGGTCTGCATGTATACTAAGACAAGAGAAGTCTGCATGTATACTGAGACTAGAGAAGTCTGCATGTATACTGAGACAAGAGAGGTCTGCATGTATACTGAGACAAGAGAGGTCTGCATGTATACTGAGACAAGAGAGGTCTGCATGTATACTAAGACAAGAGAAGTCTGCATGTATACTGAGACTAGAGAGGTCTGCATGTATACTGAGACTAGAGAGGTCTGCATGTATACTGAGACAAGAGAGGTCTGCATGTATACTGAGACTAGAGAGGTCTGCATGTATACTGAGACTAGAGAGGTCTGCATGTATACTGAGACTAGAGAGGTCTGCATGTATACTAAGACAAGAGAAGTCTGCATGTATACTGAGACTAGAGAAGTCTGCATGTATACTGAGACAAGAGAGGTCTGCATGTATACTGAGACAAGAGAGGTCTGCATGTATACTGAGACAAGAGAGGTCTGCATGTATACTGAGACTAGAGAGGTCTGCATGTATACTGAGACTAGAGGTCTGCATGTATACTGAGACAAGAGAGGTCTGCATGTATACTGCGACAAGAGAGGTCTGCATGTATACTGAGACAAGAGAGGTCTGTATGTATACTGAGACAAGAGAGGTCTGCATGTATACTGAGACAAGAGAGGTCTGCATGTATACTGAGACTAGAGAGGTCTGCATGTATACTGAGACAAGAGAGGTCTGCATGTATACTGAGACAAGAGAGGTCTGCATGTATACTGAGACAAGAGAGGTCTGCATGTATACTGAGACAAGAGAGGTCTCCATGTATACTGAGACAAGAGAGGTCTGCATGTATACTGAGACTAGAGAGGTCTGCATGTATACTGAGACTAGAGAGGTCTGCATGTATACTGAGACTAGAGAGGTCTGCATGTATACTGAGACAAGAGAGGTCTGCATGTATACTGAGACAAGAGAGGTCTGCATGTATACTGAGACAAGAGAGGTCTGCATGTATACTGAGACAAGAGAGGTCTGCATGTATACTGAGACAAGAGAGGTCTGCATGTATACTGAGACTAGAGAGGTCTGCATGTATACTGAGACTAGAGAGGTCTGCATGTATACTGAGACTAGAGAGGTCTGCATGTATACTGAGACTAGAGAGGTCTGCATGTATACTGAGACTAGAGAGGTCTGCATGTATACTGAGACTAGAGAGGTCTGCATGTATACTGAGACAAGAGAGGTCTGCATGTATACTGAGACAAGAGAGGTCTGCATGTATACTGAGACAAGAGAGGTCTGCATGTATACTGAGACAAGAGAGGTCTGCATGTATACTGAGACAAGAGAGGTCTGCATGTATACTGAGACAAGAGAGGTCTTGCATGTATACTGAGACTAGAGAGGTCTGCATGTATACTGAGACTAGAGAGGTCTGCATGTATACTGAGACTAGAGAGGTCTGCATGTATACTGAGACTAGAGAGGTCTGCATGTATACTGAGACTAGAGAGGTCTGCATGTATACTGAGACTAGAGAGGTCTGCATGTATACTGAGACTAGAGAGGTCTGCATGTATACTGAGACTAGAGAGGTCTGCATGTATACTGAGACTAGAGAGGTCTGTATGTGATTGTCTAAAAAAAGACCTGGGCGTGTGTCAGAATTTGATGCAGAAATAAGACAAAGATTTCAAGTTAAACATCTGTATTTAATTATCTTCACAATTAAATACAAAACTCAGCTTCTATCTAACTGGCTAACCCTACATAATCCTATGAGCTGAGCTTAAGAGTAACTGTCCCTAAACTTATGGGAGAGGACGATCCAGGCGCTCTGCCAATGTCCCCTGTCTATCTGCCCCTGCTCAGACTGACTAACAACAGTTTTATATAACATGTAGAAAAACAGGAAGTGCCTCCGCTGACGTCATCTGGACTGGTCTCGGACTCTGGTCTTGGATTTGGGCCCGGGTCCAAGTCTTTGGTCTTGGGACTCTGATTCGCATCATTCTCCTCCTCGACAGCTCTCCACTTTGTCTGAAAAACATCCTCACTCCCAAAATCCTAACTTCTCCTTTTAAGTTGTTAGGATTAGATAGCGATTTGACCTACGGAGGACAACTGCAAGACTCTACAAGGACTCTTCTGATGCATCCATGTTTTGACTATGATACTGTCTCTGGATTTGACACGTATGTCTTTCAGTGTGTGACGTGACAATGACTATATAAACTGTACTGCCTTTATTCTGTCTGAGAGAAAGAAACATCGGAAACCACTGGAACTTGAGAGAAACTTAAATAAACTTTCTATACGCTGCCGTAGCTGAACTGACATCAACCTGTAATAAATCCCCTTGGCACTGAACATCGAACACACCTGTGTGTGGTGCAAAACCTAAAACAATAGTCTAATCGTTGTACATAAAATCACTCAAAATATAAGAGTATGACGTGTGCATGTAACCAAGCTTTTCATTTAATTCCTTTATTGTGGTTAGCCATGCTTCTAATTAAATTCCTTTATTGTGGTTAGCCATGCTTCTAATTAAATTCCTTTATTGTGCTTAGCCATGCTTTTAATGAAATTCCTTTAATGTGGTTAGCCATGCTTCTAATGAAATTCCTTTATTGTGGTTAGCCATGCTTCTAAATTAATTGGGGTTAACCAGGCATGTTTTTTATAGCAATGGAAAATTGTAAATCCATTCCATAAACCTACATCAATTCACATATTGTGGTTAGCAATGCTTCTAAGTTAACTATTGATAGCAATGATTCCAGTGTTATCAATTGAGATTAGCCATGCGTCTAAATTCAGATGACAGTTTTGTCGATGCAAACGGCGTAATCAATTATTCAAAGATGTGTATTTTGAAACGCCTTGTTACGTAAACTCATTAAAACATATCAATTCCCCTCGAGCTGAAGCTGAAGCTGAAGCTAGTGTCAGGAATGAACCAGACAGAGACGGATCGTGGTGCGCCAAACTCTCGCTATCTAATCCTAACAATTTTATCCTTTATCTTAATTTTATATTTTCTTATTTCTATTATCCTAAATAATAGACTTATTTGATGTGTGCGATCTGAGTGCTCTTATTTCCTTCTTTCTCTGCTGTAATGTGCAACGATGACACTGACATTTCCCCATTGCGAGACGAATAAAGGTTTATCTTATCTTACTAACGTGACCGCTGGGAATAAACAAAATATCTTCAAGCCTTAAAGTCTTAGCTTCGGAACATATGGAAAAGACACTTGGATGTACCGTGTGTATGTACCGTGGATATATTATGTACTCTTTCCTCTTTGGCTCAAACAACGCCAGCCGCAGTGATGCAACCATCCATCCGTGGATCCAATTCGTGCGAAGCTTCGTGACGTATTTATCCCGCGACACATTTTACGTTTACGCGACGCAGGAGTCAGGACGGGGGCAGTGATGGCGAGCGGTAAAAAGAGCGCTCCTCTGTCCTCTTTGGCCGCTTATGGAGAGTCTGAACCCGACTCAGACTCAGACTCGGATGCTTCAGGTAAATAGCAGGCTAATGGTCTACCTCGTTGATCTGTTTAAACTGAAATATTCGTCTCTGGCTCACACTTGCTAACAGTAGCGTTAGCACATGAAGCTAGCGGTTAAGCCAAGTAAGGGATTGGAATATGAATGGGTGTTTATTGTTTACCATATGTCATATAATAGTTCTTATCGGTGTATTTTGTAAGGAGAAACTGGTTATATAGAGGAGGTATGGAACGAATGCGGTGTTACAATAACACAACAACACAATAAACCTAATGTAGTTATACATGCTTTATATTTATTCAATATTCTTTACAGGTGCATTGTGGGGCTGAAAATCACTATGAAATTGCAATTGGAATAGTCCAAATAAGCAAATCGCAATGACTGCAATTATTTAAGTGTTGTGTTTAAAATGAAAACTATGATTTTTATAGTGAGAAATCTCCAACAGCAAACAGCCTATTGTTTGACAGAACACATCTATTCATGTTATGGACATTTATCAACTCCCTATAGACCTGATACCTCTGTGTTTGGACTGGTTGATTCTTTGATCTGTGTTGATAATGGTTTGGTTAAGTCCTCTGAGATAACTTCTGTTGTGATTCAGGACAATTCAAGAATGAATTGAAATAAGTTTTTGTTTTAAATCTATAAACCTCACATAAAATATATTTCTAACGTACCATTTGTTTCTGAAAAGTAACCAAGCAATGATACCAGCCACACATTCTATAGAAGCTCGTTTTCTCATTTTGAATAATAATCTTTCATAATAATCTACATCTGTTTGGATTAATGTTGGAGAAGCCAAAATAAAGTAAAAGTGAAGAAAGTAAAAACATGTTTTGGGAAACAGTTCCTGTGGTAAGACTATCGTTCACATTTTATTTGTAGTTTAAATAATGTGCTTGTGTAATTCATAGTCCAAATGAGAGGATAGCACTCTCGCTTCTCAGCAAGAAGGTCCTGGGTTTGAATCCTGTTCGAAACAGTCTTTCTGAGTGGAGTTTACATGTTCTCCTTGTGCCTGCTCCCGTTTCCTCCAGGTGCTCCGGTTTCACCTCCCAATAACAACATGTACAATAGGTCTGAATGTAATGAGTGAATGGAGGGTGTTTGTCGGAGGCTTTGATGGTTCAGTGTGTCCGTGTGTGTACATTTTATCTGCAACAGTTGGGGATGTTGTTATAGTTGTGGTTCTGAAACTGCTAATGTTGTTCCTCACAGAGAGCAGAGGAGCATGTCTGGTCTACGGCTACGGAGAGGACGACCTGAGCAAGACCGAAGATGCAGGAGAGAAGACGTTTGCAGAGGAAGAAAGTGGAGGAAGCATCTCGGTCAGTATTTCCAGATCGATCTGTGATGTTTGTACCCAACCTTTGGGTTTAATCTGCTCTGGTTGTAACGAACTCTGACCGTAGTTTTGCCCCAAAGCCACGGGTTCAATGTAAGTCCGGCTGTTTGATCACCAGGAGAGACCGGAGCTGGTGTGGAGTTTGGCAAAAAAAACAACTCTAAGCAGAAACTTTATGTGCCCATGACTTTGGTGCAGGCCGCAAAAAGAATTGGACATTTTCAGTTTGCATAAAATGTATGTATTTTGTATCACGGTTATGAGAACATCAGTTTCCCCTTAAAACAAATGGTTTTTCCTTTGGGTTCATTTTGACATTTTGATAAGCCTTAATTATTTTTGTATTTAATCTCCTTATCCATATTTCAATCGAATGAGGAATTGGATAAACCATCTTAGGCGTATTAGCTGACATAGAGCTGAGTGTGTATTCTGCCTGTGGCCCAAATCTCAGTCCGGCTCGGCGTCGTGTGAGAAAATGTTACTGTGTTGCTTCCGTTACTGTTGCTCATCGGCCCATCATTGTACAAAGCCTTGACGAGTCAGACATTGTTCTGCCCCAACCAAGCAGTGCCAGACTGAACTTTGAGCTGGAATACGATGTAGGCGGGGCTAACGTCCGGCTGGACCTCGGCTACACTTTTAGGGTGTTGCAGGGTAATTGTTTTAAGATCCTCTAACTGTTCTCCTCCTGGAAATCCTACTTGTGTTAAATATATGATGTTTCTGAAAAATACGATACAAGTAATTTACACATAATACTACAGCAAGAGTTCTGTACAATCAAAAGGACTTAGTTTTATTGTGTTATTGGTATTGACTTTGACAATGTTACAGTTCGGTCTGAAGCTTCTGTGTGGATTTAGTAATGGTTCATTTCTACATTTAAAAGAGGCAATGTCTACTTTATAAAGATGCGCAAAAAAAGGATTTTGTTTTGGTGAGACAAAGTATTACACATTACTTGGGTCAGTGTTATTGGTTGTTGATTACATGTTATTGCCCACAGTGGCCCCCCCACCTCGTCCATACTGCTGCCTCTGCGCCCCCACCCAGTCCATACTGCTGCCTCTGCCCCCCCCCCCATGAGCTGCCTACACGGGCCTGCCCACGTTTGACCCTTTTTTTATTTTGTGTTTTCATAGGAGATGGAAGAATCTGACGAGGGGAGGGACGCAAATGATGTGGAGGTATTTGATGTTTGTAGACCCCCCCCACAAAACTAAAAGCTAATCTGTTTTTACTAACACGTAAAGGGGAGGCTCGTCCACTAGATGGCGCTGTGGGGTCACTTTTGCTGTGGCTGGCCTCATGAGGGTTGTGTGAATTGGTATTACTCTACTAACAACTTGTGTGTGTGCTTTGAAGCCACTGGATGTTTGCTCTTTGTATTTCCTTTGCCATATTCTTAAGTCTTTAAAGGCACATAACTTATCCTGGTGGAGTCTTTTTGGAGCCGAGCCCATGTAAGAATTCAGGTTTTTGTAATTAGATACTGAACATTATGTCAAGCTGAAAAACATTCCCAGTAAAGCGATAACGTACAGTGCCTCTCCAAAGTACCTTGAACTTTTTCGCATTTAGTCAAGTTTACAGCCATAAACATAAAGTTTTTAATTATTATAACGCGTGGTTAGAACCATGGACGCGTGGTTAGAACCATGGACGCGTGGACAGAACCATGGACGCGTGGACAGAACTATGGACGCGTGGACAGAACCATGGACGCGTGGACAGAACCATGGACGCGTGTTTCCCCGGGTATCTCTTTATCTGAGTAAGCAGTATCTCACTGCTTACTCCAAGAAACAGCCAAAAGAAAGTTCCTCCGCGCTTCCCGGTTCTATCATTCTATGGTCACGCCATCCACGTTCAAATGTGCGATCCATATTGTGAGACGCGAGCTCCGTACAACAGTGGTTATGGGGGTATTGGGGGGGCTATAGCTTCGTGGGGAGGGGAGGAGAAAGGGCGAGGCCAGCGCTTACTTTTGAAACCGCTGCTTCGAAATCACAGTCAGTTAGTGCAGCTATAATTGTGCACAAAAGTAAAATGATGTGAACAAATCAAACAACACACAACAGGCAATTTTTCTCAATATAGATACAGCTGTTCTGTGAGGCCTCAGAGCACACCACAGAGGTCAGAGGTCAGGGATAAAGTTATGAAGAAGTTGTACCAAGATTTGAACATCTCATGAAGCACAGTGCAATCATTCGGAAATGGAAAGAGTTCGACACCACTGCGAACTTGCCAAGACACGGCCGTCAGGACTGAGAGCTACGACGTACGTAGAGTATCAGTCGTATTCTACACAATTCTAAACGTTATGGATTTCATTGAAAAAGCTATAAAAAAATCATGTTTTAAGTTGCCCAGAAGTCACAAGGGACAACGCTGACATGTGGAAAAAAATGTGACTTTATTGTCCAAACGCGAAACTTAATGTGTGGCACAAACCTACCACTGCTCATCGTCCTGAGTGCACCAACCCCGGTGTCAAAGTTGGAGGGGGGAGCATCATGCTATGGGGCTGCTCGTCTTCAGCGAGGACTGGGAAGATTGTAAGAATATCTGGAAGGATGGATGGAGCCAATAATAACAGAATCATGTATCATTTTGCTTTCCCTTCATAGTTGTCAGTCACCTGTGTGTGTGTGTGTGATCTTTCATTAAAAAATATCAACTAAAATCTTAACTTTTATGGTTGTAAACATGACAAAGAAAAACGGACCATAAAACATTGTCTTAATTCTATTGACTAAAAACACATACTTGGAAAGAGTCTGTTTCCGGGCTTAAAGCGGATGAGGCTGAGTGAAGGTGGTCCTCTCGTTTATACTTTTCTGTCCATAAAAGCTGATCTAAAAGAGGGGCCAAAAACGCATGTCTGACAAAAATAGGGATAGAACCAAACTGTTTAGAGAGCGAGGGAAAATTAGGTACCCCAGCTTTAGACGGCTTGATTTTAGTTGACAAAAGCTACAATTTAAATGTGGTTTTGTTGATTTAATATTAATGAATGTTATTTTGTATTGGTAATTCATTAAATCTAAAAATAAAAAATAGTAAAAATGATAGCGACAGTGTGAGCTTGTGGCCGTTCTCTCAGTTCTTTCTCTCTCTGGGTGGATCTTCAGTTCCCTAAACCTTTTCCCATCCACCTGCACACTTTCAGATAATATTTTTTATGACTCTCTGCCGTTGGGGTTGTCCTTTTCCGTTGCCCTTGTCGTTACGGTTTGGTCTGGGGCTGTTTTCTGCGTTGTTCAGCTTGAGAGGGTCGGGAAACAAGCAGCTTACTCCCTGTGCGACCTTTTCCTCCCGTCCTCCAGACTTTACGGCCGGTTTAGTCTTCCCTGGAATCTAACTGCCCTGTCCACAGCAGTCCGAGTGTTTCCAGGACTGTCTCGTCTCCTCTCGTGCCCACGGGAGGGCCTCGAGTCAGGGACCAACTTTCCAACTTTTTAAAAATACAATATTCTTGTAATTATCCACATGTGTCGAACCTCTGTGCGTTTATTACATTGTCTATAATCCAAGGTCTAAATTGGTTTTCGGAATTCCACGCAGCTTTGACTAGACCTGCAGTTTATCATAATTGGAAGCTGGTTGTCGTTATTATGGCTCTGGATGTTGTTAATGCTTTCTCTCTCAAAACACTTATTATTAGTATTTTAATTAGGGATGTACCAAATCCAGGATTCGGGTTCGGATTCGGCCGAATATTGGCTTTTTTGACTGGGTTCGGTTTCTGGCCGAATCTTAGAATTTTTCCCCACCGAACCCTGCACTTACACTATGCGCGCTGTGGCTGTTGGATTCGTCACGGAAATCAGATTCGTTCGGAAGTGAAAATAAACATTCACTTTAGCGGAGGTTTATATCCTCTTGCTCTCTGTTCCTCTTTGGGTGCGCTGAGGTCTCTTCCTGGTCATGTGATCCCCGCGGACCAATTAGCTCTAGTTATTTGCCGGTGCGAGGGGATGTTATGATTCTTGTTTTCACCTGTAATGCGGTTCTGATGGATCATAAACTAACTTCCTATTCACCAACTTTATGGAGCCGATTACCAGTGCCAGGTACTTGTCATCTGAGCTGCGTATGACTGTAGAAGCAGAGTTGGTGAGTCCATGTTTAGGCAACTAGCCTCTCAGCATTAGCTTCTCTCAACTTGTCTCTATGAGTTTGGCATATTTCTCAAATGTCCATATATGTAATGTTTTGAGCTGAACCAGTGGAAGCTATTTATGCATGTGTGGTGCTTTAGCTCTTATTTCTACATGACATGCACAGTAATATATGTACTTTATCTCTGAAGTTTTACACTGCTGTGAACTGAATGTATTTGTGTTTAATGATAAATGGGATTATTATAAACGTTATAATAATAGATTCTGGTCGAGCTACATGTCCAATTTGCAACGCCGATTTGTCTCGTGGTGGTAAGGACCCTAAACAGTACACAACACCGCCGCTGTAAAACATTTGCGTATGAAACATAAATGGACTGAGGATGGAATAGGATTCGGTTTTCGGATTCGGCAGAATCTTAACCAGTGGATTCGGTATTTGGCCGAATCCCAAAAACCTGGATTCGGTACATCCCTAATTTTAATATTGTTATTGAATCCATAGCCTCTTCATATATAGCAGGGCTCTCCAACCTGTGGCTCAGGAGCTACCAATAGCTCGCTAACCCCTTTTCGGTAGCTCTCAAAGGATTTAGAATTCATTACATGATCTTGAATGAATACATTTGGAGTCGTTACATATCTATAATAATTCTAGATATAGGGTTCTAAAGTATTATGATATATTTTACATGTGTTATCCATGTTGTTTTTCTAATTATTACATAGATTTTTACTCTACCTGCAAAAATGAGTAGCTCTCTGCGTCTTCTCTTGTATAAAAGTAGCTCTCTGATTGAAAAAGGTTGGAGACCCCTGAAATATAGTATATAGTAGTGGTGGAGGGTTGCCGGTTAGGCCATCCAATTTGTAAATGTCTTTATATAAGAATGGAGTTGGAGTTTCTAAGATTTCTTTTTTTCATCCTACTCTTGTGATATTTTTTTGCATTACCACGGAAAAAAGGGGAAAAAATTTAAAATACATTTTCCTCTATAGGGCTGTATCAAGTTAATCCATAAATAGTAACTAATAAATTATTGAAATAAGTTTTAAATTTTCAAATGGTTTAAATCACATCAGAAATTGAAGAGGATTTTGAGTCACAAAAATCGTCTCGAACCTTTGTCTCCAAAGAATTAAGAGAATTATCGACCGCTCAATCTTCTCAGTTTGACCATTTTTGGGTCAACAACACAAATGGCATAAAACAGAAAACCGACCGTTCGCGTTTGTCAGAGATGCAGAGTGAAAATAAATGCAGCTGCTTCGTCTGTGGCAAGTTTATTTGTATGGCACAGTTCATTCACAAGGCATCAAGAAGTGCTGAACAAAACAAGATAGAAACAAGGCGTTTAGATCATAAATAATCACAGTCACTTATGAAGAGTAAAAATATAATCCCACAGCTAAACAGAACTGTTTTAACCTGGATTTGAACATTGTCAGAGAAGAGGCCTGGCTCACATTTTCAGGAAGACTGTTCCAGAATTTTCCTGCGTAATTCTGATTTGAGAAATGGGACTGGTCTTGGAGTCCCAGCAGGAGGCCAGTCCCTGTGCTCCCCAGAGTCTGAGTTGGTTCACATGGCACTCACATGTCTCTGATACGTTCAGTTGAATTTGCTGTTGTGCAGAGATGCAAAAACAAAACCATCTGCTCCGTCTCCGCGCTCCGCAACACATTCTTTGAAAATGGAAAGTGGGCTGGAGCGGTTTGGATCGGGTTGGACCGGCTCCAACGGAGACTGCTTGTGTCAAATTGAAATGTTGCAATCTTGAATAACTCTGTCTGTCTGTGGTCACAAGTCTCTGTGCAGCGTCAGGAAAAGGAGTTTATGCTTCTATAGTTTCTTACTTTGCACATTTGTAGCATTATGTAAACAATGATAGACTGTAAATATCAACAGATCTAGTCACGCCTCTCTCCGCCGTTTAAACTAATGTGCCATCACTTTTGGCTTCTATGGGGCGCATTTGTACATTCATTCCCGTTCATTTAACAGTGATGCATTTTGAAGTCCACAGCGGCTTAACTAGACTGGTAGAATTATACTCTCCTCAGCATCAACAGCAGCCGAGACCCCTACTGTAGGATATACTCTTCTTTTATGGATATTTAAAATAGATTGAAGAAGGGGATTATCTTCAAGGGAAGGCTCTGAGATGGTAAAGCGTTTTTGCGACGTTTTTGTTTACTGGTAATTGCTACATAAGGCCTCAGGTGTTGGTCTGTTTGTTGAATGGAATGTCTACAATATTCCAAACAGTACTTTTCATGTTCACTGTGGGCCTCCAAAGTGAATCATCTGCAATTCCATAAATGAGTTTTTCTGTGTACTGTGTTTTCTGTATGTAACTTTGGGTGTGGAGATCTGTGCTTGTGGGAGTGTTCGCAGTTCGTTATGATTTATACTATGGAGGATGAATAACATTTTCTTGCCATCACACCCCCCCAGCTTCCTTTGGACATTCCTCTGCTGTTTTTGTGACGTGTCCTGTGATCCCAGCGCATATGGAGGATTTTCAGGATAGGACAAACTTGGAGTTCAATTTGTAGGATAACCTTTACTGCCAGAAGCATTTTGCATCTGATTTGGTCTGGACTGGACCAGTGTAAAACCATGAACACTGTACTGCAGTAACATCTCAGGTAGAAAAAAAAAAAGAAAAATATCAAATGTAAAACACAAAACCACAACTTTTTCAGAGGCACTTAGGACTTAGGAAAGTAAAATATTGAGATAATAAAAGTGTCTAGTGGAGTATATTCTGTAGTCAGCTGCATCAAGAGGTATTTGCAGATTGTATTGTACTTTGGCGGAATGAAGAATAATAATAATGGCAGGTAAAGTGACTTGTGAATGATAAAAATCCACCATTTCATCTGATAATTCTGTTATCAAAACAGGTGTATGGCACATGTACAGGCTCAGCAGATCTCATTGTACAGTCTGACAGCAGCAAGAAGGAAGGAGGGTGGATCAGTCTGTCACTGAAACTGCTCTCCAGAGCCCAGAGAGTACAAATACCATTAGAAATGAAGACTGCTGCATTAAACTGTGAATAGGGGCCATGAATGTGCCCTAGTGGGAAAATCTCCCATCATCCCTTTGGCGCACTCACCCTTGTGGTTCCTTCACCCTCTGGTACTCTCACCCTCACCCCTCTGGCTCCCTCGCCCTCACCCCTCTGCCCACAGCAAGATACCCTTCTAGACCAGGCCAGATTTACGACCTCTTTGCTTCTGGGAACGTCCATTTTGTTTTTGTTCGTAGGTGTGATTTTTGATTATGCAGTGGCCGCCTTTTTGTTTCCAGATGAGACATTTTTCACGGGCTCGTTCTTTTCACGGACCACAACATTCCTTCTCCGGGCTCCTCTTTTTAAACCCGTGTGTCTTTTCCTCTCCCCCGCCCCTTCTTCTTGTCTTGCAGGTGACGGAAGCAGAAACCAGGGATCCCCGTGAACTTGTCGGTAGGTTTTTTTGCTTGAAAATACACTGGATTTTGTATTTCAGTCAGGATTAACTGAAAAAAAATACTCAGTGGAGAATGTGTCCAGTCATTTAACGCTTGGAGCAAAAGAGAAACTAGGCCAGTGGTCCCCAACCTTTTTGACCCGTGGCACTGCCGACATATGAATTATTAACACTTGTGCTACCGTCGGTTCCAAATTAACCACCACAGATTAATAAAAATGGAAGAAAAATACCTAAATTAGGGTCTAAATGACTCAGAGGCGGGTCTTGGTTGAAAATATCATCAAAATCCAGCTAAAAAATGTTAAGGTATTCTTGAATCACCGTGGCAGGTAAATTTAACACAAGGATTAACAAAGCAAAGTCAGTCTCAGTATCATGTAGAAAATCAAACAAGCACAAAAAGTTATTCTAATCTTCTCACGTGATGGTGATCCGATATCCAATCAGGTGATATAGGATCATTTCCAAGGCACACTATTAAACGTATAAAAATCCATGACACACTGGTTGGAAAACACTGAACTAGGCAAATGTGTGCTGGCTTTGTTACATAAAAGTAATTTAATTAAATGGGACGGACTCAATGGGACCTGATGCAAACGAGCGATACTTCAAAATACGATACAACCACACACAGGAATCATTCTAAAAACAACTCTTAGTCAATCGGTTTAGTATGGCACAGATTATTAAATAGCTGTGAAGAGGAGGAGCGGATCCCTTTCTCATATGGGTCTCCCTCCCTGTGGGTTTCCCTAGTTCTCCTCCAAGGTTTCTCACTTTTTCCCACTGGGTTTTTTAAGAGTTTTTCCTTGTCGATGCAGGAGGGTCTTGTTGGACAGTTAGTGTCCAACAGAAAGGATTGGTGATGATCAGGACACTTTAGCATTCTACAACATGTATGGACATTTTCTTCTGTGTGTGCTTTATATTCTTCATGTGTTTTAACTGTTGATTCTCTGACCTGTGTTGGTGATTTCAATGGTTTTGTTAAGTCCTCTGAGATGACTTCTGTTGTGACCTAGGGCTATACAAGAATAAATTGTATTGTGTATTGTATTGTAAGAGGGTTTGACTGATGTAGCTGCATTTAACATTTAAAATCCAAAAATTGAAAAATATATAGTGTACCTCTTGATTTCTTTTTATTTGACAGAGACTTTAACTTGACAAGAATATCTTACATATTGCTACTTTACCCACAAAGATTATATTTTGAATGTTTCACTGAATCAGTAAACTGTAAAGTGAAAGCAAAATGTTTTTTTCCCCCAAGAAATAGAAAACTGAAAAGGTCATGCACAAGAATACATGGCGTGTTGTTTTGACACACCACCCCTTGTCACTCCGCCCTGGGATTGTAGCATTATGGCATTATCTACCGGCAGGTCACGTTATGGGTCAGATCTTTGGAAAATGGACCAAAATATTGGCGAGAATTTTTTTCAAATTGATGCATTTTACAATTTACAAACATGACGATGGACGAAGGAAAAATCTCATAACTCCATAATAGGCAAATAATTAGTTATTTTCTAGGCAACATAACCTACTGTTTAACTTTTATTGAAACAAAACAAATCCTTGAAATGCTCACACACATTGTTTGACTTGTTTACAGCGAAAAAGAAACCGCATTACACTGTGTACAATCCAAAAGGGAGGGGAAGAGAAAACGACAAATGGACAAATAGTTTAGTAGAATTAAAATAATACTGTCTTGTTAGGGATGAGTTTATAGATTTCAGTCTTTGAGTCCATTGGGAATTCGGTTTGAGCCAGTTACCTGTAATTACTTTCTGGTACCTACTTTTTTCAATGAACATTTAGTTTCTTTGTTCAGATTTTGCCCTACAGATAAATCTGCCTTTTCTGACTCAGAGGAAGGGGACAGTCGTCACTAGTGTCTCATGTTTGCAGGTGTAGGAGCCAGCACAGGTCGGCATGAGTGTAACGGGAGTGGCCACCATAAATCACATTGCTCATTGTTAACCACTAGATTGCTTACATTTTTATCACATAATAAATCTACATAAAAGAACGGGTTAGACTTAATGTGGGATTATGCAAGAATACAAAATACAGTTTTTTTCATTACTTCATATAAAATCCAAAACGTCGGTTATGTCCTCGACCCCTTTCTCTTTTCTGTATTCTTATCAAACCAAGCGCGACCATAAAATGTTTCGTTGAGAAAAAAGGAAGTCGTATCAAGCGTAAACATCAAAGGGAGAGTAGAGAGTTATTTATGGTGTTGCCTCATTTGAAACCATATTGTTTATATGTCTGATACAGCTCTTTATCTCAGTTTACATGACTGCTTTTAACACTGAAGGTGAGCGGCTGCTGAAGGTTCTAATCCAGACTAAACACATTTCATTAGTCAACATAAAGAAAGCTTCAGGCCGCAACACGCTGCCTTCATTTTATAGAAAACATTATCTTTTGCATTCTTGAAAGAGATTTGTGTGTCACTAGTTTGAAGATTGGAGATCATTTTGTTCCACTTTTTCTGTTTGCAAAATCTGATATAAATTTATGAAAGGAGCAACATAAAAACATGCATAGGCGTTTAACTTTGTAAAGCGTTTTGGGTAACCTTGGTCTCTAAAATGCGTTGTATAGATAAACCCTAACCCATACAGGGGGCGACAGTGACTCAGTTGGTAGAGCATTGGCCTTTGAGCCAGAAGGTTGTGGGTTTGAGCCCTCCACGAGACCTACTTCACGACTCCCACTGATGTCTACTGTTGTTGTGTCCTTGGGCAAGACACTTAACCCCACTTTGCCTGGAGCCCCCACTGAAAGATCTCAGCTCCTGTGGACTCAGCACCTGCAGGAGGATCAGTGAGGGGCTGGTGCTCTGTGTACTGGGTGCATCTCTGACTGCCACCCCCCGACCCAGAAATGGATCAAGGGGAAGAAAAAATGGATGGATGGATGGATGGACAACTTTGAACTACCTGTGTTGAGATGATGTGGAGCGATTTTGAGCCGAAACAAGAGTCGTTTTGCATATGAGTGAATTTTATATTTTTCCCCAATTCATGGACTGGTTTGTCCGTGGGTGTAGACCGGTAAATAATGACTTTTTAATATTATTTATTAATTTATTAACTTTTTTGGGGGGGTTTTCTGGTTTGTTTTTTCCTCCCCTTTCAGTAACGTGTTAAACAAAATGTGTTTATAAAAATGGTGAAAAACCCAACAAAAAGCAGAAGAAACATTTACCCAAAAATGCTTGAGTGGGAACAATATAGGTTTCCATGGCAACACGTGATACATCATTTTAAAGCGTCCGAGCAGCCATTCACTCATTACACACTTTCTGGGATACACACCAACACACTCCTCTGTTTTGGGAGATTCTATTTTACATGTTGACCTCTGCATTCCTGCGGCAGCCCGGCCTGGTTCCTCGGTCCCTAAATGTCAAATCTGGTTCAAACACAGTCTTTGTCCCCGGTTTGAAGGGACGGGCTTTGTCCAGAGGCCCCTGAGGCACTAGGCCACTTTGTCGGACGCTCTTGAACGCCCCACATGGAAAATGCACTCTGTAGAAGAATGTAAGTGTTGTCTGATACAAGAGTGCTGCATTTCAGAGGAATGTGAAAACCGACATCATTCAGTGTCTTCAGAGTGATGCTTTATGGACACATCCTCTTTGAGAATAATATCTGAAACTACTCTAAATAATACAGCATCAAGCTTTAGGCCTATCGAGATGGGAGCGAGGCCAGGACAGGAAGCACATACCAGACCTATTGTACATGTTTTTAGTGGTAGGGGAAACCGGAGCACCCGGAGGAAACCTACGCAGACATGCAAACTCCACTCAGAAATGCTGTTGGAATTGCTCTTGTCATTCGCCCAAAGACATTATCCCTTAATCCAAGAGGCCATTGTTCTGACCGCCCTCATTCACATCTGGCACTCGCCCAATTCTTTATCTAAATCACGGGTCGTTGGGGCGTGTCACTTACTGTATGTACTTACTACTGCTGTTATATCAAAGTAATGTGTAACGATACATTATGTCTGTCTCCGAGTTGTAAAACATTAACTATTTCTGCATTTCTTCCAAGTGACTTTGGCCAAATATATTTAAATACAAACTCGATGTAGCTTAGATGCTGTTGCAGGAGGTTGATAAAGCTTTTGGTTTGAACATAAACTTAACTGTTTTGTTCCACATCTTTGTCTCCAACAAACTCTAAATGTTTTTCCTTCAGTAAAATGTACTATTGTGGATGTAGAGCTGCTTCAGCTTCAGCCGTCTTTGACCAGAAAGAATGAACACAATGTGGCTACTAGATTTGTTCTCCTCTGATCTCACCGTTGCATTGTTTAAAAACATTATTAGATGACTGATGAGAACAGTTAAGACACAGAAAATGGCTGACTCCACACTAAACTGTATCAATGTGTTACATTTTGGTCAATGACATGAAAAAGTCCCGAAATGCCCGTTACCGCTGAATGTTCAGACTCTTGTTTTGTCTCCGTTTGTCCAGTGAAGGGGGCACTATTTAAACGCTGATTCGTTCACGCCCGTATTATTAACAGCTCCAAGACAGACGTTTTGGACGTATTATTGAATACACATTTTTTTTAATAATGTAAAATCTATAATTACATATTGATTATAGTTATATCTCCAACCATTAACCATTAAATAGTCTTCTTTGTCCTGTTCATTCTTCCATTCACAAAGCCTCCAAAGACATGTCCTAAATGTAACAAATATGTCCCCAAAGTTCAAAACCATTTTTTTGAAAGGCATACATTTTTTCTTGAAATAGTTTTAGTTGCCTTTCTGAGATTATGCTCTGTGTATATAGGCTACATAGTATTAAATGTTAGGTACAAACATTTTGAGTTCATACATTTATTTTATTGTCGCTTGAAGTTAGATCGACCCATGGTACAGTTTAGTGTGGAGTGAGCCATATTGGACCATGGGGAGAGACCAATGTCCATGAATGTGGATAAAAGTCACACATGTAGAATGTTAAAGTGTCCTGGATCATCACAGTCCTTCTGTTAGACACTAATGTCCAACAAACTCCTGCATCAGAAGAAAAACTACAAAAACCCAGTGGGAAAATTCAGAAACCTCACAATATATTATAATGGTTTAAAGGTGTCATCGATAAATGTAAAGTAAACTTAAGTCTTTTCATCGTCTGTCGATCTGAAAACCTTCGTCTGTGAAACAATATTATTATTATTATTGCCTTTTGTAAACGGTTTAAGTTGTCGTTCAGATTGGGATCTTCTGGTTTTCACTTGGGCTTACACAGAATCCACCACAGCGTCCAATCTCTCTGGTGTTTGTGTAAATACCAGCGAGCGCCTGACTCATCCCCAGCTTGTCTTGTCAGGTTTTACTGCAGCTGCTTTGATTCACCAGGTGAGACAAAAACTCTGACTGTGTAGGCCCTAGCAAAGCTCATCAGCTGTGGAGGGGAAGGGTTAGCCCGGTCCACTGACGCCAGGAACCACCGACGTTAGGAACCACTGACGCCAGGAACTACTGACGCCAGGAACCACTGACGCCAGGAACCACCGACGTTAGGAACCACCGACGCCAGGAACCACTGACGCCAGGAACCACTGACGCCAGGAACCACTGACGCCAGGAACCACTGACGCCAGGAACCACTGACGCCAGGAACCACTGACGCCAGGAACCACTGACGCCAGGAACCACTGACGCCAGGAACCACTGACGCCAGGAACCACTGACGCCAGGAACCACTGACGCCAGGAACCACTGACGCCAGGAACCACCGACGCCAGGAACCACCGACGCCAGGAACCACCGACGCCAGGAACCACCGACGCCAGGAACCACCGACGCCAGGAACCACCGACGCCAGGAACCACCGACGCCAGGAACCACCGACGCCAGGAACCACCGACGCCAGGAACCACCGACGCCAGGACCAGATGGGGACTTTGAAGGCTGATCACTTCATACCAAATCAAAGCAGTGATGAAATAGAAATAATTCCAGTCATTCCACATTTAGTCCTTTCTCTTTGATGTTATATTCAAAAGATTTAGGTTTTATCTGCATCTATATGGGCTTGTTCACACAAAAGGGCACAAAAGTGTGACAAAAGGCCAAAAATTAGATTTTAATAATCAGAAGATATTTTATGTTTTTCATGTTTCCAAACACCTCCTCTGTCCATTAGAAGTTTCTAGAACATAACTGTTTTATACATTAGACAAGTTTCCTATAGCGGCCCTGTTTATATTACGTAACGGACGTGATGATTTGACGGAATGAGCTTTGTGCAAGTTTGATAGGTATTTTCAGATGTCCACATTTGATTCAGAGATTCTACTTTTTTACACAAAGTAGATGCAAAGTGATACTTTCATATTGTCAACCAATTAAATGTGAAAACAGACCAGATTTTTTTTCTTAAGTTTAATTTTTAGAGAAAAGAGGACCGTCCTCATCACGTCCGTTATACATTTTTCAGGGGTCATTTAATTAATTAATTATTTTTTATTTTTTTACGATTCCTTTTTATATGAAGTGATTTCCTTCTGTTGTGTTAACCATGTAAATCTTGTGGGATTTCATCTTCTGCTTTTTCAGACTGAGGACATTTTATTTTCTATGTAACTGGCGTCACAGTAGAATGGTCCAATCAGAGGCTCATTTAGTCGTTTAAAATGTTGCTAAACATTTTTATCTCAATCTTTCCTTTTGATTTTTTCCACACTATCTCTTCAATGTGTCTGTGTTTGAAATCTTTGTTCCAATCTATGAAAGTAATTTTAGTTTTTAAGTTATAACCTTTTAAATTCCAGATACTTCAATTGTCACTTTACTGTGAACACACTCATATAATTAAACCAATGTTGGCATCTTTAACTACATGTAAAAACTTTAAGCTTCACATAAACACAATCAATGACATCTGTCCTTCTCCAATGAATACAAATAAAATAATTGAATACATCTAGAAAATAATTTACCTTGTTTTAAATGCAGTTAATTCGTCAAAAGACAGAAGTATGTAATAAGATAAATAAAAGGAAAAACACTTTTATAGTTCTGGCCCCAACCAGCTCCGATGTTTTTAAACTTGACCCTCGACCAGAAAGAATTTCCCTCAACACTTTCCACAAACCCAAACTCTGGATCAAATTATACCATTTTACAAAACATGAGGACTGTGGCAGTTGCAAGTGTCTGGTATTATTTATTATGAACCAGACTTTGATTTAAGACCTAGGACTTGGGCCAGGACTTGTCCAGGGGTTTTATGACTCAATAAAAGTGATAATTCCTGCAGAATGAGACTGAATTGTGTTTTAAAAAGTGGAAAAACTGGTTCACTTTAGCCTTTTTTGGTGAAATCCACAGCAAAACCCACATTTACTCATATTTACTCGTCAATTTTTGGTAATTACAAAGCAACTAATCAAGTATAGCACAAGTAATCATTAAAGTAAAATGTAAAAATCCTATTTGCATTTGTATATTATGATTTTCTTAGTTATGTGAATGTTTGTTTTGTTGTGGGTGTTTTCAGTTTTGCCCACTGCTTTCTTGCAAAAACATGTGTGCGCAGAGTCCACAGATCTCTCAGACGTCAAACCTTCGCCTGGGTCCTCAAGTCTGCAGCCCTTTCTTGCCCGAACACAAACTTGTCCAAACTTTTGAACAGGACATTTTCAGTTTGTTGAGGCTCAGTTACTCATTCTCCAATGACAGCTTAATAATGGATTTTTCTGCCAGATCAAATGTCCTAAGCTCTTTACAGTCAGGCCTGTACTTGTCTGCTCTGAACCATCGCACACTCCGTTTCTCTGGGATACGGAGTCAAAGAGGGAGAAAATGCCTGGCCCGCGGAGTGTGAAAGTCAAAACATGGGCTGGGTCCACAGGGAGGGGCTGGGAGCAGGCCCTGACAGCAGCCACTCCCTGCCCGCCTGCCCCTCGGCTTTCTGGGGAACTGCAGAGAATGTGGAAAAGCATCAGATTGAGATTAGATTAACATGACACTTCCACTGCGATGATGAATGTCTCCTCGGCCCGTACGCCACAGCTGGCATTACAGTATATGGAACAGATGGGAGATGGCCGCAGTTTATTGGAAGAAAATACACATTCAAAAGTCAAAACTATCAAAACTGACGGCTTTATTTTTTAATAGGGTTTTGCAATCTTCCAAATGTACAAAAATGGATGTTTGGGATTATTTATCTTTTATTCATCAAAGGCTCAATGAACACCCCGATTCATAGACAACAAGCTCACAACAAAGAGAATACAAAGTCGGATGAAATAAATAAATCCATCCATTCTCTTCCCCTTAGTCCATGTCTGAGTCAGAGGTGGCAGTGGCAAATAAGTCAGAAATTTAAAACCAAATAATGAAAAACAAGTGTCCAATCTAAAATGGCCAAGTTCAGTTTTGTACAAACCGTTTATAAAAGTGAATTGTGATCTTGTGTTCAGAGAGCCAGTGTTCCAGTAAATTCAAGTTCAAAGATCGGAGATTGTGGTTTTATAGCTGCATATTTGAATCTAATGGGAAAAGACCATCATGGGTTGTACTCTGAAGGTGTGAGCAGATATTGAAGCCCTTAAAGTAGCAGTATGTAAGATTTTTATGTCAAGTCATCATTAAAGGGCCCTAATCTGTCATCATTAAAGGGCCATAATCTGTCGTCATTAAAGGGCCCTAATCTGTCGTCATTAAAGGGCCCTAATCTGTCATAAGAATAGACAGATTGTCATAAGAATAGAGAATCAAACGTCTCTTTCCAATACTACTTTACTGATACCGTCGTTCAGAGATATTTGAATTGTTTTCATATCGATGTCCCGCCCCTCCACCGTTACCCCCCACCCAGCCAAGTCCCGAGGAGCACCTGGGCACCCGCCCTCCCCTGCGTGGCGCTACTCTCCCCTGGGTCAAGTCCCATGAGGCCACCGACCCCACCAAGATCTCGTAATGATTCTCCAATCATTATACGCCCCCCACCCCCCCCCTCGGCCTAAAACCATGGCGTTATTAATCTTAAGTGCACAAAGGAGAAGGTTATAACGATTTGTTGCTTGACCAAAACTCTTGTATTGTCAACCACACCTACCAGCAGGCATACCTAGCACTCTTGATCAAGGACCCCGCTGGCTACGTCTGGCATCTCGAGGCAACCCAGAGGCCGGGGGAGTGGGAAGCGGCTACTCGTACCCCTTAATTAGGCACCTATATATTTCCAAACCGCACCATTATCACGTCAATCCTGTTCCATTCTGAGCATGCATCTCCAGACCAGCCCACAATATGACCACAACCTCTGCATTATCATTACCACCCCCCACCCACTGGACCACACTGCCTTCGATCCTGTTATACCTGACTATAACTTGTACCTACCCGTGATGTTCATTGTCTGTCGTCCGCGATGTACTGCCGAGCAGGTGAGGCCCCAGACTCCCCTCTGAGTCCAGGTTTTTAATTATATTTTTTTTATTATAACACGCCTAGCGCCCCCGGGCGCTGCTCCTCCCCCTGCCAGGGACCGACTCCTAACCCACCCCAACCATCCCCGCTCACAGCACCCACAACAACCACAGACATCCAGGACTTTGCTTGCCCTACGGGTATACCTAGTCTGTACCTTGGCCGAACAGAGTGTTGTTCAATTCCTCGCTGACAAACGCATATCCCGTCTACTAGTAAATGTATTCCCGCTTAATGATTCCAGGCTCACTACAACTTTTACGTCTACCAACAATTCTATAGTGCCATCAACAACTTGTAGATCTTCACTTAATGGGCAATGTGCTTTTGCCCTCCTTCACGAGATGGGATTTTATATTATTTGTTTTACCCCTGTTATATCCACCAGCTGCCCCTCGCACCCGCCCCTGCCGAGTATTTAACCTCATCCACTATAAATATGCTGCCTTTTTTCAAACCCTGAATCTAACTCCCTCAGGCTCCCCCCCCCCCTCAACCTACATACCCCAACCCAGCCATTACGAGGTTTCTTTGATGCATATCAGCCTGATACTTTCGCGGCGGTCCACTTTCCTATACCCTCCCAATGTTTTGTAGAATACTAATCACCTACAGCCCCAAGAGTGCTTCCTTACCAGTAACCACCCCCACCTTACATAGTCGAACATAGATGAAATCAAGGTACCAATAACCAGTGCCTCTCCTCTTTAAGCCCGTAATCCAACTTTCCCCCCCTTCCACGTCACTTATTGGTTCTGAGTCGCGCGGGATCGTAACCCCCACCAGCTCTCAATGGCATAAGCACAGCGTACCCCACCCAGATATTGATCTGCCGAGGGGTGAGACATAAATTTCAGTGGCCTGTGAGGATCCAGCGCACGCCGTGTACTTACACGTCCCACCTCCTGGCTGCCGAGCCAGGTCGGGCCCACAGACTATCTGCCGAGGCGCCAGCGCAGTGTGCCCCACCCCCAGCGAGAACCATTCCTGCATCAGGCCAGCCTCCCTGTCACCCATGCCCCGCGCTCCCCCCATCCCCACAATAAAATACCTCATCCCACATTAGCTAAGCCGCCCGTTAACAAAAACAGTGTGAATAACTACCCCCCCGTGCCGAGAACCGAACTCTGGAACATGTGCTACAAGAAGTCGACCCGGAACTCCCGTCGGTTCCACAGAGCCGCGGCCAAAGGCCCCCCCTTACGATCCAATCTGCTCCTCCAGACCCCACCGACCCTATAACGACCAACAACGCTTGCACCCCGGCCGAGCACACAAGCAGAATTACAAGCCCTTATTTTCACCTTGTCCCTCATAATCTCCAGCCACCGAGCCAATCTTTTTCACTTAAACCTGTGGCACTCTGCGAGTCTCGACTGAATATCCTATCTGTGCCCCCCCTGCAAACCTGCTACATTATCCAGTGTGCGAAATAAAGACCCTCTACCTCATACCTAAACATAGACCCCCGTAGTGCATTAGCCTATGATCCATATGATTTCCGACACACATGTGGCACCTTGCTGAGGCCGCGGCCACAGTCGTAGGCGCCCCAATTTATGACCTCGCCCTCATTTTCAAAGGCGCAACACCGGCTCCGCCACTTGATATGCGCTTTTGCCTTTCTCCTCTTTACCCCCCCCCTTCTCTATCCCCTTTTGGTCCACATTAATTCAATGCCAGGTTGCCAGCGCCGCCGTCTGCCCGCACCGAGCCTGCCGCCGACAAAATCTCAGGCCTACCACTTCCATTCCACATTGTTCAGTTCCTCTCGAACCTCAGAGGAGATCCCTGGCGCTGCTGAGGCCAAGTTCCTCCGTGTCCCGGAGTTCCTTTCGCCCCCGTGGGACCCCGGCCTCGGCCCTCTCTCTGGGGACGCCCGGCCCACAAATATACCTATTTCCCCCCTATCAGTTTACCGAAGTGCAATTCTTCTCAGGTTTAGACACGCCATGCTAAGTCCCGGATGAATTGGTGCGACCTTCTATTGTTTGCCGGTGTACGCTCTCCTGTTGGACCGGGCCCCCATCGACCGCCCACGTGGCACCAACCCGAACTGTCTGTTCCTCATGGCCGTCAACTATTGAGACCTAGTGCCTATTATTTTGTGCCGATCATTCCCGCCCCTGTCTTTGTTTTGCCTTTGCATATCCCCCTTCCAAGTACTGATTGGTGTTGGACTAGCCCTTGTCTAGCCCCAACGGTTACCTCTTGCGTTGGACTCTGCTGGCCATCTTTATCAGCTTCAGTCTTGAATGAATCTAATGCCCCCTGGTATCATCTATCATTATTGTCCCCACACAACACGGCACCGTGATCTTTCTTGTGTCATTTCCTCCTCTCAACTGCTTGGTGTGCCCCACACTCCTGTAACCTATTAAATGAATAATTAGATCAATGGAGTTGTGTCCCTGAGTACACAACATAACTGCCAGCGATAACTGCATGTGGGCCGCCCACCTGACGACCCTATCTCCAACCAGGTGTTGCATTTTCCATATCGCACAACTCATCTTCGGACCACTGTTGGCAATTGGATCTTGCACCACAGGGGGACTGACTAAACTAAGCTGTTATTTGCCCATTTTTTTTAATAAAAATTGGTACATAATTATTATTCGCACAGGGACTATTATTTATTTAAAAAACTTTAAAAAAAATGTTTGCGCACTTCTGAGTGATCGACTGATTCTATCTGTGCCAAATGCAACATGTACATTTCTCCAGTGTGAGATCAATAAAGTCCATCTTAACTCATCTTATCTTAGAAACTAGATGCATTTGCCTAGATAATCCTGTTTTCAGTAAAATTGTGGAACTTTGATGTGGAAGCGGCACAGTAGTTGGAGCCAAATTTTGACCGACCAAAAGTTAATGGAGCAAAAAGGAAGCAACATTGTTTGCGATTTTGACTATAATATTTACCACCAACCCTTCTATCCCATTTGGTCCACTTTATTCATTGCCAGGTTGCAGAGACCGCAGTCTGAGCAAAGAGACTGCAGCAGAAAATATCTCCAGGCTAACCATTCCATTCACATGTTCAGTTCATAAGATAAAATCAGAGGAGTTCCCTGGCGAGCTGAGAGACATAGTTCCTCCAGTGTTTCCCGGGTCATTTAGACCGTGGGACAGACCTAGGACATCTCTCTGGGGAGACGGACAACACAATTTACATATTCAAAACATATAAGTTGTAACGAAGTGCAATTCTTTAAGGTTTAAACCTGCTATGTACAGATGATTGGTGAGAAACCTTCCTATTGTTTTGACGGTGTAAAGCTATCATGTGGAACGGAACAAATCGACGCCATAGTGGCAAACCCAGAAAATGTATCCTATGGCCGTCAAATTTTGAAACGTGCTTTTTGTGAAGTTATAAAGCACATGTACTTGGTTTTTGCATTTGAATATCAACTTCAAAGTCACTGGTTTGGGTGTGAATAGCATTGTTCTAGCAAAAAGGTAAATATTGCATGTTGGAATCTGCTGGCCATCCTTATAGCTTCAAGTCTTGGAATAATCTAATCAAACTGGTAAATCTTTAAATTCTTGTCCCAAAAAGGCACCGCTGATCTTTCTTGTGTCATTTCATAATCTCTAATGCCTTTGGTGCTGACAAATCCTGTAACCTATTAAATGATTAATAGATATAGGAGTTGGTAGTAAATGATTAACCCAAAACTGCAGAGGACTAACTGCATGTGGAAGACTGAAGTCAATTCAAAAGGTGTTGCATTCTTCCATATCACACAAATCATCTTGGCCACCTGTTGTGCGTTCTCCAAAAGCAGCGCCTCAGTGACAGAGCAGCAGCATTCCTCCCTCAGGCTTCAGGACCGTGGCGGCTCTGGCTGTGGTTTTTAATTTAGAACCCGGTCGTCGAATATCTCCACAGCAGCAGCAGCAGAAACTCACGACTAAATGTCCATTCAGCATTACACAACACATGGGTACAACAAAACACACAAAAAAAAGATCTCCTCAAAAACAAACAGAACTTAAACATTTCCCACTGTCCCGGAGCTATCTCTAGTCTCCTGCACCGGACGATAACAAAAGTCATGATCCATTTGGGGTGAAACAGTGAGTGGCGTAACCATCGGCAACCGTGCTTTTGCAGCATAGACTGTAAATATTAAGGGATGTGTCTCTGCCTTTGAAACTAATGTGCACTTTTGCCTTCTATGGGGCTTTTCCAAAAAGGCCGCAGGTAGCCCCTCCCGCAGGAAATTTTGAAAAAACGCACTTGCTCATGCGTCAGCTGCACTATCCCCATTAATTTAACGAGTGCCTTCAAAAGTCCACAGCAGCTAAACTAGACTGGTCCAAACAAACATACTCTCCTCAACATCAACAGAATCTGGAACGTAGCGTCAAGAGTTGAGCCAAGAGCCACTTTTGGACCGTCCTGTAAACCCGTTTTTGAGAGGAAAGAAGACGCCATATAAAAGCATTGGATAATTCTCTTTCTGGGTACACCCCCACAGGCCCGGGGTGGTATTGCAAGTATGTCAGTGCCCGTGCTCATGGATGTTTTTGACCCGGGACCCGCCCCCACTGGTTTATGGCCACAATACATTTCCTTTCAATTAATATGAAGCATCACAGCAAGAAAGTTCTGGGTTCAATTCCACCTCCGTCACTTTCTGTGTGGAGTTTGCATGTTCTCCATCACGTATGTGTAAGTTTCCTCAGGGCGCTACGGTTTCCATGCGACTAAGACAGTAGGTCTGTAATGAGTAATTAGATGGTGATGGCTCGGGACTTCGATGCACCATGTGTCTCGCTTTTGTGGTCACTGTGTGGAGTGAGTTAATCATGCAAACATTGTTATATTATTAATACATTTTAATCTAGTCTAATCTAGTTTCTGGACGTTCACTGAGGTCAGAGGACCAGATCGTGGACCCAAAATGAGGTTCATTTTCTGGGGAGGCCGGAGCCTTGTAGTTGGGCCTAAACTCTGGAATGCTTTTCCTCCAGACTCGCAGACCTCATCAGTGAACCCTTTTAAATCTCATTTGAAAACTCACTTTACATTCATTGGCTTTTAACCCGAGACGAGGAATGGTGTCTCTTTTTATTTATTTTTGTGTCTCCCCATCTTCCCCATCTCTGCAGCACGTTGGAAACCATGTGTTGGTCAAATTTGCAATAGAAATAGTCAGATTGATTGGTATTCATACATATTTCAAGCAGTGGTTTCTCATTATTCCAGTGACAAATGGGACGAAAATAAAATTGGTTCCATGTTTGAGGCTGTGAATGATGTTTGATTCTGCTACACCTTTTTATCTACGTTTTCAACCAACAGAACAACATTTTGCCAATTGCTAACGATTGATTGGTTTTGTCACAGGAGAAAATCCACAAGCTGTACCAGCGAAAACTCCACGGAGACTTTGACACAAACAGCCACATCCAGAAGAAGAAAGAGTTCAGAAACCCCAGGTGCTGTCACTCAGTCTTTAAAGGTCCTATATTTAGCTTTTCTTCATTTTTCTGTCCATTCTAAGCACATGAGTGATAATAATTTGAGTGATACACCATCCAGCTTTTGAGTAAGTCCAGTTTCATGGTAAATGAGCAGTCGAGAAGTGAGAGAAGGGCTTTTCAGAAACGCAGATTCGTTTTGGATTTCAAAATCAGATCCTGTGAATAAAGTGTCCGTCGCGCACTCTTCGTCTTGGGGTCAAATTCACATATTTTCACCTAAAAACAAATGTTCTCCAAGTTGACACGATGCCAACACTTTTAAGTCATTAGCAGAAAAACAGCACAGAAGCGAACACAGACTGTGGTAGACGCAGGTCCAAAGGCTGTGCTCTGATTTGCTGTCATGGTTTCTCTCCCCTGTCAATCATCTCCTGGGGGCGGGGCTTCTGGAGCTCGAGCTGTGTGTGAAGTGATGCTACGTAACAAAGTGAATCGGGCCGTTTTTGAGCCTCTGGACAATGAAAGGGAAAGATCGCAATAACTAAAGCTTAAGGGAATCAATGAAAAACAACTCTGGGCAAATATCACTGTAATTATGTTTAAACCAGAGAAACATCAAAAAGTGTAATTTGGGACTTTTAGGAGCAATATGTAAGATTTTCATTAAAGGGCCCTAATCTGTCATAATAATAAACTGCTCTGATAACAGTAGTTCAGAGATAGTTGAATTTCTAAATCACTTTTCCAGCCTCTAAATCTTGTTATTGTTTTCATTTCGATGTCCCGCCCTCCACCGTTTCACCAATCAGAAAGTCTGTAATCCAGGCGACAGAACTCACCGCGTGGAGCTAATCTCACTGGTAAAGTACCATGTGGCGCAGAACTAAAAAAGGTCTCGTTATGATTCTCAAATCATTAACAACAAAACAAGGAATAAAACCAGGATTTCTATCTTTGTGAAAAAGGTGTTGCTTATAGATTTGTTGTTGACAAAACTCTTGTCTATTCAGCTGTTATGGTCCCAGCTGGATTCGTCTGCATATCTGGCAACCTGAGTCAGGGAGAGTGGGAGAGGCTGCAGTACCACTTTTGGCCACATTTTAACTGCTCCTTTAACCTGCTGCTTCTTGTCTTTTTCTTGTGCTTACGTTCATTCTTGTCATTTCTTTTAGCATTTACGAGAAGCTCATTCAGTTCTGCAGCATCGACGAACTGGGAACAAACTACCCCAAAGACATGTTCGATCCTCACGGCTGGTCAGAAGACTCGTACTACGAAGGCCTCGGTACGCCTGGTTCCTTCTCAGACATCGCACCGTGTCAAAGGCTAATTTGTCTTTTTTGTGTTGTTTTTTTTTTTTTCAAGCCAAAGCCCAAAAGGTGGACATGGACAAACTAGAAAAGGCTAAAAAGGAACGTACGAAGGTGAAACACACATAGCACCTTAAACATTACATTTCCCACTTATTTAGTCTAGATTGAACATGATCCAGACTAAATTATTCCTGTGGCGCAGACAAATAGTAGAACAGAACAATTGTGACATTATTATTTAAAACAAGGCAGTTTTTAGTTCACTTTATTCTATCATTTGAACCCAAAGAGTATTTAGAAGTTAATTGGCTAAATATTTAAAATCACCTTTATTATTTTTTTTATTTTGGCACAGTTTTAGTTAAATCCAAACTAATTTTATTAAGAAAAATATACCAGAAAATGTTAAAATACCACTTTTATTCATCTGGCCTCAGAGCAGATTGGGTTTGACACCTTCTGAAGCTGTTTGTTTCACAGTAAATCCTAACACTGGATGAATGTAATCTCCACCTGAAGAATAATTTGATATTATTCTCCTTATGATGATAACGGCTTTTTTAGAGCCTTGGAAGTCTCTGGGCACATGCAGTTTCTATTGAGCGGGCAGCATGAGCCAACACCCTGCTCCCTCGTTTTCTTCCAGTAATGTTAAATATACAAACCCTACCAACCTAATGTAGTTCTTGTTAAATTGTGGACTTAACTTGAATAGACTTTGTGCGTTTTACAGATTGAGTTTGTGACGGGGACAAAGAAAGGAACCAACCCCTCGAACAGCGCCGCCCCCACGTCCAGCAGCAGCACATCCACAGGTGACGGAGCGTTTAGAACATGTTTAGTTATATAAGCATACACAGCAATGACAAAAAATAAATATACAGAAATGTTTTGAACAAATTATATAACGCGCTCTCTTCCTATTATTTTGTTCATACTTTTCACTTTTCTGTTTGAAACGGACGATCCAAAGATAATTACATACAAAATAATTACAACACATTTGATGGTCCCAGGTCTGTCGTGACCAATCCACTGAACTCCTGCCAGGTCCACACGTAGCCGGGTATTTTTAAAACCAAATATTCCCCCCCCCCCTCTGTTTCTAATTTGTATTGTATAACATTCATAACATTCCAAACATGTGCTTCTCTGACGTCCTGCGTTGGGGAAAAACACAGAAGTGGGCGGAGCTTTGATGCAGGTACTTCTGTAGCGGCACTTTCACGGTCACAGAAGAAACTCGGGGTGAAGACGTATGTTCACAAGCACTGACCCCCCGTCGTCAGTCCTGGTTTAGTCCTGGTTTAGTCCTGGTTTGCTGCTCTCTGATGTGGAGGATGTTTGCTGCTGTGATCCGCTCGCAGCAGAGAACAGTTTTTAAGGCAGTAAGATCCTTCTTCAGTGATCAGAGGTCGCACGTTTTGTTTGTTGTCGTTTCGGCGAATATTGTGACGTGCGAAAACACAAAACTCTTGATTATCTCTGTCTACACGCAAATGCATAAATGGAGTTTTCAAAAAAGATCGGCTGCGTGTGGACGGGGCCAGAGAGAAGTCCTGTGACCAGAGACTGAGCTGTTTATGAAATAGAGAAGATATTCAGCCATTTTTATTGTTATTATTACTACGTTGCTCTTGTGTGGTTCAAAGATGGCCACAAAACAAATAAGTCTCCCTCGACAGCCGTTTAAACTCTAGATTGAAGTGTGTTTACGTCTCACAACTTTTTACCCCTTTAGAATATTATAAATGTAGTTTTGTGTGTTGTGTTGCTACAGCTGTGTTTGTGTGTGCGTGACTTATTCCCATCATTCTCCTGTCAACAGACGCTCAGAAGAGGAAAAGCAAATGGGACTCTGCCATCCCGGTGACCCAGCCCAACATCATCACCACCTCCGGCTCGCTGCCCGCCGTCGTCTCCGTGACAACCACCGCCAGCGGCACCAAAACCACCGTGATCTCCGCCGTGGGCACCATCGCCAAAAAGACCAAGCAGTGATCGCATTCGGTCAAAGGGCAGGTGTGGCGGCAGGTTTTTCTCACGTCTTCGAGTTAAAACTGGACGCGCCGGAGGAAATGGGCGGAGTCTGCTGTGTGCAACTGAAACCTGCAGCCACACCTGCCCTTTGGCAAGCGGTCTGACACACCTGTTTTCAGAGATCAGATCTACTCAGTTTTTTTTTACGTTCAATGATCCTTTAACAGACCGGACTTTTTGGAAAACGTTTTTAACACTGTAGTCTTTTGGAATATGAAAGGGACACACTGGACATCAGCCGCAGCCGTCTCAAACTGAACCATTTTTTTTCATCAGGGTTTGAGCGGTGGTTTACGTGAAATTGCCGATTAGATCATATTTATATTTATCTTCCAGAGTGTCATTTTGGACACACACAGAGCTCGGCGGCCTCCAGTCCAATACTACAGTTGGAGAATCTTACCACTGCTTTAGACATTGATGTATGTTTTTTTATACCTGTACATACTGTATGTATTTCTCAAAAGGTGAATAAACAATCACAAAATTGCCTTTTTATTTGGGTTCCTGTCTGTTGTTTGGGAGAGAAATGTCAAACCTATTCTTAAAGAGAAAATGTGCTTCTTGTTATTGTTGAGACATGTGGGGAGCAGGCTTCACATTCTCCCGGTGGATACAGTGTTTGTTACGAGCAGTAAATTCCAGTGGCTCTTTTAATAATTAGATTTATTTGTAATTAAATAAAACATTAAAATTGAAGCCCAAACATAATTTAAGGGTCTTTTATGTATACAGTAGTTTGCATTCTAAACCTCTCGAAAGTACTATTACAAGTACTTTTGCACATTTTGTCATGTTTGCAACCAATCTATTACATTTTTTTTAAACTAAAAGTTCACACTCTTTAACTGCAGCAAAAGCGAAATGACACATGTTATTATTTTAACTTAAGGTGTTCACAGAATTCATACAGTATTTTTCTGAGTGCAGTAAATTGCCTTTTAAAACATTCCTAATGAACTGCAGAGGATTCACACCTTGCACTGATGATAAACTGGAGCCCACATGTGTGTAATCTACTCTCAGTATAATACAGTGGTTCTCTGAGCTGTGGCTGGAGTGTGTTGGTCTCTAAACATCATGAAGAACAAGGAGGAACCCAGTGGCGGACGCTCAAGGCCAGCTAGGTCTTCTCTGCTGGCCATAATCAGGAATATCAAAATTGTTATATATATATATATATATAATTTTTTCCATTGATGTTTATTAAATGATCCCCATTGTCTTTACTCTTCATTTCATACTTTTCCAGTTTAGTTTTATAGGATGCAAGTCTGCCTTTAGGTCTTCAGAAGCAACACTGCTGGCCCCGACATTATAGATCCATTATAGATCCATTATAGATCCATTATAGATCCATGGCAGAGCGGAGGCCGAAGAACGATGGAAATAACAGTTTGGCAACAAGCTAACCTGTGGAGCTACTAGCTAGGCTATGATGACGGGGTCGGCCCGATGTTCCCCGGGTCCGATGTTCCCCGGGTCCGATGTTCCCCGGGTCCGGTGTTCCCCGGGTCCGGAGTTCCCCGGGGCGGGGAACACCGGACCCGGGGAACATCGGACCTTCCAAACGCCGGAGGGCCCGGTGTTCCCCGACTGCGGGCCTCGCTCATAGACATGTTATTGCTGCGCGCGGATAATGGAGCAACAAGCGGCTTTCGCTCATAGGGCTACTGAATACTTTATATTATAAGCCTTGTAGATCTCGCATTGGTAGCCAACTACATTTTTACAACCTACCACCTCAGAATAAGAACGTGTTGCAGATAAGAAAAGTAAAATTAGCTCCACCACCTTTTCTTTTTGGAAACATATCTCCCTCCGTTCATCCTCGCAACAGTATTGGCGCCAGGTTTGCAATTTTGGGTAGGCCTGCAGATTAGTAAGTAGGCCAAATTCGCTTGAAAACTACAAGGGCTAACTGGAATTGGGGTTTCAAAGAATATGGTTCAAACGCACACACGCACGCACACGCACTCACGCGCGCACATACACACAAGCTCATTTATGAAACTTGCGTTGAAAAAGATGTACATTTTGGGTGTATATTCCATTTACGCAATTTGCCAAAATGTTTTGATACATTAGAAAAATCCTTCTTGAATTGTAGAAGTGAATAAATATAGATTGATTGAATGAATTAATTAATTCATATATATTATGCAGCGGTGGCTCTGAATGAAGCGTCTGCAGCGTCTTGGACGCAGCCTGGCTCGGGGTAGAAGTGCGCATTGAGGCGCTGTACACTTCAGAGAGCGTTTGCGGTCCAGATTTCACAAAGAAACTCTGGAGCCAAAACTTCTGCACATGTGGCGCGACCTCTCACGGCACTCGCTGCGCACTCTGGACAGGGCAGTGAGACGTTTGAGTGAGCAATACCATCGATGCGTTATTGGGGTGTGTGTCTGTGTGAGGCTTACACAAATCTAATGAAATAACACATTGCTTTACCAGATGTGAATGAGGAATACAAATAGCCGTGCGTAATTACGCAGCGCAGAGCCTGCCACAGCAATAGATGGGTCACACATCCCTGTTGCGTATGTGTATTTATATAGAGCCTTTGACTGTCCAGGATCACAAAGCGCTTCACATTTTAAAAACATACAGATCAAAATAATACACACACAAGTCAGATTTAATAGAGGGTCCTCATCATGAGCTGTGATTTATTCGAAGTTTGCGTGTTTCCATTAGACTTTTTCTGATGCGCAAATTCAAATTTTGAAACATGATGCTCAATGAAAACACAGCATATAATTTTGCCAGAGGGAATATGTTTATTGTTGTACATATCTTGAATTTCATGCGTATGTTTTGGCGTGTTGTGCCGAAGGTTGAGTTCAGCGTATAGATTTACACCACCTCCAGACCTGGCGTTTATTTTTTGCGTATTGTACGCTCACGTCCAGATTGATAAATGCGGAAAAGTGTAATATTTTGCGTACGCCTCATTTACCCTGATTTGGCCGTACGCAGGTTTCATACATGAGGCCCACATGAGGCCCACAGTGAGGCCTACAGTGAGGCCCACAGTGTGTCTCACACAGGCCTAGAGTTTACCTCATCAGTGCGAGGCCAGCCTGGCCTGACCGCGCTCTCCTCCTCTGGGACCTACGGGCCCGGGCCTCTGGCTCCTCTACCTCACAAAGTTCACGCTGAACTTTCTTAAAATTAAAATGAAAAAGGCTGCTCTGTTGTGAATGCTTTGAGAGCGTTGTCAATCTTTAAGACGAGGAATAGCTGGTTGTTCTCGCTTCACGCTGTGTAATATGATATTGGACAAAATTGTTCAGCCAAAACAGGACTATATTTGAAGCAACGTAGGAACGTGATGACGCTCAGGGGGTTATATTATTATTATTATTCCCCCCACTGTAGGAGCCAATACACTTTTCAATATTTTTGAATTCTGAGCGTTTCCAATTGTATTTAAAAATGGGAAACCTAATTAAACAATCATGAATTGAGCTTTTCCGATCTTATTTTACACTGATTCCTTTGATCATTTTTTTCTTAAAGCTCAAGTTGTAAAAATGCTATGTTTGAATTGGTTATTTACATTTTAACTGTGAGTGACACGTAAGGCGGGACAACAATGCACAATGACGCACGCGTTCTGAATAGAATAATATGTATTAATATCTCTAAAACTAAAAGAGCATATTCAAGTTTTACAACAAAAAAGACGTCATATGCGTGTCCATTATGCGTAAAAGCACAGTGCCCTCAGCAAAACCACGTATTTGGAAAAACTATAGGCTAACAGATGTAGTAGCTCTAGTTTCAATCGTCCTAATTTTATTCAGTCAGACTTGTCAAATATAGATGCCCATGGGAGAGTGAGCAAGGGGAGATAACATGCCCATAACATGCCCAAAAATATCCTGCATAGACTCAAGCTGCGATCAGCTGAAATATGAGCACACAAAGAGCGAGAGGAAAAAGAAAAGTAAATAGGCTTAGGCTAGTTAGTATTTTTTCTCTCACAAAAGTTGGCACGGATCATATGCCATCTTTCGTGGAAGAGGAAACATCAAACATCAAAGGGCGCACGCGGGGAACAGCGGGACTAGTCTCGTTGTTGAAGTCCCGATGTTCCCCCACTTCTATAGGCGGGGGAACATCGGACCCGGGGAACATCGGGACTTTTTAATACGCGAAGTACCGATGTTCCCCGGGTCCGATGTTCCCCCGCCTATAGAAGTGGGGGAACATCGGACCCGGGGAACATCGGACCCGGGGAACATCGGTACGCACCCATGATGACACAACGGTAAGAAAACAAAACCCAGAATAAACCCACAGGCTGTTGATAGTCTATGGTTTATACAGTTTTTTGGCGATTGTTTTTTGGGGGATTTTGTTGTTCATACTTTATGCGTGTCTCTGGATACGTTTTGTTCAAACTTGTGAACTGTGAAGTTCACCTTTCCCACATTATTGCTCAGAACCGGGTCAGAACAACACCTGTGTTACACATTTGGCCTGTTCTCGTCAGAGTCACCGTGAGTTACTAATAACTTTAATTCTTACAAAGTAAACTTCTTACAATAAGCCTTTTGTTAAACTACTAATTAGTCTATACATAGTTAGTAGTTACATAATGTTGGTGCTATATCTGTGTATTATTTCACTACTGTTCTGTATGTCTTCTTCATGTTTTAAGGTTTATAAGAAGAACCTCCTAAGCCGTAAACATCAATAAAACATAATTTACTCTTAACATTGAACAGTAACTTTACAGCACCACCTAAAAAGAAAAATAACTATTAGATCAAAAGGCTCAACTATAGGCTCACCATATCTTCAAAAATATGTATTTGTTTTCTTGATATAAATTGGTGTCAAATCATAGACAGACTATTTCTGTAGTTAAAGAATAACATATACTGTAATATGTACTGCATTCTAATGCATACTTTGGTCATAATAGCTTTAATAATGAACAGTAGTAGATCTAAATAGTAAATAGTTAGGGGCTGATCTCACACAGAGCCTTTCTCTTCTGTGTGTGGGCAGTCTCTCTCTCTCTCTATCTCCTCTCTCTCTCTCTTCTCTCTCTCTCTGTGTGTGTCTCTCTGTCTCTCTCTCTCTCTCTCCTCTCTCTCTCTCTGTGTGTGTCTCTCTGTCTCTCTGTCTCTCTCTCCTCTCTCTCTCTGTGTGTGTCTCTCTGTCTCTCTTTCTCTCTCTCTCTGTCTCTGACCCTATCTCTCTCTCTCTCTCTCCTCTCTCTCTATCTCCTCTCTCTCTCTCTCTTCTCTCTCTCTCTCTCTCTCTCTCTCTCTGTGTGTGTCTCTCTGTCTCTCTCTCTCTCTCTCTCTCTTCTCTCTCTCTCTGTGTGTGTCTCTCTGTCCCTCTCTCTCTCTCTCTCTGTGACCCTCTCTCTCGCTCTCTCTCTCTCTCTCTCTATGACCCTCTCTCTCTCTCTCTCTCTCTCTCTGTGACCCTCTTTCTCTCTCTCTCTCTCTCTCTATGACCCTCTCTCTCTCTCTCTCTCTCTCTGTGACCCTCTCTCTCTCTGTCTCTCTGACCCTCTCTCTCTCTCTCTCTCTCTCTCTCTCTCTCTCTCTCTCTGTCTCTCTCTCTGTCTCTCTCTCTGTCTCTCTGACCCACACTGTGCGACCGAGAAGGAGCAGCGTGGAGCCAGTCTGCTTCTTCAGATGCTACTCACATCTACAACTTCTCGTCTACTAAAGTAAGTACATACAGAAACTTGTATTTAGGGAATCCTGACAACCAGGACATTTGCTTTTTCTTCTCTCTAAAAACCTTTGGACTAATTGGCAATTTGGCAACTAGACTTGACAAGAGAATTCCTACATACAGTGGGGGAAAAAAGTATTTTGTCAGCCACCGATTGTGCAAGTTCTCCCACTTAAAATAATGACAAAGGTCTGTAATTTTCATCATAGGTTCACTTCAACTGTGAGAGACAGAATGTGAAAAAAAATATATAGGAATTCACATTGTAGGATTTCTTAAGAATGTATTTGTAAATTATGGTGAAAAATAAGTATTTGGTCAATAACAAAAATTCAACTCAATACTTTGCAATATATCCTTTGTTGGCAATAACAGAGGTCAAACGATTACTATAGGTCTTTACCAGGTTTGCACACACAGTAGATGGTATTTTGGCCCATTCGCTGTCGCCGAGCAACACGGACTTTCAACTCCCTCCACAGATTTTCAATGGGGTTGAGGTCTGGAGACTGGCTAGGCCACTCCAGGACTTTCAAATGCTTCTTACGGAGCCACTCCTTCGTTGCCCGGGCGGTGTGTTTGGGATCATTGTCATGCTGGAAGACCAAGCCACGTTTCATCTTCAAAGCTCTCACTGATGGAAGGAGGTTTTGGCTCAAAATCTCACGATACATGGCCCCATTCATTCTTTCCTTAACACGGATCAGTCGTCCTGTCCCCTTAGCAGAAAAACAGCCCCAAAGCATGACGTTTCCACCCCCATGCTTCACAGTAGGTATGGTGTTCTTGGGATGCAACTCTTTCTCCAAACACGACGAGTTGAGTTTATACCAAACAGTTGTACTTTGGTTTAATATGACCACATGACATTCTCCCAATCCTCTGCTGTATCATCCATGTGCTCTCTGGTAAACTTCAGACGGGCCTGGACATGCACTGGCTTCAGCAGGGGACACGTCTGGCACTGCAGGATTTGATTCCCTGTCGTCGTAGTGTGTTACTGATGGTAACCTTTGTTACTTTGGTCCCAGCTCTCTGCAGGTCATTCACCAGGTCCCCCCGTGTGGTTCTGGGATTTTTGATCACCGTTCTCATGAACATTTTCACCCCACGGGATGAGATCTTGCGATCGAGGGAGATTATCAGTGGTCTTGTATGTACAGTTGATTTGTTCACACCAAGCTGCTTGCCTATTGTAGATTCACTCTTCCCAGTCTGGTGCAGGTCTATAATTCTTTTCCTGGTGTCCTTCGACAGCTCTTTGGTCTTGGCCATAGTGGAGTTTGGAGTCTGACTGTTTGAGGCTGTGGACAGGTGTCTTTTATACAGATGAGTTCAAACAGGTGCCATTAATACAGGTAACAAGTGGAGGACAGAAGAGCTTCTTAAAGAAGAAGTTACAGGTCTGTGAGAGATCTTCCTTGTTTATTTTCCACCATCATTTACAAATAAATTCTTTACAAATCCATCCATCCATCCATCTTCTACCCTTTAATCCATTTCTGGGTCAGGGGGGTGGCAGTCAGAGATGCCACCCAAGTCTCATAGCACCAGCCCCTCACTGACCCTCTGCAGGTGGTGAGTCCACAGGAGGACGGCTGCTCTCTGAGTGTGAGCATAGCCTTGATCTTTCAGTGGGGGCTTTGGGCAAAGTGGGGTTAAGTGTCTTGCCCAAGTACACAACGACAGCAGTCATCAGTGGGAGTCGGTGGAGAAGGTGCAGAGGTGGGAATTGAACCCACAACTTTCTGGCCTTAAGGCCAATGCTCTACCAACTGAGCTACTGTCGCCCCTCCTCTTTACATTCACATTCTGTCTCTCACAGTTGAAGTGATGAAAATTACAGACCTCTGTGCAAGTTCTCCCACTTAAAATAATGACAATCGGTGGCTGACTAAATACTTTTTTGCCCCACTGTATATTTATGCTGCTAACAGATGAACAGAAAGCATCTGTTTTTCCATAGTGAAAACATTTAGTATTGGTGGGAAAGGTTGGTGTGTTGTTTGGACCTGTGTCTGATTTTTACCACAGAGAAGTCGGGAACGTGTCAAAATAAAAGGGTCACAATAGACTTTCAAAATAAGTTTCTAAAGTCTAGAAATTCCGGGGAAATCTGTTTGATTATAACATTTTTTTCATCCACTTAGAACAATACAAACATTTTCAAACATATATTTTACGAAGATAATTTTCAGATGGACAGAGCAGCACGAGCGCAAACGTTGATGAGAGCTTCGTTCTTGCCCCACGGTTCGTTACACCGTCATTATGCAGAATATCGTCTCTTGTGTGACTCCGGTGTAGTTTTTTAACTTTCTGCTCCAGACCCACATGTGAGCCACGGGTTTTACTTAAAGGTCTATTGGAGGATTTTCCTAAATGTTTTGAAAGAACCGCCCTCTCCACTTTTTTAACAAAACTCTCAGATCTTTTTTGCCTAGAATGAGTCTGGTGTGTGTGTGAATGGTTGGTGGTGGTCGGAGGGGCCGATGGCACAGACTGGTTGCCTCTCTGCTGTCAGTGTGCCCCAGGGCAGATGTGGCTACAGTAGTAGTTTATCACCACCGTGTTTGGAGTGAATAAATAATGACATGTGAAGCGTCTTTGAGTGTCCAAAACAGAGCTGTATAAAACTGATGCATTTTGATTATTATTTTTTTTTGAGGAGCACGAATCACCAGAAGGACGTTTGGGAGGACCACTTGTCTCGATGATCCACCCAGATGTAGAAAATGTAGATTAGATAAGAGAACCTTTACTCGTCCCACAGGTTGCAGTGCACTGACAGGACAGCAGTACAAAAAACACACACAATATACAACACAATTAGCTGTAAATGGTTCATAAAAGCAGTAAGTAAATATCGATACTCTCTCTCTCATATTTATGTCGTGTAAATTATACACAGACATGGCAAGATTGTCATAATTGGTCAGTGTTCACACAGCAGGCCCCGGCAATGTGTTTTATTAGTCATTATTCAAATATGCAGGAAGTCATTTGTAAGTGTGGCAATGATAAGGGCTACTGTCATGATGTTGTTGAGAAATATTACAAAAAGTTTGACAATCTGAAACATTTACTCATGCAAGCAATTGAGAAATCCTTAAACATTCTGTTCTATTCTCTTCTTGATTGTAACTCCGTGCCAACCCTCGGGCGGTGCCGAGGTGACAAACGCTCGGGTGCAAACTGGGAGCATTTCCCATAGCCCGCAGCCAGTGTTCTCCTCACCCAGCCACTCCCAAGGGCCTGGGAGGAGGCCTGGGAGGAGGCCATGCAGCGAAGCAGGGCCCGCCTCACTCTCTCAAGCCCACACAGGTGAACTGCTGTCGGTCTGGAATGCACCGAAGGCAGGGCGACGTAGGTAGGTGGGTGGGTGCAGAGGTGGGGGCTTTCTGACACTTACTGACTCCCAAAAGAGGTCTGCAGCTTTGTCACTTAGCAGACAACCACTGTACGGAGCTACACCTGAGGACAGAGTGGGATCAAGTCTCCTCTCACATACCAGAGCTCTTCTTTTTTTTCTTTTGCAGTAAATATTTGACCAGGACAGCAACACAAAAGACTTTAGCGGGAGCCGTCTTTCGGAGCAGACTTTGAACTTTGCTGGCGGAGCTGGTTTCTTATCAAGGCAAGGAAGAGGACGCCAACTTTTTCAATCTGTTTGGAGGAGCCTTAAAGGATATTTTTTTTCTGTTTTGAAGTCACAACTGGATCCGTGGACTTTGGAGCACAGAAAGGTTCGTGTTAAGACCTTTTTCTCCCATTCACTGAAGATAAAAGGCTTATGTAACTTTATCTTGTGGTTTGAGTCCAAGCAGCTTCTACTTTGTTCTGAAAAAAACAGGAATTATGTTTGTGGAAAATGTCTACCAGCATTAAGACTATTTTAATGCAAATCCAAAGTGTTTTCTATCTGTGAAAACATCAAAAGAGAAGTTAATGTTGCGTTTGGTCAGATAAAAGATGAAGTTCTCAATCAAAGCTAATTTGAAAAAAATGCTTAAAGAAAAGAAAAAACGCTTTATCCAAAATTTGTGTTGCTTTGATTTCATGAGATACTTGCAGTTAAGGCCAACGTCAAAAATCATACATAACCACACTTACACACACACACAAACACACACACATACACACACACATACACTTACACACACACTTGCACACGCACGCACATACACACACACTTGCACACACACAAACACACACACATACACACGCACGTACACACACACTTGCACACACACATACACTTACACACGCACACACAAATACACACACAAGCACACACATACACACACACTTACGCACATACACATACAAACACACGCACACACATAAACACTTGCACACACACATTCACTTACACACACACTTGCACACACACACGCACACACACTTGCACACACACAAACACACGCACATACACAAACACACACACACTTGCACACACACTTGCACACACACAAACACACGCACATACACACACACTTACACAAACACACACACACACACTTGCACACACATTCACTGCTCCCGCCCTGGCCTGATCTGCTGCTATTCCAGCACTTTGTTGTGATGACGTCACAGTGATGAACGGCAAAACAACGCTGCATAAACTGAAATGTTTTTTACTAAAACGCCACAGACAAAAATGTTTCAGCCAGAGACCACAACACAATCAGATCTGCAACAAAAAGTCTATACATTTGTTCGTTAAATTACTCTACTGTCATTTGTCATTTATCTACAAACTAACAATTATTTTGAGAATTGAAAAGTGTAGCAATTAAACTATTAGTTGCTTAGAACGTGGATATGTGATTTTTATCTAAATTTGAAGCAGAAAAAAGACTTTCTAGTGGAGAAACCTTCCAGACAAAAGTATTTTAACCCTAATATTGAGGCATGAATACATTTCTTGTTGTATTTTCTTCTAATTACTGGTTTAATGTCACGGCTTTTACCCTAACTCTGTTTATAAAGCAGTCCGTCTACCAATGAAATTAGTCGATTAGTTGGAATTAATCTGTTCATCGTTACAGCTCTAAACACATTTCAATTTATAAACACAATCAGTGCAAGAATTTCCTGGGATTACGTTTTAACAAAATTATCAACTCATTATGCAAATATTGTTCATTTTAATCAAGATTCAAATATTCTAAATGACCTGCACATTGACTGCCAGCTATTTTGGACAATTTCACTGATTTTCAAGAGCCACAGAGTATTGTGTGCTATTGCTAGGTGAAATGTGAAACTAGATTCTGAGAGACTGGACTGTCTACTTTTATGAGCAATAATAAGTTTGTTTCTAGCTAGTTTAGTTCTTCTGTAATCCCCAGTCGAATAGAGGGAAGTTTGACAAATATCACCGGTCTCAGACAATACGTCAATGGCAGTCAATAAGTTAGATCCTTAAGAAGTAGAAAACTGTTCAGTAATGTTTAGATATTTATTACTCTTTTAATACAAGAATACTTTGCTCAAAATATGTGCATAATTCTGTGGTTTTGAGGGCTAGAAACTAAGTCTTTGGGCAGTTTTAATAATGTTTTGATTTGGCATTTTTGATTTTATATTTTGGGTATTTTAGGGTCTGCTGCTGTGTGTGTAAAAATCTTCATAAAAAGCTAAACGGCAGAAGTCTTGGGGTCAGGCTGAAGGTTGTTGTGTTCCTGGCTCTGTGTGATTTATGTGACAGACGGTGGCAGAGGCCCATGCGCACACACCTGCTAACAGCCCTTTCCCATGTGTTTTTAACTCGGACACTCACCTTCTCGCCAACCAGAGACATTCCTTGTCTGAGGATTGCAAATCTCCACAAATGGCTGCGTTTTCAGGCATTGCTCGCTGCAGCCGAAATAAGCAAATTTAATTCACAGACTCATAGTTGTGGTTTTGTTCAAGTGATGTCATTCCCACAGAACATGTTAGTTTGATGGATGGATTGCTGATATCATTTGTATACCTCCTGTATACCTTTAAAGGTATATAGGAGGATTTTCTACTTCTGTTTGGATCATCAAGACTATTGGTCCTCCCACTTGTCAATCATTCTGATGATATGTGCTTGTCCAGTAAGACCAGAGAGGGCGGGACTTTCCTAAAATTTTGGAAAATCCTCCTATAAACCTTAATGTCAAACAATAACTACACTAAAATGTTCTTATGAGACGTCTTCTGTTGGCGTCTCTGTGTTTGGGTCAGATGTGGGTTCTACATCAGGGGTTCCCAAACTTTTCAGACTGAGACCCCAAAATAAGCACAAATCCAACTCAGGACCCTCCGTACAGAAAACAGAAAGTTGGATCAGGAGACTCAAGAGGATGCTTTAGAAGTAAATTACCGCAGCATGAATATATTGTTACTGAATGGTTGAACAGTTCGACTCGGCAGAAATAAATATGATCGGATTCGGTTTATTCTATTTTGTAACATTTTGAAACTTTGGATATGATTTAGTGATTAGACCCCGGCAGAAATACTGCATGACGTCTGTTGAAGTGAATAGAGATTATGAGAGTGCGATTCTCTCTGAGTCTTGACCCTGGTGGTGCTGGAATCTCTCTGAATCTAGACCCTGGTGGTGCTGGAATCTCTCTGAGTCTAGACCCTGGTGGTGCTGGAATCTCTCTGAGTCTAGACCCTGGTGGTGCTGGAATCTCTCTGAGTCTAGACCATGGTGGTGCTGGAATCTCTCTGAGTCTAGACCCTGGTGGTGCTGGAATCTCTCTGAGTCTAGACCATGGTGGTGCTGGAATCTCTCTGAGTCTAGACCCTGGTGGTGCTGGAATCTCCCTGAGTCTAGACCCTGGTGGTGCTGGAATCTCTCTGAGTCTAGACCATGGTGGTGCTGGAATCTCTCTGAGTCTAGACCCTGGTGGTGCTGGAATCTCTCTGAGTCTAGACCATGGTGGTGCTGGAATCTCTCTGAATCTAGACCCTGGTGGTGCTGGAATCTCTCTGAGTCTAGACCATGGTGGTGCTGGAATCTCTCTGAATCTAGACCCTGGTGGTGCTGCAATCTCTCTGAGTCTAGACCATGGTGGTGCTGGAATCTCTCTGAGTCTAGACCATGGTGGTGCTGGAATCTCTCTGAGTCTAGACGATGGTGGTGCTGGAATCTCTCTGAGTCTAGACCATGGTGGTGCTGGAATCTCTCTGAGTCTAGACCATGGTGGTGCTGGAATCTCTCTGAGTCTAGACCATGGTGGTGCTGGAATCTCTCTGAGTCTAGACCCTGGTGGTGCTGCAATCTCTCTGAGTCTAGACCCTGGTGGTGCTGCAATCTCTCTGAGTCTAGACCCTGGTGGTGCTGGAATCTCTCTGAGTCTAGACCCTGGTGGTGCTGGAATCTCTCTGAGTCTAGACCCTGGTGGTGCTGGAATCTCTCTGAAACTAGTTTTAAAATGAAGTTATATTTTGAGTTTGTACATAATGGACATAAACACAATTGCTCTTCACACAATGACATGGATGTGCGCTTCTATTCTGTTCTATTCTGTTCTAATCTGTTCTAATCTACTGGTGCCAGAGTCGGAACTAAACATGGGGAGGCAGTTTTTCAGATTTATGCTGCTAAAATCTGAAACAGTCATCCTGAAAATGTGAGACAGGCGTTGTATCTGTCAATGTTTCGCTGTGCATACAAGATTTTTCTCTGCTCTTTTTAATGTTCTGTGATTATTTATGATTTGAATGCCTTTTTCATGTCTTGTTTTGTTCTGCTCTCTGACTTGCCTTGTGTATGATCTGTGCGATACAAATAAACTTGTCTCCTGTGGTAACGTGCAGTAATGTGGGCAGGTTCCTTCAGTAAAGCAGTGAAGCACTGTGGGCAGCTGGTGTTGTTGTAAATGTGCTATACAGATAAATCTGACATGGACATTAATCTTGGTGGACTTTACAAAACCATTGAATTCACCAAACACAGATCAGGAAATAAAGACGGCCAGACACAAGAAATGACATAGAAAACACATTGGTATTGGTCCATAACGGGCAGTGTTATGGACCACTGCCCGTGTTATTGGTCACGGGCAGTGTTTTCAATAAAAGAATCCCTTTTAATCTTTCCATTTCAGGTCATACATTAACTTCTGTTTGTGTGTGTTTATGTGTGTGTGTGTGTGTGTGTGTGTGTGTGTGTGTGTGTGTGTGTGTGTGTGTGTGTGTGTGTGTGTGTGTGTGTGTGTGTGTGTGTTTGTCCTTCAGGGGCGATGGGAAGATGGGCCTTACGTCTCTCTTTGGCTCTGGGCATTTGGAGCTCTCTGTTCACCTGCTCTTCAGCCAACGGTAAAACTTTATCATTCTATATTCACATGTTCGATGTTTGATCATTGATTGACACATGTATGACTGACACATGTATGAGTGACACATGTATGACTGACACATGTATGACTGACATATGTATGACTGACACATGTATGACTGACTCATGTATGACACAGGTATGACACAATGACTGACACATGTATGACTGATACATGTATGACTGACACAGGTATGACATATGTATGACACAGGTATGACACATGACTGAGACATGTATGACTGACACATGTATGACACAGGTATGACACATGTATGACACATGTATGACACATGACTGACACATAACTGACACATGTATGACACCGTTATGACACATGTATGACACATGACTGACACATGTATGACACATGACTGACACATAACTGACACATGTATGAGTGACACATGTATGACACATGTATGACTGACACATGTATGACACATGACTGACACATGTATGACACATGACTGACACATAACTGACACATGTGTGACACCGTTATGACACATGTATGACACATGACTGACACATGTATGACACATGACTGACACATGTATGACACATGTATGAGTGACACATGTATGACACATGTATGACACATGACTGACACATGTATGACACATGACTGACACATGTATGACACATGTATGACACATGTATGATACATGTATGATTGACACATGTATGACACAAGTATGACACATGACTGACACATGTATGACACATGACTGATACATGACTGACACATGACTGACACATGTATGATACATGTATGACTGACACATGTATGACACATGTATGACACAGGTATGACACATGTATGACACATGAATGACACATGACTGACACATGACTGACACAGGTATGACACATGACTGACACATGTATGACACATGACTGACACATGACTGACACATGTATGATACATGTATGACTGACACATGTATGACACAGGTATGACACATGTATGACACATGAATGACACATGACTGACACATGACTGACACATGTATGACTGACACATGTATGAGTGACACATGTATGACACCGGTATGACACATGTATGACACATGACTGACACATGTATGACACATGTATGACACATGTATGACTGACACATGTATGACACATGTATGACTGACACATGTATGACACATGACTGACACATGTATGATACATGTATGACTGACACATGTATGACACAGGTATGACACATGACTGACACATGTATGACACATGACTGATACATGTATGACACATGTATGATACATGTATGACTGACACATGTATGACACATGTATGACACAGGTATGACACATGTATGACACATGAATGACACATGACTGACACAGGTATGACACATGTATGACACATGACTGACACATGACTGACACATGTATGACTGATACATGTATGACTGACACAGGTATGACATATGTATGACACAGGTATGACACATGTATGACACATGACTGACACATAACTGACACATGTATGACACATGTATGACTGACACATGTATGAGTGACACATGTATGACACCGGTATGACACATGTATGACACATGACTGACACATGTATGACACATGTATGAGTGACACATGTATGACACATGACTGACACATGTATGACACATGTATGATACATGTATGACTGATACATGTATGACACAGGTATGACACCTGACTGACACATGTATGACACATGACTGACACATGACTGACACATGTATGACACATGTATGATACAGTATGACTGACACATGTATGACACATGTATGACAAAGGTATGACACATGTATGACACATGAATGACACATGACTGACACAGGTATGACACATGTATGACACATGACTGACACATGACTGACACATGTATGACACATGTATGACACATGACTGACACATGTATGACACATGAATGACACATGACTGACACATGTATGACACAGGTATGACACATGTATGACACATGACTAACACATGACTGACACATGACTGACACATGCATGACACATGTATGACACATGTATGACACATGTATGACACATGACTGACACATGACTGACACATGACTGACACATGACTGACACATGACTGACACATGTATGACACATGTATGACACATGACTGACACATGTATGACACATGTATGACACATGTATGACACAGGTATGACACATGTATGACACATGTATGACACATGACTGACACATGACTGACACATGACTGACACATGTATGACACATGTGTGACACAGGTATAACACATGTATGACACATGACTGACACATGTATGACACATGTATGACACAGGTATGACACATGTATGACACAAGCCTGACACTGTGTCCTTGGTTGCAGTGAACTACTGTTTTTCCGCCAGAGCCCAAAGCTGCTCTGAGTGTCTTCAGGCTGGAGTGGGCTGTGCGTACTGCTCCGATGAGGTGAGCTATGACCTCACAGCTGTTTATTTACTATTACATTTTTTCTTTTATCGCCCTCAATCACAGCAGTAGTTTTTTCTGAGGACATCACAAAACCGATTAATGTCAACACACTTTTTAATTGATTATAATTAATGCTACGTTCAATTCCAAAACATTTATTTACATTATTTGTTCTTCCCCGCTTTGAGACAAGCGTCTAATCTACAGGGAAAATGAAAACAAACACAGAAAACGTAGCTCAAAAGAACAAAAACAATGTCTATAATAATATTGTTGAAATAAATGTCATTAAAAGTTATTATACAGTGCCTTGCGAAAGTATGCGGCCCCCTTGAACCTTTCAAAATTTCCCCACATTTCAGGCTTCAAACATAAAGATATACAATTTTTATTTTTTGTCATGAATCAACAACAAGTGGGACACAATCGTGAAGTGGAACAAAATTTATTGGATAATTTAAACTTTTTTAACAAATAAAAAACTGAAAAGTGGGGCGTGCGATATTATTCGGCCCCTTTACTTTCAGTGCAGCAAACTCAGTCCAGAAGTTCAGTGAGGATCTTTCAATGATCCAATGTTGTCCTAAATGACTGATGATGATAAATAGAATGCACCTGTGTGTAATCAAGTCTCCGTATAAATGCACCTGCTCTTTGATAGTCTCAGGGTTCTGTTTAAAGCACAGAGAGAACCATGAAGACAAAGGAACACATCAGGCAGCTCCGAGATATTGTTGTGGAGAAGTTTAAAGCCGGATTTGGATACAAAAAGATTTACCAAGCTTTAAACATCTCAAGGAGCACTGTGCAAGCAGTTATATTGAAATGGAAGGAGTATCAGACCACTGCAAATCTACCAAGACCCGGCCGTCCCTCCAAACTTTCATCTCAAACAAGGAGAAGACTGATCAGAGATGCAGCCAAGAGGCCCATGATCACTCTGGATGAAATGCAGATAACTACAGCTGAGGTGGGAGAGTCTGTCCATAGGACAACAATCAGTCGTGCACTGCACAAATCTGGCCTTTATGGAAGAGTGGCAAGAAGAAAGCCATTTCTCAAAGATATCCATAAAAAGTTTTGTTTAAAGTTTGCCACAAGCCACCTGGGAGACACACCAAACATGTGGAAGAAGGTGCTCTGGTCAGATGAAACCAAAATCAAACTTTTTGGCCACAATGCAAAACGATATGTTTGGCGTAAAAGCAACACAGCTCATCACCCTGAACACACCATCCCCACTGTCAAACATGGTGGTGGCAGCATCATGCTTTGGGCCTGCTTTTCTTCAGCAGGGACAGGGAAGATGGCTAAAATGGATGGGAAGATGGATGGAGCCAAATACAGGACCATTCTGGAAGAAAACCTGTTGGAGTCTGCAAAAGACCTGAGACTGGGACGGAGATTTATCTTCCAACAGGACAATGATCCAAAACATAAAGCCAAATCTACAATGGAATGGTTCACAAATAGACGTATCCAGGTGTTAGAATGGCCAAGTCAAAGTCCAGACCTGAATCCAATCCAGAATCTGTGGAAAGAGCTGAAGACTGCTGTTCACAAACGCTCTCCATCCAACCTCACTGAGCTCGAGCTGTTTTGCAAGGAAGAATGGGAAAGAATTCCAGTCTCTCGATGTGCAAAACTGATAGAGACATACCCCAAGCGACTTGCAGCTGTAATTGCAGCAAAAGGTGGCGCTACAAAGTATTAGCGCAAGGGGCCAAATAATATGCACGCCCCACTTTTCAGTTTTTTATTTGTTAAAAAAGTTTAAATTATCCAATAAATTTTGTTCCACTTCACGATTGTGTCCCACTTGTTGTTGATTCTTGACAAAAAAAAATATTTTTATATCTTTATGTTTGAAGCCTGAAATGTGGCGAAATGTTGAAAGGTTCAAGGGGGCCGAATACTTTCGCAAGGCACTGTATATGTCAGAATGTGCAGTGTCACTGCCACTGCTGCTAATGTACAGATGTAAACATATTTCTGCACTAGAATATACAGTTGTTTTTTCTTGCTTTTGTATTATACTAAAGTTAGGGATTTTAAATTGTTTTTTTAGCATAGAGTTATAATGTTTAACTTGTGCTGTGTGCTCCTTGTTACTGTTCAGTAACTTGTGATGCAACACTGACATTTCCCGTCTGTGGGCCGCATAAAGAATCTCTTAATCTGAATCTGAACATTCCGCTGCTGTGTCCAGACTTACCTCGGACCTCGCTGTGACACCTACAAGAACATCTTGGCCCAGGGCTGCACCGCTGCGGCGGTCATCAAGGAGTCCAGCTCCATGTCCATCGACACGGTAACAACTACATCGCAACAACATCACAGGCTGCACAAGCTAACGCCGCTAATGCTTTGTTCAGAGAGAGAGCATCAACGTCAAGGATGCAAAGTCCCAGGTGACGCCACAGAAGGTGACCATGAGCTTCCTGCCCGGAGAGGAGCGGCTGCTGGACGTGGAGGTCTTTGCTCCGCTCAAAGGTCCTCTGGATCTGTACATCCTCATGGACTTCTCCAACTCCATGGCCGACGATCTGGACAACCTGAAGAAGATGGGCTCGGAGCTGGGTGAGCGCCACAGCCTACTCACTGCACGTTTATGGACTAGATATATGGACTCCCTCCAGTCTTCTCAGTATACATGCAGACCTCTCTTGTCTCAGTATACATACAGACTCAGACCACTCTAGTCTCAGTATACATACAGACTCAGACCACTCCTGTCTCAGTATACATACAGACTCAGACCTCTCTAGTCTCAGTATACATACAGACTCAAACCATTCCTGTCTCAGTATACATACAGCCTCAGACCTCTCTAGTCTCAGTATACATGCAGACCCAGACCTCTCTAGTCTCAGTATACATACAGACTCAGGCCTCTCTTGTCTCAGTATACATACAGACTCAGACCTCTCTTGTCTCAGTATACATACAGACTCAGGCCTCTCCTGTCTCAGTATACATTGTCCTTCTGTGTCTCTGTTTGCAGCCAAGGTGGTGGGAGACCTTTCAGATGATTACACCATCGGCTTTGGGAAGTTTGTGGACAAAGTGGTCGAGCCCCAGACGGACATGAGACCTTCAAAGTAAGATGCAGCGATAAGTCCAAATTTGAAAGAGAGATTATTCTATTTAGTGTTATTCATGTTTGAGGCATAATTATTGTCCTGTATTCAAATCTTCCTTAGGTTAACCACAATCGAGTATTAATACAGAATCAATTTAATGCACATTTACAGCATAAGCTATTTAGAACAATAGAATGTAATTATAATTCAAAGCTCCAGTAAAACATGTATGTTATTTTTAATCCAAATATTGTGTACGAAAATTATGATGTCATTGATACACAGTTTCAGTTACTGTCCATTTTCACAATATATAAAGATTTAGTTTTATATTATACACTTTGCAGCATCCTCAGTTGTCTCTTTGTTGTTTGTGTTTACCTGCAACCTTTAGAATGATTATTACTAGTCTTGGTTCCTCAGAAGGAAATATGTTTAAGTTTTAGAACAGATACCAACGATATCAGCTCAGTATGAAGACAGTCTTTACTGACTGTAGTAGCTCTGATTCAAACTGCTGTCTTCTTTATGGCTCCAGACTTGCCCAGCCTTGGCCCGACAGCGACCCTCCCTTCTCCTTTAAAAACGTCATTAAGTTGACAAGCAACAAGGACTTCTACAACAGTGAGCTGGAGAAGGAGAGAATCTCTGGGAACCTGGACGCTCCGGAGGGCGGCTTCGACGCCATTCTGCAGGCCGCCGTCTGTACGGTGAGGAATCAGAAGGATTGTTATTGGCTTTGTAAGTAACAGGAAGTCACAAACCAGGAACTTTCTGTGGTATTTAGTGCAAACAAGTAATAAAAGAAAGAAATAGATGTAAAAGCATGCGTAGTCTTAATCAAATATTAAAACACAAATAAGAAAGACACTTAAGTCCAGGCGAACAAAGGGTTCAGGAGAGTTCTCTTCAGGCCTCAGGACTTCAAAGGAAAAGATTTCAGACGACTCGGCCAGAGTTGTTTTTTACATCCACAAAGAACCCTGTTATATGAACCCATGTTCCCATGAACCCAAATTCAAAGTGAAAGTCCAGTTAAAGTGAACTCTGGTTTATTTGTTAAACAAGAACAGACACTTCATTCATTTCATAAAGAGCATAACCATTATTATTAAAGAACTGCTTTAGTGGTGTGTTTTCCTGCTGAAGATGGTCAGTCTTTTTGTAAATCTTCTCTGACAAGAACAAGAATGTTAGTCTCACAGACCAAACTGTAACTTGTGAGTGAGTCAGAAAACATCTAAATAAAACCGTATTGTCTTCAGCACACATTAAGAAACACATTTATTTTGTGTTTTTACAAAGTTACTGTTACTAAGCACAGTCAGACTTCATAAACGTTGGATTGTTATTGATTTGGATTCCCATCTCCTCTGACCTCCCAGAGTCAGATCGGATGGCGTCCTCTCAGCACTCACCTCCTGGTCTTCTCCACCGAGTCGGCCTTCCACTACGAGTCCGACGGGATCAACGTCCTGGCGGGGATCCTGAAGCGGAACGACGAGGCCTGCCACCTGGACCCCTCTGGGAAGTACACCCATGACACGGCTCAGGACTACCCCTCGGTGCCCACGCTGGTGCGGCTGCTGCGGGACCACAACATCATCCCCATCTTTGCCGTCACCAACCACTCCTACATCTACTACCAGGTCAATGTTTAGATTTGTTACAGTTCATTTGAGGTACCTTTTCTTTGACCTTTTAATCCAGGTAAAAGTATTGAAATCATCCCCTTACCTTTTTAGAATATTGTGTTTCTCTGTAGTTAATTCAAAAAGTAAAAAGCAGTTTTGTGTAATTGCTGTAAAAAAAATATTTAAGAATTTAACACCATTATATCATTGTAGATATTTTTGTTAAGAGAATAAGACAATATTACAACTGAAGCTGAATTAATATCTGAATGTGTAGTTTTTGTATAATTCACTCAGAAGCATTGCTAATAATTTCAAACCTGATTTATGTCACCATCTCGAAAGTAGAAAGTTGTCTGAAATTGTGAGGAGTTGAAAGTCCTGATATCTAAGGTTGAAGTACGGACCCAAGCTTGGGCTGGAGGTTAGAGATTAGAGATGGGCAAGAGATTAAAGATGGGAAATAGGTTAGAGATGGGCAAGAGGTTAGAGATGAGGAAGATTGGAGAATGATTGTGAATGCATGAAGTGGCAGCAGGTGGCAGTGCTGCTGTGATTGTTCTGAGAGAGTGATCGGAGCTTCATGTGGTTTTGTCCGAAACATTAGTAGTAAAGTAAGGTTCAGGGAAATGCTTCTGTACTGTACTTACTCTGACATACAGTAGAGAAGTAGCCTGACATTGTATATTTTATTTTCTGCCCTGTTTCTATAAAATGATAGATATGTGAATGTGCTGTAATGTCATTCATGTTTATTATGATGACGAGTCCTTTTTTTCCTCAAATGTAGAAATTGAAGGAGTATTTCCCGATCGCTGAGGTGGGGCTGCTGCAGGAGGACTCCAGTAACATGCTGCAGCTGCTGACCGCTGCCTTTGAGGTGAACTCTCCTTGAGTCGGATCTACAGCTTGGTTCATACATCACTAAATCTCTATGAACCGTTGCAGAGCATCAGGAGTAAAATGAGCATCCACGCAGAGAAGCCCAAAGCCTTCGCAGCCGCTGAGTTCATGAAGACCAGCGGAGAGATCGCACAGTACGGAAACTTTGACTTCAAACCGGGGAAGATCGTAAGTCATTTCATTTATTTATTTATTCATTACAAAAACCAGCATTAAAATAATTTAACAACAGAATAATACAATTTACAAGGTTTGGAAAGAGCTAAGTGAAGCTGTGTCATGTTATACGGCCATTTCCAAGTCTGTGATGCTTTCTTGTGGGCGGGGCTTATTCATTCATTCATATGTACATATACATACATACATATAAGTTTGTCTTATTGATAATGATAATAATAATTATGCATTGGTTTTATACAAAGCTCTGTTGGACGCTCAAAAAGGCTTCACATTTCATTATTCGTTCAGTCTATACACAGTGGAGATGAGCTAATACTGAGGCCACAGCTGCCCTGAGGCACGATGACAGAAGCGAGGCAGCCACTGTGTGCTATCGGCCCCTCCCACCAACACCAACCATCCCCACACACACACACACATACACGCACGCACACACACACACACACACACGAGTCATTCTAAAATCAATATTAAAGTGGTAGGTTTCTAGGTTTTTTCTTTGGACGTCAAATGTGTTAATTGTTTGATTTTTCCGCTGTTTAAATGATATATTTTAGGGCTATTCGGTCTATTTCTAGCTCATAATAAGCATCTGTGGTTATCTTTGTGTATTTACTGGACTAACAGCTCAACAAATGATTACTTTAATTGAATTTGGTTTGTGACATTCTTTTTTGATATGTTTGACCTTCGAGAGTGAGTTTTAACTTTTTACTTTTTTGCATCAGGGCAAGTTCCAGATGCGGCTCAAAGCCCGGCGCAGCGTGGACGAGGAGCCGGTGTGTCAGACGGGCCCCAACATCAGGGAGGGAGAGGTCAAGGTCAAACCCACCACTTTCCACGAGGGCGTGACCATCCAGGCCTCCGTCCTCTGCCCCACCTGCGACTGCGAGAAGGTGCAGGACACTTCCACGGATCTGCCCCTTTTTGTACCTGTGTCTCTCTCTGTCTATATGTACCTGTGTCTCTGTGTCTACTGTATATGTACCTGTGTCTCTCTCTGTCTATATGTACCTGTGTCTCTCTGTGTCTCTCTGTACCTGTGTCTCTCTGTACCTGTGTCTCTCTGTACCTGTGTCTCTCTGTGTCTCTCTGTACCTGTGTCTCTCTCTGTCTATATGTACCTGTGTCTCTCTGTGTCTCTCTGTACCTGTGTCTCTCTGTGTCTCTCTGTACCTGTGTCTCTGTGTCTACTGTATATGTACCTGTGTCTTTCTGTGTCTATATGTACCTGTGTCTCTCTGTGTCTCTGTACCTGTGTCTCTCTGTGTCTATATGTACCTGTGTCTCTCTGTGTCTATATGTACCTGAGTCTCTCTGTGTCTATATGTACCTGTGTCTCTCTGTGTCTACTGTATATGTACCTGTGTCTGTATGTGTCTATATGTACCTGTGTCTCTCTGTGTCTATATGTACCTGTGTCTCTCTGTGTCTATATGTACCTGTGTCTCTCTGTGTCTATATGTACCTGTGTCTCTCTGTGTCTACTGTATATGTACCTGTGTCTCTCTGTGTCTATATGTACCTGTGTCTCTCTGTGTCTACTGTATATGTACCTGTGTCTATATGTACCTGTGTCTCTCTGTGTCTATATGTACCTGTGTCTCTCTGTGTCTATATGTACCTGTGTCTCTCTGTGTGGATCTATGGATCTATCTGGGTTATAATAACTGGATAGAGTATTACAGCTTGTAGCTGAATAACTCATGTGCTCGGGGGATTCTCGCGGTACTGCAGACTAAACCAGACTAAATTCACGTGGGCTACCCAGAAATTTTCCCCATAGGACTCAATGCATATTAAAACAGCTCAACCTCAGCTGACAGAGAACCTGACAGAGAACCTACAGCTTTCATAAAGATCGGATTTTGTGGGGATTTTAGTGTCCCTTGTCGTCCTGAACTTTTTTTCTTAAATCCTTCGGCTTTGTTTAAATCCACACTTTAGTGCCACAAACTCTGCTCCTCTGGCTCTCGCTCTAACTCCCGCTCTGATGAACTGCTCTGATTGGTCAGAGCGCGGCCGAGCCCCTCTGTGCACGTGCGTGAGACCCGGTGTGAGACCCACACACGCGTGTTTGGAGCAATGCATTATGGGAGATCATCCACTGCGCAAAACCGGGAGGACCAGACGATGCCCAAATACAGGAGAGTTTCCCATAGATCTTTGAGAGTTTCCCATAGATCTTTGAGAGTTTCATAGATCTTTGAGAGTTTCATAGATCTTTGAGAGTTTCCCATAGATCTTTGAGAGTTTCATAGATCTTTGAGAGTTTCCCATAGATCTTTGAGAGTTTCCCATAGATCTTTGAGAGTTTCCCATAGATCTTTGAGAGTTTCCCATAGATCTTTGAGAGTTTCCCATAGATCTTTGAGAGTTTCCCATAGATCTTTGAGAGTTTCATAGATCTTTGAGAGTTTCCCATAGATCTTTGAGAGTTTCCCATAGATCTTTGAGAGTTTCATAGATCTTTGAGAGTTTCCCATAGATCTTTGAGAGTTTCCCATAGATCTTTGAGAGTTTCCCATAGATCTTTGAGAGTTTCCCATAGATCTTTGAGAGTTTCCCATAGATCTTTGCGAGTTCCAGGCGACTTCCGCTAATCTTTCAGCCCCCATGCCGTCACAAAGCTCCACTGAGCACAACCATTCATTTGAATAGGGCGCCATCTTGGATCGCCGGGGCTTGGTATGTACCAGTGTCTCTGTGTCTATATTATATGTACCTGTGTCTCTCTGTACTGGTGTCTCTCTGTGTGTCTCTCTGTACCTGTGTCTCTGTGTCTATATGTACCTGTGTCTCTGTGTCTATATGTACCTGTGTCCCTGTGTACCTGCGTCTATTTTTTAAAAATTATTTCCTAATCAAATATCAACTCTTTCCAGTCGTCCTCGGTTGCCTCCCCCAGGTGTCATGGGAACGGGGACCTGGTGTGTGGGAAGTGCAAGTGCTACAACGGCTGGTGAGACCTCACACAGACTGCACGTGCACGAGAGGGTCACTGCTCACACAGACTGCACGTGCACGAGAGGGTCACTGCTCACACAGACTGCACGTGCACGAGAGGAGAGGGTCACTGCTCACACAGACTGCACGTGCACGAGAGGAGAGGGTCACTGCTCACACAGACTGCACGTGCACGAGAGGAGAGGGTCACTGCGCACACAGACTGCACGTGCACGAGAGGAGAGGGTCACTGCGCACACAGACTGCACGTGCACGAGAGGAGAGGGTCACTGCGCACACAGACTGCACGTGCACGAGAGGAGAGGGTCACTGCTCACACAGACTGCACGTGCACGAGAGGAGAGGGTCACTGCGCACACAGACTGCACGTGCACGAGAGGAGAGGGTCACTGCGCACACAGACTGCACGTGCACGAGAGGAGAGGGTCACTGCGCACACAGACTGCACGTGCACGAGAGGAGAGGGTCACTGCGCACACAGACTGCACGTGCACGAGAGGAGAGGGTCACTGCTCACACAGACTGCACGTGCACGAGAGGAGAGGGTCACTGCTCACACAGACTGCACGTGCACGAGAGGAGAGGGTCACTGCGCACACAGACTGCACGTGCACGAGAGGGTCACTGCTCACACAGACTGCACGTGCACGAGAGGGTCACTGCTCACACAGACTGCACGTGCACGAGAGGGTCACTGCTCACACAGACTGCACGTGCACGAGAGGGTCACTGCTCACACAGACTGCACGTGCACGAGAGGGTCACTGCTCACACAGGTTGCACGTGCACGAGAGGGTGACTGCTCACACAGACTGCACGTGCACTGAGACTAGAGAGTTGAGCCCATCTGAGTCCTTGTGTGTAGCGTAGACTATATTCTCAGCTCATATCTCATCCTTGTCCTCTCGTGTGTCCAGGCTGGGCACGTACTGTAACTGCTCGGCCACTGCCTCGGCTCTGGACACCAGCCAGTGCATCGGGCCCAGCATGACCGAGCCCTGCAACGGCCGCGGGGACTGCCTCGCCTGCGGACAGTGCGTGTGCCATAACCCCGACCAGTACGAGGGCCCCTTCTGCCAGTTCGACAAAACTCAGTGCTCCCGCCACGGAGGGTTCCTGTGCAACGGTGAACTTCACTCACTCAACACTATGACTCCCAGAGCAGTCAATTTGACGGCTTTTCAATCAATCAACTTTGATTTGGAGAGAGCCTTATTTAGACAAGGCAACACAAAGCGCCTCACAACCCATGTCACATCAGGCATAAATCATAAACATTAGAATCTAAATATACATTTAAGGAGCTATACCCTTTTCTGCAAGGTTTGAATGTTTAGCCCCGCCCCCAACTCGCTCACAGGCTTCTCATTTCCCCTACGCTCTCATCCCACAGAGCCATCTAGTTTTATTTGCGATCTACTGTATATGCACACAAACATTAGCATTAGCGCAACTTCTCAAAAGCTGTACAACAATCACTGATGAAATGGTACAAAAGCAACGCACTGCTAACAAAATATATAACTGAAAGATTACCGCTAGTTCCGTGTCCGAATGTGGTCCGAGCGTAGATAGTCCGAGCGCAGATAGTCCGAGCGCAGATAGTCCGAGCGCAGATAGTCCGAGCGCAGATAGTCCGAGCGCAGATAGTCCGAGCGCAGATAGTCAGAGCGTAGATAGTCCGAGCGCAGATAGTCCGAGCGCAGATAGTCCGAGCGTAGATAGTCCGAGCGTAGATAGTCCGAGCGTTGATAGTCCGAGCGTAGATAGTCCGAGGCGGTCCCGCAGGTCTCTCCCATAGACCAGTCTCTCCAGAGGATACGATGTAAGCGAGCTCTGTTCAGGGCTTGGTTTCTTCTTTGATCATGTTTTGGCTTTAGTTCATCTTCTCTTCCTCACTGTTGTGTGGTTTGGGCTGTTTTGCTGTGTCTGCAGTTACAGCCAGAGGAGTTATAGCCACTTATGCTAACATGCTACTGTGTTTAGCAGCGCTGTAGAGGCTAGAGGACGCAGCCTCGTTCTGTGATTGGAGGAGAGCGAGCGTCACGCTAAGTCTCTACTCAGCACTTTTATACGGCCTGAGTTCACACACAGCTGAATCAATGAGCTCAAGTTTTTAATTAAATAAAGCCTGGTTCACACGGCAGGATATTTAGGCCGATTTAGACCCGATTTACCCCTTACGACTTTCTTAAGAAACGCTCCGATTTCCGTAACAAAATCTTACAGATTATCCTGCCGTGTGTGGTGTGTTAAGACTGCACTCGTCGCTCGGAAGGACATCGGGACTGCTCCGATCTCAAATCGGGGATATCCAACATGTTGAATTGTTTTGGCCCGATTTCTCTTCGTGTGTGGTGTCCCCCGAGGACAGACGTGCGCGTTGCCATGACTGCGGCGTGTAGCCAATCAGAAGACGAGACGAGGCGGCGAGGAAACGCGTCCATATTACGATGTAGCAAGTATAGTCCATGCTCGTGTTGTCTACACTTCTTTGACCATTGCCTTTTCTTTTTATTACGTATTTTCTCCGAGAAAAACAAACTATCGCCAATGCATCCTCTTTTTCCGCCATGTGTGTTTACTCTGAAGTCACGCTTGATCTCGCGAGACCTGAGATTTCCGTCTGATCTGTGAATACTCGGGGGGGGAAATCGGTTCGTGTGTGGTTTGCGTGATTTTTGCCGTGTGGCTGCGCACCACACACTGTACGACCAAAGTGGTTAGACCCGTGATTTTTTATCTCCCTGTGTGGGGTCTCACACAGAGAAAAATCGGCCGACAATTTTAAAATTGTCTCGTGTGAACCAGGCTTTACGGATTATAATAATAATAATACCTTTAATTTGTAATGCAATTTACATACAAATCTCAAAGTGCTACAGCACAACAACAATAAAAGCACAGATCATTAAAGTTAAAACGGTGTTAAAACAATGTTAAGAAGGAAACAGAAAAGTTTTAAGTCCTCTTTTGAAGGTCTCCAATGACTGTGGGGCCCTCAGGTGTGGTGGTAGGGCGTTCCACAGTTTGGGAGCAGCCGCCTGGAAAGCCCTGTCACCCATTGTCCGGAGTTTAGTTCTGGGGATGGAGAGGAGGTTGGTGTCTGTGGACCGGAGTGCTCTGGTTATGGGCGGAGGAGTGAGAAGTTCTGTGAGATAGTCCGGGGCATGTCCGTGGATGCATTGGTAGGTGAGGAGGCAGATTTTGTATTGGAAGCGTTGGATGAGTGGAAGCCAGTGAAGATCGCGGAGGACTGGGGTGATGTGCTGGTGCTTCGGCGTCCTCGTCAGGATCCTGGCAGCGGTATTTTGGATATGCTGAAGCTTTTGAAGGCTTTTTGCCAGGATCCCGACGAGGAGGGCGTTGCAGTAATCCAGCCTGGAAGAGACAAAGGCATGAACTAAAGTTTCAGCGTCAGAGGGGGAGAGAGTGGAGCGGAGTTTGGAGATGTTTTTGAGATGAAAAAAGGAGATTCTACAGAGATTTTGGATATGGTGTTCAAATGACAGGATGGGGTCAAAAATGACTCCCAGGTTGCGGACAGTGGGGGAGAGGGGCAGGGTGAGACCGGAGAATGCAATACCAGAGATGGGGGGGGATTTGAGTTGGTGGGGGGTTCCGATAAGAATAGCCTCAATTTTGGAATGGTTTAGTTGTAAGAAGTTTTCTGCCATCCATGCCTTTGTCTCCTCCAGGCAGGCTGCCAGAGCTGAGTGTGGGGCTGATGTGGAGACAGAGTTAGTGCGCAGGTAGAGCTGAGTATCATCGGCATAGCAATGGAAGGAGATACCATGCTTGTCGATGATGTGGCCGAGGGGGAGCATGTAGATGTTAAATAGGGTAGGGCCAAGGACCGACCCTTGAGGGACCCCGCATGTGACAATGCGGGGCCGTGACCTTGTGTCCCCCAGGGCCACGTACTCAACTCTACCTGCCAGGAATGACTTGAACCAGGAGAGAGTTGTTGCGGACAGACCAATGTTGTGTTGTAGGCGGTGGAGCAGGATGTTGTGATCGACCGTATCAAAAGCAGCTGTTAAATCAAGAAGGATGAGAAGTGAGGGGGAGCCCTGGTCAGAGTTCATCAAGAGGTCATTGGTGACCCTGACCAGGGCTGTCTCTGTACTGTGCGCAGAACGAAAACCGGATTGAAATTTTTCATAAAGCGAGTTTGCACGGAGGTGATCGAGCAGCTGGCCAGCTACAGTCCTCTCCAAAACCTTCGAGAGGAATGGAAGGTTGGAGATGGGCCTGTAGCTGGCCAGGTCATCGTGATTGAGGTTGTGTTTTTTAAGATGTGGTCTAATACAACTTGTATGTAGTAATAAGCATTTTTATGAACTCATTATAAAAAAATTGGGTATAGCATCTTTAAAAAATACAATTAAAAACAAACATTAAGATCCCAAAATCACACAAATAATTCATAAAAATCATAAATAGCCACAGAGCATTAACGAGAGTAAAGATAAAAACCTCCTGTGGCTAATCAGAACAATTTTTAACCTGGATTTGAAAACGGGAGTAGAAGCCTGTATCCCATTTTCTGGAAGACTGTTCCAGATTAAAGCTGCACAAATGTCCAGTCAGCTCATGCTCATGTGCATTCTTGGTCTTCATAATTTTGTCATTATGTTTATGAAATTTTCTTTGCTTTTGAAATGAGAGTAGTTTTGCCTTTACCTCCCGGAGAAGAGCCAGGACCAGCATCACTAGTTACCATAGCAACATCATCTTTGCTTGCTAACAGTTAGCATTTGATACCCCTTGAATTTCAAGTTTTATTCACCAGTTTTTGCACTTAGTAAAAGTGAGTAAAGATAAAAAAACAATAATATATGATAACTTACTTTTATCTGTCAAAATGTTTTCTCAGAATTGTATTGGTTTGAATGAGGTTGAAATGACAGTTGTGGCAACAAAGGAAGGTTTCTCACCCATCTGTTCTTCTTAGCAAGTTTTCTCGACGTTTCGTCCTCAATCCAAAGGACTTCTTCAGGGAATGAATTCTCAGACCGCGCGTTGAAGATTTATAACCTATGGTGTGGTTAGCCACACCCTAATCCTGATACTAACTCATAGATCATAGATGTGAGGCAAAACAAATCTTAACCCTCCTCCTCTGTTAAGAGAAGGTTTTTGTTTCCTCACAAAAATGGCTTCTTTCACTCCTCTCTCAAACCAAGGGCTTACACAAACTGACAGTTGTGGCAGTTTAATACTTTGATGTGAATTGAAGAATGCAGCATAAACATGATTGTGCCGTTCAGACCGTGGCTCCTGCAGCATGGGCCGCTGTGTGTGCAGCGAGGGCTGGGAGGGGAACGCCTGCGAGTGCTCCAACAGCAACTCCACCTGCCTGGACTCCAACGGGGTGAGACCACCAGGAGAGCCTTAATGTGTCCCACTGTGGGGAAATGTCAGTGTTGCATCAACGGTTATTAAGCTTTAGCATAATAAATGTTAAATACTCTAAATTTAAAGAATAAATCTAAAATCTCCAACTTTAGCATAATGCAGACGCAAGAAGTCAGTATAAAAAAATCTGTCTTTAGCATATTAAGAAGTACATAGATCTAAAGCAAGTACAAGATATAACATTCTGTATATTATAGTAATTTTTGGTCGACATTTTATGATGATCAAATACATTTGTCCACTTGGCTTGTTTTTAAGAATATGTCTTCTTTGTCAGGGCATCTGTAACGGACAAGGGAAGTGCGTGTGCGGCCTCTGTACGTGTCCCAACACGGAGCTCGGCCTGACGTCCACGTGTGAGGCGGACTTCCAGGTGAAGGACCACTGCGTCAACAACACTACTGTACTCACTGCCACAGTCCCCCCCCCTGTGCGCCAACTCCACCTCATTATGGACTCCAACCTCACATTTAAAGTAGCAATATGTCATTAAAGGGCCCTAATCTGTCACCATTAAAGGGCCCTTATCTGTCATCGTTAAAGGGCCCTAATCTGTCACCATTAAAGGGCCCTTATCTGTCATCGTTAAAGGGCCCTAATCTGTCACCATTAAAGGGCCCTAATCTGTCATAATTAAAGGGCCCTAATCTGTCTGCATTAAAGGGTCCTAATCTGTCATCGTTAAAGGGCCCTAATCTATCACCATTAAAGGGCCCTAATCTGTCACCATTAACGGGCCCTAATCTGTCATCATTAAAGGGCCCTAATCTGTCATCATTAAAGGGCCCTAATCTGTCATCATTAAAGGGCCCTAATCTGTCACCATTAAAGGGCCCTAATCTGTCATCATTAAAGGGCCCTAATCTGTCATCATTAAAGGGCCCTAATCTGTCACCATTAAAGGGCCCTAATCTGTCATCATTAAAGGGCCCTAATCTGTCATTATTAAAGGGCCCTAATATGTCATCATTAAAGAGCTAGAGCATCAGTGATTGGTTAACGTGGACGGCATCGTGGATTCTGAGCTATAGCTAAGAGAAGGGAAGGCGGGACTTATCCATAATATTAGAATTAATAAAATGACTTATTTTATATCAACATTGAAGGCCAGGAGGTCAATTTAATACAATTCTTAAAATTTGTATTTCATTTGGAGTTACAGACTATAACTTTAAAGATCCCTAATCTGTCATCATTAAAGGGCCCTAATCTGTCATAATAATAAATTGCTCTTTTCCAATACTTCTTTAGATATTTGAATTTCTAAATAACTTTTCCAGTCTCTAAATCTTGTTATTGTTTTCATTTTGATGTCCCGCCCTCCACCGTTTCACCGATCAGAAAGTCTGTGATCCGGGCGCCAGAATGATTCTCAAATCATTAACGACAAAAGTGACAAAACAAGGTCGCTGGTTATAGATTTGTTGTTGACTATACTCTTGTCTATTCAGCTGTTATGGTCCCAGCTGGATTCGTCTGCATATCTGGCAACCTGAGTCAGGGAGAGTGGGAGAGGCTGCAGTACCACTTTTGACCAGATTTTTACACACTGCTCCTTTAAACACCACAACCTAATCTCCAAATTATCGTTTGTCCTCCTGCCCTCCCTCTCACAATCCACAGCTGAACCCACAACCTTCTGAACCCTGAGGGACGGAGCCTGTGCCACAGCTTCCCCACTCTCTGGAACTCACTCCCACATGCATCATAAACTCCCTTCATCACTTTTAATTCTATTTTCACGTGTTTTCTAAAGCGTTTTTGAGTGCCTTATAGGTTTGATGTATTATTCATTATTATTATAGCTGTATGTACTCATGGGTTCTATGTCCCGTTTAGGGGCAACTCGGAGCGTGTGAGGCCACCAAAACTTGTGCTCAGTGTCAGGCCTGGAAAACTGGAGAGAAGAAGGAGGAAGCAGAATGTAACCAGTGCCCCTTCAAAATAGTCAAAGTGGATAAGCTCAAAGAAGGTAAGACGGCATCGTAGAGAGGGAATGGAAATATGTAAATGGTGAGACCTGAGCTTCAAAGATGTCTTCTCTTTAGGCAAAACGGTGCTGGAGTCCTGCAGTTTCCGCGATGAAGAAGACGACTGTACTTACTACTACACTGTTGGCAACTCCAAGACGGCTGTAAAGGGATTGGAAGTCCAAGTGCTGGAGAAGAAAGGTGACCAGTAACATGGATCTGTAATAATATCTGGATAAGGTTTTACTGGATTATAGCTGTCTGTGGAGGCGCTGTGGTACTGCAGACTAAATTCACGTTACCCAGAAAAATACCCAAATATATTCATTTGAATAGGACGCCATCTTGGACCACCGGGTCTTGGCGGTAACATGGAAGTCTATGCTCTGTGCGTTAAAGCCTAGCGTACATCGACAGAGTAACTGGAGACGACTCGTTTCCAGGCGGCTTTTGGCGACTGAGAGTAGATGATGGAGATGATCAGTTGCTTAAATCGGTCGATGTGAGTGCTCTTACAACTGGAGATAAACAGTCTATCTCCAGTTTCAGTCAGTTGCCCGTGTTCTACTTTTCGGCAACTAGTTGTCCTCAGATCCGGAGATATCACCCGATGTGCGCGCTCCAACCACATGTGTGTATTGCGCCCTCTACAGTTTATGTCAGAAAACACACTGTAGTTGAGGCCAGTTGCTGTCGATGTACGCGCTGTTATTCCCCAGACTGGCCTGATACTGGAGTTGCCCGTTTTTGCCAGATTGTCGATGTGTGCGGGGCAGTAACTCATATGCGACGGATATAATCAGTTGCCAGTCCGATGTACACTAGGCATTATGCAGCACGTTTCGAAACACACCCAATTTGGTCTGATGTCTCTGTGCGTCACACGAAGAAGCTCCTGATGTGAGAATGCTTTCAAAGGCGTATTGTAACTTTACCTTCTTAGGCTAGGCAAGTTTATTTGCTCCCTGTGCTCTCAAACGCATCTCTGCCTATTGTCTCAGTCCAATCTGATTGACGCGCAGGTTTGCATGAGTCTTTATCAATCAAATGACATCGGAGTCGGTGGAGGATTCGCTTTGTCACAGACTCATTGTTGACGTTGTTCTTCCTCCACAGAGTGTCCCCCGGTGAGCCTGCTGTGGCTGTTGCCCCTGCTGCTCTTCCTGCTGCTGCTGCTGGCTCTGCTGCTGCTGTGCTGCTGGAGGTACTGCGGCTGGTGCAAAAGCTGCTGCGGGGTAAGCACTCTTCAGTAATGTCCTCCTCCATGTTTTTGCTCATTGAAAACATAGGAACATAAAGTGGCTGTATATGATGCCTGGTCGTGTGTTTACATTTGTATGTTTACATCTATGTAAACACCACTTTCCCAACATGAACATTATCAAAAGAGACTATTTGTGTCATGAATATGTATATTAAGATGTGAGTTTTATGTAACTAAATATAACTAAATATATTAGTGACATGTTAGTGCCTTATTAGTACCTGTTGAACCAGCTCGGACTCTGAGGAGCACAGGGACTGGACTCCTGCTGGGACTCTGAGGAGCACAGGGACTGGACTCCTGCTGGGACTCTGAGGAGCACAGGGACTGGCCTCCTGCTGACTCTGAGGAGCACAGGGACTGGACTCCTGCTGGGACTCTGAGGAGCACAGGGACTGGCCTCCTGCTGACTCTGAGGAGCACAGGGACTGGACTCCTGTTAGTGCCCAGAGTCAGAACTAAACATGGGGAGGGTGCTTTTCAGATTCATGCTGCTAAAATCTGGAACAGTCTTCCTGAAGATGTGAGACAGGCCTCCTATCTGACAATGTTTAAAACCAGGTTAAAAACAGTTCTGTTCAGCTGTGCATACAACTGAGGGATTTTATATTTTTATCTTTATTTTTAATGTTCTGTGTTTATTTGTATGTGTATGAACCGTGCTATATAAATAAACTTGCCTTGCCTTGCCTTAACTGTGTGGGAATTGCTATACAGTATATCTTTCTCCGAGTGAACGCCTGTGTCTCGCACCAGAATGATTGACAACTAGGAGGACCAATAGTTTAGATGATCCACCCGGAAGAAGGAAATCCTCCCATACACCTTTACAATGAAGCCATGTGACAATCTCCATCTAATGACATAGTTCCTACTTGGCTCTAAAACAATTTCTTCTGCATCATCTCTGATTTGTTCACTTTACAAAATTCTTTCTGGGGACAAACAGAATGTTGTATTTGGGGCGACAGTAGCTCAGTTGGTAGAGCTTTGGCCTTTGAGCCAGAAGGTCGTGGGTTCAAGCCCCGCTCAAGACTTTCACCATCGACTCCCACTGTCTGCTGTCGTTGTGTCCTTGGCAAGACACTTAACCTCTGGGAACACCAGCCACAGTGGGGCGGCTGCGGCTGTAAAGTGCCAAACTGCCGTTGTGTCCTTAGGCAAGACACTTCACCCCCATTGCCTAGAATGAGTCTGGTGTGTGTATGAATGGTTGGTGGTGGTCGGAGGGGCCGATGGCGCATACTGGTTGCCTCGCTTCTGTCAGTGTGCCCCAGGGCAGCTGTGGCTACAGCAGTAGTTTATCACCACCGTGTTTGGAGTGAATGAATAATGACACATGTGAAGCGTCTTTGAGTGTCCAGAAAAGCGCTATATAAAACCAATGCATTATTATTATTATTGTATTTGCCTCAGCTTGAAGTTTATTTATTTATTTATTACAGGGGCAGTGCATCTTGATGAACATTTCTGTGTAAATATGCCAGAATTAGCAAGCGGCTATTTTTCATCCATAGTCCCATGTCTCCTGAAAGCTAAAAACATATTCGCTACACTGACAGTTATGATAATGTGTTTATATTGTGTTTATTATTTGAACATGATGCGTATCTTTCCAAAATGCTTGTTGGTTTGGGTTAATGGCCTGTTCTGTTAAAGCGACATGATTTATTCTTCAAAATTAACATGTTTTCTGTTGTTTTGTTTTAGGGTTGCCTTGCTTTGCTCCCATGCTGCAAAAAAGGTGAGTTTGATTCTGTTTCTGCCTGAAAATGAAGTAAACTCTAATCCAGTCGTTTCTGCAGTTTGTAAAGAAAGACACATTTCCATCTTGTTCTGTTCTTGCTGCAGGTCGCATGGTCGGCTTCAAAGAGGACCATCTGGCGTTCCATCAGTCGCAGGTGGCGGCGGCGAACCACCTGGACACTCCCATGGTGCGGACCGGGCCACTCAAAGGCACTGATGTGGTCCGCTGGAAGGTCACGGACAATGTGCATCACAACCAGAACCACTCCCTGGCCTGGCTCAAGGCCAACACCAGAGAGACCAGTGAGTCACGCTGTGTCTTTCATGCAATTCATTCCAGGTTTGAACGAGGCCGTTTGCATGTTCTCCCCATGTCTCCTGCAGGTGCTTGGGTTTCCCCTACCACAAAAAACGTACAATACTTCTTGGCATGTGCCTTCTGTACTGGCCCCGCTCTCATCTCTGTGTGGAGTGAGATACAAATGTCCAAAAAAAATAACAATTGTAAAGCGCTTTGTGACTCTGCTCTGAGAAATGCGCTATATACAGTAAATAAAGATTACTTACCTACTTTTTGTATTGCCCTGAATCACAACAGCAGTCGTCTCAGAGGGCTTTACATAGTTGTCGATTTGCCAACAACAGCTCAGTTTGAAAACAGAAAAGCATTAATATGTGGACTAACTGGAGCCATTGGTTCAAAGGGAGCGGGATCATCACTGTCCTTAGACTCTCCATCGACTCAAAAACACAGTGGCAAAAACAACATATTTATATAAATTTGTATTTGTAAAAATGTATGGTCCCTCAAAACTTTCTCAGTCTCCATTCTTCACAAATGAGCGGTGGCATCTTTGAGGAGGACTTCTTTCTTCTAAACTCTGTTCTGGAGACAGCACTGAGTCGAGCTTGTGTCTGTACCCCTCTTTATAATCCTAATAATAATAATAATAATTCATCGTTTTATACAGCGCTGTTTTGGACACTCAAAGACGCTTCACATGTGTCATTATTCATTCACTCCAAACACAGTGGTGATAAACTACTGTAGCCACAGCTGCCCTGGGGCACACTGACAGAAGCGAGGCAACCAGTCTGTGCCATCGGCCCCTCCCACCACCACCAACCATTCACACACACACCAGACTCATTCTAGGCAATGGGGGTGAGGTGTCTTGCCTAAGGACACAACAGGAGTTTGGCACTTTACAGCCGCAGCCGCCCCACTGTGGCCACACAACGACAGCAGACATCAGCGGGAGTCTGTGGAGAAAGTCTTATGGTGGGCTCGAACCCACAACCTTCTGGCCCAATGCTCTACCAACTGAGCCACTGTCGCCCTGTACTGAGCCACTGTCGCCCTGTACTGAGCCACTGTCGCCCTGTACTGAGCCACTGTCACCCTGTACTGAGCCACTGTCGCCCTGTACTGAGCCACTGTCGCCCTGTACTGAGCCACTGTCGCCCTGTACTGAGCCACTGTCGCCCTGTACTGAGCCACTGTCACCCTGTACTGAGCCACTGTCGCCCTGTACTGAGCCACTGTCGCCCTGTACTGAGCCACTGTCGCCCTGTACTGAGCCACTGTCACCCTGTACTGAGCCACTGTCGCCCTGTACTGAGCCACTGTCGCCCTGTACTGAGCCACTGTCACCCTGTACTGAGCCACTGTCACCCTGTACTGAGCCACTGTCGCCCTGTACTGAGCCAGTGTCGCCCTGTACTGCGCCACTGTCGCCCTGTACTGAGCCACTGTCACCCTGTACTGAGCCAGTGTCGCCCTGTACTGAGCCACTGTCACCCTGTACTGAGCCACTGTCGCCCTGTACTGAGCCACTGTCGCCCTGTACTGAGCCACTGTCGCCCTGTACTGAGCCACTGTCACCCTGTACTGAGCCACTGTCGCCCTGTACTGAGCCACTGTCGCCCTGTACTGAGCCACTGTCGCCCTGTACTGAGCCACTGTCACCCTGTACTGAGCCACTGTCGCCCTGTACTGAGCCACTGTCGCCCTGTACTGAGCCACTGTCACCCTGTACTGAGCCACTGTCACCCTGTACTGAGCCACTGTCGCCCTGTACTGAGCCACTGTCGCCCTGTACTGAGCCACTGTCGCCCTGTACTGAGCCACTGTCGCCCTGTCGCCCTGTACTGAGCCACTGTCGCCCTGTACTGAGCCAGTGTCGCCCTGTACTGAGCCACTGTCGCCCTGTACTGAGCCACTGTCACCCTGTACTGAGCCAGTGTCGCCCTGTACTGAGCCAGTGTCGCCCTGTACTGAGCCAGTGTCGCCCTGTACTGAGCCACTGTCGCCCTGTACTGAGCCACTGTCACCCTGTACTGAGCCACTGTCGCCCTGTACTGAGCCACTGTCGCCCTGTACTGAGCCACTGTCGCCCTGTACTGAGCCACTGTCGCCCTGTCGCCCTGTACTGAGCCACTGTCGCCCTGTACTGAGCCAGTGTCGCCCTGTACTGAGCCAGTGTCGCCCTGTACTGAGCCACTGTCACCCTGTACTGAGCCACTGTCGCCCTGTACTGAGCCACTGTCACCCTGTACTGAGCCACTGTCGCCCTGTACTGAGCCACTGTCGCCCTGTACTGAGCCACTGTCGCCCTGTACTGTACTCCTAACCTAATGCTTGACATTTCGTCGTATTCAAGAACAGTTGCTTTATTTTCTCATTCCAAGAAAGGCCTGTGCTCAATTCAAATGTATTGAGTCAAATTTGAGCAATATTTGACTGATTTTGCTTCTGATTTTTGCATGACAAAACAACATATAATGGAATAAATTATTTTTGCAACACGTTCCCTGTTAAAGGAGCAGCAAAAACAAAAGCCTTTTATCCCAGATCTGTGCGTGTGACGGGGACAGAGAGCAGCCAAAAGATCAGAAAGGTGTTATAGCTTCATCACTCATTCTGACTCTTTCCCGTTGTGTGTTTTTAGTCCCGTTCCCGCTGTCCCTGCGGCTCAACAGGCAGTTCTCAGAAGACCTCACTTACCCCGACTCTAAAGACGCCGAGCAGCTCCGCAAAGACGTGAACGACAGCGTGAGTCCGGAGGTCAAACATCTTCATCATGTCCTCATCTAAACTGTGTCTGTGTTTCCAGTTGAATGAAGTTTACAAACAAATCCCCGGGGTCCAGAAAGTGCAGAAGACCACGTTCAGGTCAGAGTCACTTCTAACGACCCACTCCTCGAATGTAGAGGTCTGTGACTGACTTTGTTTTGTTTTTACAGAAAACAGAAAAATGCAGGAAAAAGGTAATGATTATTTATTTCTGTTGGTGAATATGAAGCTGATGTCAAAGATCTGAGACTTAAAACCCGGGGACAGGGCTTTCTCTGTGGCGTGACCAAAGCAGTGGAACGCTCTGACCCCCCCTCCTCTGGATTGGATAACGATCTTCTGTGCCAGTGGTTCTCAAGCCAAGGACCCTCAAAAAATGGTTCAAACTTTGATTTAAAATTTCAATACGGCAATTGCTTAGAATATACAATCTTAGACGTATATACGAATATACAATCTTAGAAGTTTTAGATTGAAACGACTCCGGCTTTGACGAATGAATGAATGGTTTGCCACTAATTGAAATTCAAATAGTTGTTACTGATTCAGTAGTGAAGCAATGGAAGAGGTTTTATGGTAAAGACAATTCTATAATGAGTCCAGAATGAAATGTATTTTTAACAAACCATACAATATCTTCTTTGCTCTAGCCTGGTCGTACCACACCATAGTACAAATTACATTTCATCTGGATTTGCTCCATTGAGCTCCGTTAACAGGTGGGAGGGGTTAACTTGACGTATGTAATGAGCCCGAGTGAGTTGTTAGCATTTAGCCTAGCTTTAGCATTTAGCCTAGCTTTAGCCATCTTCTTTGCCGCTAACAGAGCCCGTGGTAGCGCCACTATCTTTGCAGCGATTACATTCCTTTTGCTCCGGCTTCAATTTCTTGATAGAACCAGACCGGATTACTTTACTATCACATTCTTCGCCAAACTACAACCTGCTAACTACAACACCCCGCCTCCCGCGCTCTCTGATTGGTCAAATGGAATTTAACCGATTGTAATTGTAGACACAGGGACCAGACCCAGACTTTACATGCAGGAAATGATTATTGACCGGAGTGTACAGATGGATAAGGCCAGGTTAGGTCTGAAGCTTTGTTTTGGTCAAAAGTTTAGAAAAAAATCCCATTTTCACTGAGCTTTAGGATCCAAACAACTAATCGATGAATCAAAAGAATAATGGGCCAGCCCTGAAAATGACAGCGATTTACAAAGAAACATGACTGTCTTTCCCTTAATTTACCGTAGAGTGGTCACTTTATATTCCCCGGAGTTCTGTTCACCGCTCAATGCTAGATGTTTACAATTGTACTTAAATAATCTACAGAAATCAATGAAACTAAGAAGAGAAAATTGTAGGGATACTTTTATTTTCTCCTTAACTCCCCGGTATTGTAGATTATTTTGTTATGAAAAAATCAGAAGGAAATACATAGCAAAAAGTAATGAAAAATACCTTAATTTGAGCATGTCTTTCTTGGAATGAGAAAATAAAGCAACAGTTTATGAAATAAGACTAAATGCCTTCGTCCCACTGGAAAATGGTTGGAATGTGCTCAAAATAGATGAAAAAAGATAAAATCACTGACTTAAGCAGTTTTTACCTCATATTTTGTCACTTTTTGCAGTGTATTTTCATATTTTACAACTATTTTTATGATAATGAGTTGTCATTCAGAATTGTGTGTGAATGAAATAAAAAAAAAAAGGGTCCATGTATAAAAAGTGTCCTGTGTTTGTGTTGCCAGACAAGAGAACGTCATCATGGACACGGTGCTGGCGGCTCCTCGCGACAGTTACCCCGACATCGTCAAAGTGACCGAGAGGAATGTTCAGTCTGGAAACTTCCACAACCTCCGAGTGCTGCCGGGATACTACACTGTGGCCACGGACAGCGGTGAGTCTGCTCCTCTGCTCCTCTGCTCCTGCTGCTCCTGCTGCTCCTCTGCTCCTCTGCTCCTCTGCTCCTCTGCTCCTCTGCTCCTCTGCTCCTGCTGATCCTCTGCTGCTGCTGATCCTCTGCTCCTGCTGCTCCTCTGCTCCTGCTGCTCCTCTGCTCCTGCTGCTCCTCTGCTCCTGCTGCTCCTCTGCTCCGGCTGATCCTCTGCTCCTGCTGATCCTCTGCTCCTGCTGCTCCTCTGCTCCTGCTGCTCCTCTGCTCCTGCTGCTCCTCTGCTCCTGCTGCTCCTCTGCTCCTGCTGATCCTCTGCTGCTGCTGATCCTCTGCTCCTGTTGATCCTCTGTTCCTCTGTTCCGGCTGATCCTCTGCTCCTCTGCTCCTGCTGCTCCTGCTGCTCCTCTGTTCCTGCTGATCCTCTGCTCCTTCAGCTCCTCTGCTCCTCCTCTCCTCTGCTCCTTCAGCTCCTCTGCTCCTCCAGCTCCTCTGCTCCTTCAGCTCCTCTGCTCCTTCAGCTCCTCTGCTCCTTCAGCTCCTTTGCTCCTTCAGCTCCTCTGCTCCTGCTGCTCCTCTGTAAAGTACCAATCTCATATGTTAAATGTTATGATTCACATTTTATGATTCAAACTTAGTGGCTCAGTGCTTCAAAGCAAGGAGGTCCTGGATTCGATTCCACCCCCAGACGTTTGCATGTTCTCCCTGTGTCTGTGTAGGTTTCCTCCAGGTGCTACGTTCTCCCACACCACTAATAGTTCTGGCGTAATTATATAAAATGCTGTTCATTAATACACCATCCATCCATCCATCCATTTTCTACCCTTTAATCCATTTCTGGGTCAGGGGGGTGGCAGTCAGAGATGCCACCCAAGTCTCATAGCACCAGCCCCTCACTGACCCTCTGCAGGTGGTGAGTCCACAGGAGGACGGCTGCTCTCTGAGTGTGAGCATAGCCTTGATCTTTCAGTGGGGGCTTTGGGCAAAGTGGGGTTAAGTGTCTTGCCCAAGTACACAACGACAGCAGTCATCAGTGGGAGTCGGTGGAGAAGGTGTAGAGGTGGAACTGAGCTACTGTCGCCCCGATTAATACACCATCTAAATAAAAATCAAAAAAGAAAGAGGAGGCATTGTGACACGTTGACGCTGTCGGGTCTGATTAGTTTGATTCTATATATATTTTGTTTTAATGAGATAAACTTACGCTCATGTGTGCTTGGCGCTGGTCCACAGAGGCGACTGGGGTGGTGGAGTTCCAGGAGGGGGTGGAGTCCCTGGATGTGCACGTGCCTTTGTTCGTGAAGGACCAGGACGATGACGAGAAGAAGCTGCTGGTTGAGGCCCTGGAGGTCCCTCTGGGCATCGCTGAGATCGGAAAGAAGTTTGTCAACATCACCATCACCAAGGACCACGGTGAGCACCAGGAAAGAGACAGACCACACCAGGAAAGACACAGACCACACCAGGAAAGACACAGACCACACCAGGAAAAGACACAGACCACACCAGGAAAAGACACAGACCACACCAGGAAAGACACAGACCACACCAGGAAAGACACAGACCACACCAGGAAAGACACAGACCACACCAGGAAAGACACAGACCACACCAGGAAAAGACACAGACCACACCAGGAAAGACACAGACCACACCAGGAAAGACACAGACCACACCAGGAAAGACACAGACCACACCAGGAAAGACACAGACCACACCAAGAAAGACACAGACCACACCAGGAAAGACACAGACCACACCAGGAAAGACACAGACCACACCAGGAAAGACAAAGACCACACCAGGAAAGACACAGACCACACCAGGAAAGACACAGACCACACCAGGAAAAGACACAGACCACACCAGGAAAGACACAGACCACACCAGGAAAGACACAGACCACACCAGGAAAAGACACAGACCACACCAGGAAAGACACAGACCACACCAGGAAAAGACACAGACCACACCAGGAAAGACACAGACCACACCAGGAAAGACACAGACCACACCAGGAAAGACACACACCACACCAGGAAAGACACAGACCACACCAGGAAAGACACAGACCACACCAGGAAAGACACAGACCACACCAGGAAAGACACAGACCACACCAGGAAAGACACAGACCACACCAGGAAAGACACAGACCACACCAGGAAAGACACAGACCACACCAGGAAAAGACACAGACCACACCAGGAAAGACACAGACCACACCAGGAAAGACACAGACCACACCAGGAAAGACACAGACCACACCAGGAAAAGACACAAGACCACACCAGGAAAGACACAGACCACACCAGGAAAGACACAGACCACACCAGGAAAGACAAGACCACACCAGGAAAAGACACAGACCACACCAGGAAACAGACACACACAGGAAAGACACAGACCACACAGGAAAAGACACAGACCACACCAGGAAAAGACACAGACCACACCAGGAAAAGACACAGACCACACCAGGAAAGACACAGACCACACCAGGAAAGACACAGACACAGACCACACCAGGAAAAGACAAAGACCACACCAGGAAAGACACAGACCACACCAGGAAAGACACAGACCACACCAGGAAAGACAAAGACCACACCAGGAAAAGACACAGACCACACCAGGAAAGACACAGACCACACCAGGAAAGACACAGACCACACCAGGAAAAGACACAGACCACACCAGGAAAAGACACAGACCACACCAGGAAAGACACAGACCACACCAGGAAAGACACAGACCACACCAGGAAAGACACAGACCACACCAGGAAAGACACAGACCACACCAGGAAAAGACACAGACCACACCAGGAAAGACACAGACCACACCAGGAAAGACACAGACCACACCAGGAAAAGACACAGACCACACCAGGAAAGACACAGACCACACCAGGAAAGACAAAGACCACACCAGGAAAGACACAGACCACACCAGGAAAGACACAGACCACACCAGGAAAGACACAGACCACACCAGGAAAAGACACAGACCACACCAGGAAAAGACACAGACCACACCAGGAAAAGACACAGACCACACCAGGAAAAGACACAGACCACACCAGGAAAAGACACAGACCACACCAGGAAAAGACACAGACCACACCAGGAAAAGACACAGACCACACCAGGAAAGACACAGACCACACCAGGAAAAGACACAGACCACACCAGGAAAGACACAGACCACACCAGGAAAAGACACAGACCACACCAGGAAAGACACAGACCACACCAGGAAAGACACAGACCACACCAGGAAAGAGACAGACCACACCAGGAAAAGACACAGACCACACCAGGAAAAGACACAGACCACACCAGGAAAAGACAAAGACCACACCAGGAAAGACACAGACCACACCAGGAAAGACACAGACCACACCAGGAAAGACACAGACCACACCAGGAAAAGACACAGACCACACCAGGAAAAGACACAGACCACACCAGACTGATTTACAAAGTTGCCCCAAACCAAGTAGGTATACAAGATTACACCGAATAGTTACAAGATACAGACAGAAGAGAACATACAACAGATATAAATCATATCCCTGGGGAGAGACATACACGCACACACACACACACACACACACACACACACACACACACACACACACACACACACACACACACACACACACACACACACACACAGAGACACACACACCCACAAAGAGAGAGACACACACACACACAAAGAGAGAGACACACACACACACAAAGAGAGAGACACACACACACAAAGAGAGAGACACACACGTACACACACAGAGACACACACACCCACAAGCTGGCCCCAACTATATACCCTCCAGGTCAGAGAAAAAAGTCCTCAGAGAAAAATACTGCAGGGATTTAGTGCTGTATAAAAATAAATTGAATTGAATTGTGCTACAGTTCAAATTACTCGTGTGAATTGTGTGTTCCGTGTGAATTGTGTGTGTGTGTGTTGCAGCCCCCAGTGTGTTCTCCTTCCTCCAGGACAACTACACCTACAGCAGGAGCGAGGGAGTGGCCAACATCCCCATCGTCCGGGAGATCAGAGAGGACGGGCGCGCTCAGGTCTCCTACCGCTCCCTGGATCACACCGCCAAAGACAACAAGGTGAGGGGCCCGGAGACAAGTGCCACTGACGCAACACAACCTGGAGTGTAACGCACTGGACAAACTTCTAATGAGGTCTTGTCAATACTGCGTCCGACACGTTCACAAACCCACGGACCTTTGTGCTGTAGGACTACATCTCGGTGGGAGGAGATCTGACCTACGCTCCTGGAGAGACCCAGAAGATGGTCCCGGTGCGTCTGCTGGAGCTGTCGGAGAGAGACGGCCTCCTGGAAGACAAGCAGGTCCGGAAGTTCTACATGGACCTGATGAACCCACAGCAGGGGGCCAAGCTGGGCCGCTACCCCAGGACCACCGTGACCATCGCAGATTTACCCGGTAAGACTCACTTCCGTAATGGTTTTAGAATATGTTTTAGTCTGTCCATATAGACATGTACCTCATTTTAATACTATTAATGACAACAGTACCTCCTCAGAAACCTTCCCCCACCAACAATACTTTGGCTTTACCCCCACCAAAAGCTGGGTCTAGTTTAAGCTAAATCAGGTCTAAAATAAGGTCACATTAATTATTTAGAGTATATTCCAAAAGAAATGAAAAGGTGAAAATATTGAAATATTTGTTTTGTCATGTGGATATTTGATTCATTATATAATCATCTTGTTGTGTCTAGAATCCAGCCAGGTGATGTTCAAGAGCCCCAGCCACAGCTTCTCCACCTCAGACCCGCTCTACAAGATCCCCGTGATCCGCACTCAAAACCCGGGGACTCCGGCGACGGTGAGGTGGAGAACCAAGGACGCCCAGCGCTTCGACCTGACGGGAACGCTCAAGTTCGACCCCAAAGAGACCGAGAAAAACATTGTGATCAACCCCAAAACCTACCCTGGTCCAGTCAGGCCCGAGAAGTTCCAACTGGAGCTGTACGATCCTGGCAACAACGCTTCGCTGGGAGAGAGGAGAGCGACCACCGTGAACGTCACTGATGGAGGTAAAAACATTATTAACAATTATCTCTTTGTAATAATGTCATAGCCCAATGCTGCATCAAGAGAAACAGCAACGCAAGCATTTATGTATGATTCTGCCAGACTTCAGAGAGAAGCACAGTTTGATCATAATAATAATAGTTTAATAATATGAAAAAAACACAATAAAAGTGATAAAAAACAAGCCAAAAATTGCTCAACATTTTTTTCCCAAAATGTATCTTAGTTTGGTTACATTTTCACTGCCTTAAAACAAGATTCTCCAAATGGGACAAAGCAAAATGAACTTGTTTTAAAAATATACAAGAAATGTCTCCTGTGGAATGAGGACATAAAGCAGCAGTTCTTGAACTAAGACTAGATGGATTTGTCCCAGTTGAAAATCTGTTTTAAGACAAATCCAAATGAACTCTGATTAATCAGAATCAGAATCCTTTTTATTGCCATGTGAGTAACAGGAAGTCACAAACTCGGAAAATGCTTTGGCTCTCGGGGCAAACAAGTAAAAGCAGAATAAAATCAAAGGCATAGATAAAGGTCTACATGAATATCTTCAGTTTTCTATTTTCAAGTGCACACAATAGACTACAATAGGAAGATACAAACCACGCAATTATTACCTCATTGTTTATTATTTTTTGCTGTGCGGAAAATATATTTGAGTGTTTATTTGGTTTTTCCCCCAAAACCACTTCCAGAACGCAAATTCTTGTATAATATAATCACAAAACTACATTATCCTACTTAAAATTAAAGACAGAGACATTGAATCTGGGTTATTTTTCAAAAATCTTCCCCAAAAAAAAAAAAAAAACATTACAATGCCTTATTTATCAGGAATTGTAATTGTTTTGATATCTTTGAGATCAACTTTCAGCCCAAATGGCAAGTACAGTACTTTTGCTTCTGTTTTGATTCTCCTCCTGTTGTTGCCAAACCATGTCCTCACGACTTGTTTGTGCTTCTACAGCTCCTGAGATTGACCAGACCCAGACCATGGGCTTCATCAACCAGATGGCCACCTCTCCTGGGGGCCACGCCAGGGCTCCTGGGAACCCAAGAGCGAAGACCACAGGACCCCGGACCATCCGGCTGAACTGGGACCCTCCAGCGGGAAACCCCAAAGGCTACAAGGTGCTCTGCTACAGGCCTTTATGGTCATATTATCACAGAACAACAATAGTTAGCAGCTGTGAGTCTGATCTTCTGTGTTTTTCAGGTGAAGTACTGGATCTACGGAGACTCAGAGAAGGACGCCACCGTGCTGGACGTGAAGAGCCCCCAGGCCGAGCTCACTAACCTCTACCCCTACTGCGACTACGAGATGAAAGTGTGCGCCTACAACGCCCTGGGCGATGGTTACGACACTGAAATGGTGGCCTGCCAGACTCTGGAAGACGGTACATGTGACCACAGACTTAAGACCTGACAGTGGGTCTGTGACACACTGTAGCAACATTCTACATAGACTTTGTAAAATTGACAGTAATATTGTCGTAGTATAACATCAAGTATTACACAGTGGGGCGGGTCCCGGCTCAAAAAAGGTCCATGAGCACGTTTAGCCGCTAAAGTAAATCTGTTAATGTGGATTCAATCAGAACCCTATATTAGTCTCCGGCTGAAGTGTCTGTTACCTGTTCTCCCTCAGCGCCCGGAGAACCAGGACGTCTTGCCTTTAATGTGATCAGCCCCACAGTGACTCAGGTGAGCTGGGCGGAGCCTGCGGAAACCAACGGCAACATCACGGCCTACGAGGTCATCTACACACCCATCAATGATGATCTGAGTAAGAAATATACACACACACACACACACACACACACACACACACACACACACATCAATGATGACATGAGTAAAGTTCACTCCCCTAGATGCCCATCTGAAATAAACACTCACTCACACACACACGTGCACACACACACACACACATACACAGACACACATATACACACACACACACGCGCACACACACACATATACACACACGCACACACATATACACACACAGACAAGAATACACACACAGACAAACATATACACAAACAGGCAGACAAGCATACACACACACACAGACAAGCATACACACACAGACACACATTAAGACGCACACACACACACACACACATACACAGACACACATACACACACACACACGCACACACACACATATACACACACGCACACACACATACACACAGACAAGAATACACACACAGACAAACATATACACAAACAGGCAGACAAGCATACACACACACACACACACACACAGACACACATTAAGACGCACACACACACACACACACGTTCACACTGTGACACTGTCTGTCCCCAGAGCCCATGGGAGCAGCCAAGAAGGTGAGCATTGATAACCCTAAGAAGCGCATGCTGCTGATTGAGAACCTGCAGAGCGCTCAGACGTATCAGTACAAAGTCCGAGCCAAGAACAAAGTGGGCTGGGGCCCCTTCAAAGACGCCACCATCAACTTAGCCTCGCAGCCGGCCAGACCCATGTCCAGTAAGAGAGACACCTGCATGAGAATACATGTGAGGCCAAACTAACGTCCTGTCTGTCCTCTCAGTCCCCATCATCCCTGACATCCCCATCGTGGACGCGGAGGCAGGAGATGAGTACGACAGTTACCTCATGTACAGCAACGAGGTCCTCAGGTCTCCAAGCGGCTCCAAGACCCCCAGTGTCTCTGGTGAAGGTGGGTACATGTCTACTTAGCACACATGCACACAGTTTTGTGTTCAGTAGACTCTGTGTAAGCTCAGTTTGGTCTCCTGAGGTTATTTTAACTGCTTTAGAGCTAGCATTCTCTGGGATATAATCAAGTGAGTCAAGTTTTTGGAATGGATCACTCATAAGTCATTTTAAGACATCAAAATATTCCCACAAGGCTTTGTCAAGCTGGTGGGCTCGGCTCTGGACCTGCGCTCGGTGTCGTGGAAAAAGCATGTGGATGTGATTCGCCTCAGCACAGACACGGAGGCCAGCTCCGAGGAGACGCGCCCAGGTGAAGACCCCAGACCCCACAGAGAGGCCACAGAGGCTGGTGCTGTGGGTCACATGGCTCTAATGCAGAGGACATATCTCCCTATGGGGAAAGTAAAGTCCACAAAACCAAATAAAATCTCAGAATAAGTATATTTTCAAAAAGTATATTTATTTTGTACAGTGCTTTGCTGCCTGTGGCATGTCAGAGGAATTCTTATTTTAAGCTTGGTTTGCCTCCATCACGTCCGAAGGCTGCATGTCTGTGGGGCCAATGCTGTTCTGTTGCCACTGTGTGTCATGTCAGAGCTCCAGCACATACAGCTTCCTATTTACAGTCGACAACTTTATCATCTTTATCACCTTTACAAGAGCCAAGCATCAGTCTGTGCCCGGCTCCTGCTGCAGAGTGACTTCAGAACGAGGAGCTACGTTTACATCCATCCACATGTGTTTCTGTTGCATTTGAGTTTTTGTGAAGCATTTGTGAAATGCTTGTTGGCACCATGTGACCGGGTGCTGTCCTCTGCTTGTGCGTGGTGTCTTGTATCCTTCATGCACTTTGTAAAAACTCACTCAGTGTCAAGTCGTGTGCAGCTGGCCTGAGCACACGCCTGATCCATGATGACATGCTGCTTTTATTGTATCTTTATAGATTCCATGTTGAACGGGAACTTCCTCTTCCCTGGAAGCACACCAAACCGCAGCTTTTCATCCTCCTCGTCTCCCATGGGAACCTTGAACTCCAGCTATCGTGTGGGCGGGGGCTCCTACACCTCCGAGACCAAGAGCACATACCTGACAGGACCAGGTAGGACGTCCAGCTGCATTTGGACTCAGCTATTTTGATTTTGTTCAACTGTCGAAAAATGCCCTTTATTTCAGTTTCCAGTTGTTTCAGACAGAATGAAGATGGAGCACACATTTAATGACAATATGCATCACAACAAAGATGCTAACCCACAGGTGTTAGCTAGTCCAAACAACAGAGACAAGACTGAAGTCGCCGTGACTTTAAAAGAGCAGTAGGCCAAAAGTGGTACTGCAGCCTCTCCCACTCTCCCTGACTCAGGTTGCCAGATATGCAGACGAATCCAGCTGGGACCATAACAGCTGAATAGACAAGAGTTTTGTCAACAACAAATCTATAACCAACACCTTTTTCACAAAGATAGAAATCCTGGTTTTATTCCTTGTTTTGTCGTTAATGATTTGAGAATCATAACGAGACCTTTTTTAGTTCTGCACCACATGGTACTTTACCAGTGAGATTAGCTCCACATGGTACTTTACCAGTGAGATTAGCTCCACGCGGTGAGTTCTGGCGCCCGGATCACAGACTTTCTGATTGGTGAAACAGTGGAGGGCGGGACATCGAAATGAAAACAATAACAAGATTTAGGGGCTGGAAAACTAATTTTGAAATTCAAATATCTCTCAAATACTGTTTTCAGTGGAATAAGTCTGGAAACGAGCGGTTTAATATTTAATAAGGCCCATTAATGAATTGAAAGTCTTACATATTGCGAAGGCCTGATCACTTGGGACAGAGGTTCACATGCTTTACACCACAGTAGACATTAAACATCCAACAGACCAAAATAGACCCAGGCAGGAGAACCATCAGAGACCTCCAGGACCAGAGAAAAACCCACAATCTTGCACTTCAGAAAACTTAAAGTATGTTATTCCACACAACCATATCTCATTCACAGGAGGAACCCGTCGGACTGAGCTGACGGGAGGAGGCGGGCTCAGTGGGATCTCCTCCACAGACGTCACCATGAGGAAGCGCTCCGAGATGAGGACCTACACCGAGGAGAACATCCGGGACTCCATCGTCATGGGAGAGCTGTCCAGCAACTTCCCCGACTTGGGTAAAGAGCCTGAACTGAAGCAGAATATGTGGACTGCCCCAAACCACAACATCGCTCAGACTGCAAACTGTTCTAAAACATTAGGTTGTAATTACATTCTGTCTTAACACAGGATTTGCCAAAGGGATAAAACTATTTAGTCTTATTTCAAGATCTGTTGCTTTATTTTCTCATTCCAAGGGCGACATTTCTTGTACCTTTTTAAAACAAGACGATTTTCATTGTCCCATTGGAAAATCCTGTTTTAAGGCTCAGTCAGAATGAGCTCAAATGAAGATACTTTTGTCAAATTTGAGCAATTTTTGACTAAATGTTCATCACTTTTAGATCAGAGGACTTGTTGAACTCTCAGGCTGAATGTGTGTTGTACTGCGAACTGATCTTAATTTGACAAGGAAAAGAGTTTTACTGTTTATTTATTCTAAGAAGCTTGATGGTTGGTTGATAAAATTGAATCAATGTGGAAAAATGCAAACGTGTTTATAAGTTGAACACAAAAATTTCTTCAGCTTTAGGTAAGCTGGTAAGTGGTAATGATGCGATGGCTGGGTCTGCAGGCGGCTGACTATCCCCTTCTTTCCTTCTCTCCTCTTGTTCCTCCTTCCTTCCTTCCTTCCTTCCTTCCTTCCTTCCTTCAGGTGGCTTCGGCATGTCGGGGACTCAGAGCAGCTCTCAGTTCAGCTACGATGTGACATCATCGGGGATGCAGGCCGGGAGTGAGTCCGCTGAGGTGGGCCGGGCGCTCTACAGCCTGGACCGGGTACTGCAGGGTAAGTGCAGAGCATGGCCCGCCCCCTCACTGCTGCTGCTGCTGCTTTGACAGAGCGTGTGTGTGTGTGTGTGTGTGTGTGTCTGTGTCTGTGTGTGTCTGTGTGTGTGTGTTGCTGTTGTGTCTGATGTTGTGTCTGATGTGGCCAGATGCCCGGTCTCCAGGGGTCCCTGACACTCCCAGCAGACTGGTGTTCTCCGCACTGGGCCCCACAGCGCTCAAAGTCAGCTGGCAGGAGCCTCACTGTGACAAGGACATCCAGGGCTACTGTGTTCTCTACCAGCTGCTGAATGGAGGTCATTATCTACTCTTACTGCTGTTACTACTGTTACTATGGTTACTATTATTGTTACTACTGTTACTATGGTTACTACTACTGTGTTCTCTACCAGCTGCTGAATGGAGGTCATTATCTACTCTTACTGCTGTTACTACTGTTACTATGGTTACTATTATTGTTACTACTGTTACTATGGTTACTACTACTGTGTTCTCTACCAGCTGCTGAATGGAGGTCATTATCTACTCTTACTGCTGTTACTACTGTTACTATGGTTACTATTATTGTTACTACTGTTACTATGGTTACTACTACTGTGTTCTCTACCAGCTGCTGAATGGAGGTCATTATCTACTGTTACTATGGTTACTACTATTGTTACTACTGTTACTATGGTTACTACTACTGTTACTATGGTTACTACTACTGTGTTCTCTACCAGCTGCTGAATGGAGGTCATTATCTACTCTTACTGTGGTTACTACTACTGTTACTATGGTTACTACTGTTACTACTATTGTTACTATGGTTACTACTATTACCACTGTTACTACTGTTACGATGGTTACTACTCTTACTACTGTTACTATGGTTACTACTCTTACTACTGTTACTATGGTTAATACTACTGTGTTCTCTACCAGCTGCTGAATGGAGGTCATTATCTACTCTTACTGTGGTTACTACTACTGTTACTACTGTAACTACTGTTACTATGGTTACTACTATTACCACTGTTACTACGACCACTACTATTGTTAGTATGCTTATTTTTCAACTTTTATTAACTTTATGAATATTTGCTATTGCTTAGGTAAAAATTCAATCCTATTGTACAAAAAGTGCATTTGTAAATAATTTCCGTGGAATTAAATGTATGTTGGTGACCACAATGAGTGTGAGCAGGTGAGGTGAAGCGGCTGAACGTAACGAACCCGGCAGAGAACTCTGTGGTCGTCCAGGACCTGCTCCCGAACCAGTCCTACCTGTTCAAGGTGAAGGCCCAGAGCCAGGAGGGCTGGGGCCCCGAGAGAGAGGGCGTCATCACCATCGAGTCTGCAGTGGACCCCCGCAGCCCCCTTAGCCCTGTGCCCGGTAACACCTGCACTAACATCCTGTCACAGCATCAGCGGTTACAGAGATAAATGAACAATAACTATAAACTGAAATAAAATCACCAACTTTAGCATAATTAAGAAGCTATTATAACACTCTAGCTTTAGCACCGCATACAGAGGCTGCAGCTGTGATGTCAAACATGATTATTTTAGATCTTGCAAAAATAATAGATTTCTTCAATCTAAAAGTGGATATTAAAATACAAAACCAGAGAAACTGAGGGAGGACTGCTGCCCCCTAGTGGAACATGTTGACCATTGTTATGTTGGTGTGTTGTCACTGTTCCATCATGTATGAACCATCGACACAATCAGTTGTCCTCACGACACATGCACACACACACACACACACACACACACACACACACAAAACAACGACACTCGAGCCTCGGGATTGCTGCCTCTGCGGTGAAAAACTTGCAATGATCATTAAAAGAATTGTGATGAAGTTGTTTGTTGTGATGCCACAGTTTTGAGAATCACATGTCGTTGTGTGTGCACCAGGCTCTCCCTTCACCCTGAGCACCCCCAGTGCCCCAGGACCCCTGATCTTCACGGCCCTGAGCCCAGACTCCCTGCAGCTCAGCTGGGACAAACCCCGCAAACCCAACGGAGACGTCCTGGGCTACGTGGTGACCTGCGAGCAGCTGCACGGAGGAGGTACTGTAGGCTCTGGGTGCTACCTGCCCATGGAACTACTTTACTGTTACAACACATGAGTCTGCGTTAGTGGATTTATATTTATATTATTGATTTGTTTGGAGCAAAATCAGCCCAATGTGCTGTCACGATCATTGTCAGTATTTTAACCACAAACAGCTACAAGACCAAACCTGCTTAAATGAAAGATGCACTGAGCTGTGAACCACATGATGAAGCCATAATGGGTTATTATTCGTTCAAACATATTCTTGCATATTTTGAAATAATGTATTTAAAGATAATTATATTCTATTTGATCCTTGAGTAGTATAATTATAACTTACATAATACACACAAAAACAATATTTAAGATATAGCAGAGTGACTGTTATTTATCAAATTCCATTCAATATGTTTTTGTACAGCCCTAAATTACGACAGTAGATATCTCAAAGGACTTTACAACGCGATTTACCTTCACAAAAACAAGAATTACAATGAAAACAAACACATTAAACAATCAGTGTTAGCTCTCCATGGATCAAAATAAAATTTCCAGTTGTGAAGTTGTGTCTCTGAAAGTTGACAGTGTCCAGGGTGGAGGAGGCGTGGCTTAGCTGTAGTTTATTCTGTTTCATTCACGACTCAATATTCTAATTATTGCAGTCCTGTGGGATATTTTCTGCATCGTGGTCATCAGGGACCCAGTGTTTCTTCCCGATGTTATTTTACCGTATTTAAATATTTGTCTAATGTTATAAAAGTGGCGCTGTCTGCTTTTCTCTTTGTAACTTTTCCTTTGAACACTCTTTTCTCTCCAGGCGACGTGCGTTCCTTCCAGGTCAGCGGGGACAGCTCTGAGACCAGTCTGACGGTTCCAAACCTGACCGAGAACGTTCCCTACAAGTTCAAAGTCCAGGCCAGGACCACCCAGGGCTTCGGTCCAGAGAGAGAGGGCATCATCACCATCGAGTCCCAGGACGGAGGTAACTGCTCTGTTTCTGTTAAACTAGGAATCTGTTTTGGCTATATAAGAATCTTAATAAACTTCTACTTTATAAAACACAATAGACTTTTAACTGTAGTGATGGTTGCAAAGGGTCTAGTGTTGGAATCAAAACCATACATTTGTCCCACTTTATACAAGACCTGTCCAACCAGCAGACATATGAAACACTGGGCAAGACGCACAGTTTAAAATCTCAACAATAACATCTGAAGTGTGTGTGACCGTGTGCTCTCCGCTGCCCCCTTCAGGAGCTCTGTCACAGTACAACAGCCAGTCCATGAGCAGCAGAGAGGTGTTCCAGCTCCCCACACAGGTCACACGCACCATGATCAACGAGCCGTTCTTCTCCTCAGGTACCGCCACACGTCACCGCTTTCTTCTTCTATGTTTTAAGATATATATTTTTTTTTTATTCGTCCCACAGTGAGGAAATATCAATGTCATAGTTGCACAAAACAGCAGAATAAAAAGAGGAAATAAGAGACTCAGGTTGTACACGTCAAACAGGATCCATTTAAAGTAGTAAGATGTAAGAATTTCATGTCAAGTAATCATTAAAGGGCCCTAATCTGTCCTCATTAAAGGGCCCTGATCTGTCCTCATTAAAGGGCCCTAATTGGTCATCATTAAAGGGCCCTAATCTGTGATCATTAAAAGGCCCTAATCTGTCCTCATTAAAGGGCCCTAATCTGTCCTTATTAAAGGGCCCTAATCTGTGATCATTAAAAGGCCTTAATCTGTCATCATTAAAGGCCCTAATCTGTCCTTATTAAAGGGCCCTAATCTGTCATTAAAGGGCCCTAATCTGTGATCATTAAAGGGCCTTAATCTGTCATCATTAAAGGGCCTTAATTTGTCATAATTAAAGGGCCCTAATCTGTCATCATTATAGGGCCCTAATCTGTCATCCTTATAGGGCCCTAATCTGTCATCATTAAAGGGCCCTGATCTTTCATCATCAAAGGGCCTTAATCTGTCATCGATAAAGGGCCCTAATCTGTCATCATTATAGGGCCCTAATCTGTCATCATTAAAGGGCCCTAATCTGTCATCATTAAAGGACCCTAATCTGTCATCATTAGTGATCCGGGCGCCAGAACTCACCGTGTGGAGCTAATCTCACTGGTAAAGTACCATGTGGCGCAGAACTAAAAAAGGCCTTGTTATGATTCTCAAATCATTAACGACAAAACAAGGAATAAAACCAGGATTTCTATCTTTGTGAAAAAGGTGTTGGTTATAGATTTGTTGTTGACAAAACTCTTGTCTATTCAGCTGTTATGGTCTCAGCTGGATTCGTCTGCATATCTGGCAACCTGAGTCAGGGAAAGTGGGAGAGGCTGCAGTACCACTTTAGGACACATGTTTACACACTGCTCCTTTAAGAAAATAGATAATAATAAAATACAACTCTGGAGATATGTTACTTGGTTCAAGGATCAGTCACATCAGGATCAGGAGGTTTTTACAGATCTGTAGATTGTACTTGAGCAGCAGAGAATGTGACCAGAATAAACAATAGTAATAAAATAGTAGTTAAAGTGACTCGCGACTTGTAAAGCAACTAAAGTGAATTATCAGATGAATTAAAATCATAGATGTTGACTCCAGTCTTGCCTTCCTCAGACGGGATGATGGTGTCCACGCAGCACACAGAGACCAGCGGGATGGTGACCCGTCATGTGACCAAAGAGGTGGTGCAGAGGAGCGTGATGGGCGGCACCTCCGTCACCAAAAAGATGTACTACGAGTCCTAAAAACACCAGGACTGTTTTAATCTGACACAGTATGACTCGCTTCCAATGTTATTTATTGTCACGTCGATCGCATCCTGAGCGTGTGTAATGGTGAGTTTAGGCTTCGCACTGGATGTTACTGTTACAAACTGTTACGGCACAGCGCCCTCTGCTGGTGGGAGCGGGGATAACACTGTCCAGTCAGCGCTGCTTCACTGATCCTCATTGACCTTCTGTGGAGGACGCATGCTTTCCCTCTGCTCCTCCTAAAGACTCTTCAGACCAATAATCTCAATGTTTGTTCAGAATATTTTGCATATCATAGAAAATGAGAATAGATCGTGATCATGTGAGGAGGCAGAGTTCACTACTTTTTGTAAAATATCCAAAAGATGTATAAATGTGTTGGAAAAGTATAATGATTGTAGCGTAAGAACCAGTGTTTGTCGAACAAACGGAACCAAAGGGAAACCTCTTTGTGAACACGAGAAAGTACCACAGAAACTGAACGTTTGCAGTGTTTTATTTGTTGGCACTTTTATTGCACTTCTAAAGAGTTAAATAAAGACTTTATAAAAAACAACTGGTTTCAAAGCCTGTGTATTTACAGACAGCAAATGTTTTAGGAGTGAGAATATGAAAATGTGGAAGTATGAAAGAAAACCTGCTCAATGTCGGTCTCGGTCTCGGTCTGGAGCCTCAGGTCTGTTCTTTATGCCCAGAGTTAGAACAAAGCAACACATGATCGAAAAGTGGATGAGTAGAAGGCAGAGGAGTGGTGCACATGTAGAAGCTGGTCTGGGGCCTCATGCACAGGCCCGGCTCAGGTCCATAGACAGGCCCGGCTCAGGTCCATAGACAGGCCCGGCTCAGGTCCATAGACAGGCCTGGCTCAGGTCCATAGACAGGCCCGCCTCAGGTCCATAGACAGGCCTGGCTCAGGTCCATAGACAGGCCCGCCTCAGGACCATAGACAGGCCCGGCTCAGGTCCATAGACAGGCCCGGCTCAGGTCCATAGACAGGCCCGGCTCAGGTCCATAGACAGGCCCGCCTCAGGACCATAGACAGGCCCGGCTCAGGACCATAGACAGGCCCGGCTCAGGTCCATAGACAGGCCCGGCTCAGGTGCATAGACAGGCCTGGCTCAGGTCCATAGACAGGCCCGCCTCAGGACCATAGACAGGCCCGGCTCAGGACCATAGACAGGCCTGGCTCAGGTCCATAGACAGGCCCGCCTCAGGACCATAGACAGGCCCGGCTCAGGACCATAGACAGGCCCGGCTCAGGACCATAGACAGGCCCGGCTCAGGTCCATAGACAGGCCCGGCTCAGGTCCATAGACAGGCCCCGGCTCAGGTCCATAGACAGGCCCGGCTCAGGTCCATAGACAGGCCCCGGCTCAGGTCCATAGACAGGCCCGGCTCAGGTCCATAGACAGGCCCGACTCAGGTCCATAGACAGGCCCGGCTCAGGTCCATAGACAGGCCCTGGCTCAGGTCCATAGACAGGCCCGGCTCAGGTCCATAGACAGGCCCGGCTCAGGTCCATAGACAGGCCCGCCTCAGGACCATAGACAGGCCCGGCTCAAGACCATGGACAGGCCCGGCTCAGGACCATAGACAGGCCCGGCTCAGGACCATAGACAGGCCCGGCTCAGGACCATAGACAGGCCCAGCTCAGGACCATAGACAGGCCCGGCTCAGGACCATGGACAGGCCCGGCTCAGGACCATAGACAGGCCCGGCTCAGGACCATGGACAGGCCCGGTTCAGGACCATGGTCAGCCCCGGGCTCAGGTCCATAGACAGGCCCGGCTCAGGTCCATAGACAGGCCCGGCTCAGGACCATGGTCAGGCCCGGCTCAGGACCATGGTCAGGTCCGGGCTCAGGTCCATAGACAGGCCCCCGGACATAGGCACGGCTGCCGCACGTGTGCAGGACGGATCACCAGGTCCCTGAGCACCTCCACGGTCCCAAACACGGGGAAAACCTTCTCTGTGAAGCTGTGGTTGAAGGTGTACAGGTGCGAGCGCTTCTCCACGTCGTAGAAGGACAGCTGGCCCTGGTCGTAGTCCAGGAACAGGCCCAGGATGCGGGGGGCCAGGCTGCGGGACAGGGCCGTGGGGGGCACAGTGAGAGCTTTGAGCTCCGCGCCCCTCTCCAGGCGCAGAGTCAGGAAACCTGAGTGTGTGTTCAGAGCCCGGTAGCCCCGCCTCACCGCAGACTCACAGGCCACGCCCACACGCCAGTCCCTGTCTCCCACCTCCACCTCCCAGTAGTGAGTCCCAGAGGAGAAGCCCTCCTGAGCCGCCGCACACCACCAGCCTGTGAAGCGCTGGGGGCAGCAGGACACCTCCCTCTGCCCTCGCTCCGGGACACAGCGCATCCTCTTTTGGTCCTCCGACAGGAGCAGGTCTGGATGTGCAGAGTCTGGGTCCAGGACCACCTCCTCTGTGATGGGAGACACACACGTCACTGACTCAGTGATCACACTACACTCTACACAATACATAACACATGACATACACTCTACACAATACATAACACATGACATACACTCTACACAATACATAACACATGACATACACTCTACACAATACATAACACATGACATACACACTACACAACACATGACATACAGACTAAAAACATACGAAATACACACCTGCGCACTCACAGATCCAGTTCCACACTGTGGAGAGAGCACAGTTAGGATCATTATGTTTGTCTGTGTGTGTGTGAGCGCAGAGTGTGTGTGTGTGTGAGCGCAGTGTGTGTGTGTGTGTGAGCGCAGTGTGTGTGTGTGTGTGTGTGTGTGTGTGTGTGAGAGTCTTACCTCCATGCGGCACATAACGAAGTCCATCTGAAACAAAGTGTCATCAGGAGGTTAGTCGCACACAGCACTTTATTCAGCTGATGTTACGAGGTGCACTCACCCACTGAGTGTTTGCTCTGGGTCCTCAACAGCCACTGCTTTGGAATGTCCTCCTGCTCAGCAAATACACACACAGACACACACACACACACACTCTGTTACTCCCTCTTCTACAGTGGTTAGCATTAGCACTGACTCTGGAGAAGCGAACCTTGAGGGGGGAGTGTCCGTTGACCACAGCCAGGATGACCAGCTCCATGGCGGGTTGGAGCGTGGGCAGCCGTCCTCTCTTCCACTGGAACTCCAGGTCGTCCAGCATCATCAGCACCGGCTCTCCAGGCCACACCGAGAACTGAGCAGCAACACTTTACTACACACACTCCATAAACACACAATAAGTGTAGTAGAAAAGAACCGTTCTAATGTGACACTGACAGATCTGGGTTTAGTTTATTTATTTTTGGCTCATCGTGTCAGGGGCTGGTGCTTTGTGGACTGGGTGCAGCTCTGATTGCCACCCCCCCACCCAGAAATGGATTAAGGGGAAGAAAATGGATGGATGTGTTTAGTTTTATGACGAAGGACGACCCTCTTTGGCCTCTGAGTTGATTGACAGCCATTGGAAAGCGTTTATAATCTGGGGTTCATTGACAGCTAATTTGGGCCAATCAGAAGTTTGTATTTTCAAGGCACACTGATAGCACTACTAAGTTTAAAACATTTTGTGAACTTAGTGTTTTTGTTCGGACGTCACCTCACGGTATAAAAAGTGAGTAGTGCTTGGACTGAAGTCACATAAACGAACCCTGCTTTACTTTCACTTTCCTGTTCATAAAGCGATCATAACAAAAGTGAACTGCAGGTGTATTTTAGACACATTTGAATCTATGCTGCTTTGGTTTTGAGTGCTGCTAAGAGCTAACATGCTAACTACTGTGTGCTAAATGTTATTGATAAGATAAGATCGATTTTATTGATCTCACACTGGAGACACGTACATGTCACTTTGGCACAGATAGAATCAGATTTGTGCAAAAGACATAAGTTACAACATGTTAAAGGTTAACATATAGTCTGTGCAGGATGTAGTAATAAGTAATAAAATGGGCAATAAAGAAACAGTGGCAATAACAGGTTTGTTCAGTCCTAGTGCATGACTTGAAGTGACTCATCGTGTCTGACCGCGGTGGGAATGAAGGCCCTGGGGTTCCTGTTCTCGTCTAATGAATTTGTTAAGTAAGTAAGTAAGTAAGTTTTTATTTATATACCGCCTTTTCACTGCAGATCTGAGTCTCAAAGCGGTTTACAATTGTTATTTTTGGGCATTTGTCTCTCACTCCACACAGAGATGGGAGCAGGGTCGCCAGTACAGGAGGCACATGCCAGAACTATTGGACATATTTTTAGTGGTAGGGGAAACCGGAGTACCCGGAGGAAACCTACGCAGACACGGGGAGAACATGCAAACTCCACTCAGAAAGGCCCTGGTCCGACCGGGATTCGAACCCAGGACCTTCTTGCTGAGAGGCGAGAGTGCTATCCACTCAGCCACCGTGCCGCCCAAGTAGCTCATTCTAATTTAGACTTTCTGTTATTTTCAGGACCACACACATAAATAAAGAACGACGCAGCTATAAATAAATAAAATAAACAAATGTGCACTTTATCGTCCCCGTAAGGAAATTTGTCCTCTGCATTTGACCCATCCTGATGCCGCTAAGGCTTACGTCAGGAGCAGTGGTCGCCGTAGTAACAGCGCCCGGGAACCCATCTCCAGATGTTGATGCTCGGCTTAGTCAGGACCAGAGCTGGAAGATTTAACCTAGTGAGCATTTTTTTAGTGGTAGGGGAAACCGGAGCACTCAGAGGAAACATACGCAGACATGGGGAGAACATGCAAACTCCACTCAGAAAGGCCCTGTTCCGACCAGGATTCGAACCCAGGACCTTCTTGCTGAGAGGCGAGAGTGCTAACCACTCAGCCACCTGTTGTAAATGGACCTGGACCATCTGCAGTGCATTCGTACCGATGCTGGTCACAATCCCCCGTTACAAACCAGATAAATGTCCCGTAACAAGTTTATTTGTTTGGCTCATTGTCCTTGTCCTTGTGTGTCAGATATAATCCTCCTGAAGTCTGTCATGTAATAAGTGTGTCAGTCAGAGGAGATTGTGTGTGACCCAGTGTGGGGCAGACAGAGCTCACCTCAGGCCTGCTCCTAATCTGTCTGCTCCAGTCCAGCAGGAGGCGCCGGTGAGCCCCCATGTCCCCCTCTCCCCCAGACTCCAACATGCACAGCAGCTGCTCCCTCCAGTCCCTCTTCTCTGGACGCTCGTAGTCCGCTCTGCTCTTGGGCTGGACAGGAGTCAAACATCACACACCTGTGACATCACTGTGACATCATCATGACATCACTGTGTCAGAAACCCACCTGGACGTGCTTCTCCAGCTCAGACGCCCAGTCCACCATGAAGTCCCGACACACACTGGGCAGCCACACGTCCTCCCCTGTCCAGATGTGGCTGAGCACACCCGACCT